TGGAAGATATACAGAAGAAAAAAGGGAGAGAGGGAGAAAGAGAGAAAGAGAGAGAGAGAACCAGTGAGCGACAGAGAGCGAGAGATCAGCGTGAGTACCAAGAAGTGAGAAAAACTATATAAAAACGCGTGTTGTAAAAATATCAGTAGATTCCACGCTTCGTTTTTACTTTTTTCGTACAATTTAACGTTCTAAAGAGCAAGCTCAGGCTCTACAAAAAAATTCGTGAAGAAATTACGAAGCAAGAAAATATAGAAAAGGAGATAGGGAGAGGAGAGAAAGAGAGAGAGAGAGAGAGAGAGAGAGAGAGAGAGAAACATTGTGAGAGAAAACGAGAGTGTACCAGAAAGGGAGAGAGCGCGCCAGGAGCGAGTATCAGAACTAGAGAATCAGTCGGTTCGAAACATCAAAAAGCGGCTTTTTTTCTAGCAAAAAAATGGCATTTTTCGCATCTCTAATTCCACTGCTTAATTTTTCATCTCTTGATTATCAAGTATGATAAGATGCAAATATCTCTGTGTAAAACCGGTATGCCGTGCAAAAATCTACTAGGTGCCAAACTGATTATTTTCCATCCAAAAAATCTCGGGTCTCAAGCTGCTCCCCTAGCAAGTGGCATACGATAAACACTTTCCGCAGCAGCAGCTAGCAGAATAAGGGTCCTAGCGGTAAATAATATGGCCGAAATATTCCATTAATTCTTGCGAACGGCGGGCCGTCTCGTTTTTGAGCCCTTTTTGGGCCCCAGCAGTCAGGGTTTGAGGGATGATAAATAAATCATTGGGTCAGATGAAGAACTGGGGCTCGGCCGATTTGTTCTCGGCTCAACACGAAAAAATTCGCAGGCTCATTTTTGATGCTCGTGAGATGGGGTTTTGTTGATAGGGGGCATGCCAAAAATATGGTAGATTGAGCGTTCGAAATTTTAGGGAAAAAACTATATGTTTCTCTAGGAACTATGGCAGGATACTTTACGTAATAGAATACTGCATGAGAAACTGAAGAAGGCAGAAAGCAGCAGACAACGAACGCAGCATGAATGTACATTGGAGTCCCGCGTAGCCAAAACATGGTGAACAAGACGTTCCTTTGCACGGTGTTTTGCGCTGCGCAAATTGCACTAAACTCAGAAAAATGGTGTTTGTCGTCTGGATTGAAAACTGCATAAGAGATATGAGTCAAAGCGCTAGGGAGAGAGAGAGGAAGAGAGAGAGAGAGGGAGAGAGAGAGAAATACGTCGCGAGCCAATTCGCGAAAGTGAGCCAATTATTTGAAGTTTTTTCGATGAGAACACCCATAATTATCATGGCAGGATTCGAGCAAAGGTCGTTCGTCCTTCCTGAATCGAAAATTGATGTTGTTCTTTGTTAATTACAGAACGTTCAAAATCCTGGTCGATATGGCTTGAAAATTACCAGAAAAATCTATCTTAGGCTGAATCTCAGGTTATCCTTAGGCTCAAGCCATCCCCAGGATTGGGTATATATTCAGGCTCAGAACTTAGGTTTAAGAGAGGAATAAACCTAATCTTGATAAAGCAAGCTTTATTAAACCTTTCAAAAACATTTATATTGAATAGACTCTAGCACCCCTCCTAACCTATTTACTCAGACTTGCATCCCACCCAAAGCCATCTGAATGGTAGAGCGGGTAAAAGTTTGGCATACCCGAGATGGGGAGAGGAGAAGCGATGCACGAGAAATTGGGTTGAGCAGGGTGGAGCAGCAAAAAGCCGAAGAAAAACGAGGAAGAGCTTCTTCCCTTCTGGCTGTCCTTCTTCCTCTTCTTCTTCTCGTCTGGGCCTACCGTTGGCCCCTCAGGTCGAGTACGTCTCCATATCAAATTGCATCCCCCCCCCCCCCAAAGAGCCATCTCAGCCACCCACATCCACACATTTCATTCACACGTTCAGGCGTGAGGGAGGAGCGGAGTTAGAAGATGGGGGAAGAAAAAATACCAAATATCGCAAAAAAAAGATTGATTTGCATAACCTGTAAAATTTGAACGTTACCAAACGGTTTCAGGTTTATCTTCATTTAAGTTTTTTTTGAAGGCGAAACGCAAGTTCTACACACGTTTCGGGTTAAAAAAAACCTATTTTTTTAAGAAAATTGCTTTTTCGATATCAAAAAAATTCCAAGCATTCCGATTCGGAATAGATCTACCTTGAAAATCCTAAATTTCATCCGAAATATCTTTGAATCAGCTCTAACCTAAACATCTAGGTTTATATGAGCATCACGTAGCCCACCCCAAACCCACGAGGCAATACTGTAAACACTTGGACTTTGTGCGTTCTACGTATGGTTCTTCTTCCATGATTTCTCTGCGTGATCTCGTTGAATTTTGCGGTGGACTTTTTTCACAGATATTTGCGGCAATTTCACTAGCAATAAACAGAAAAACGACGCATGACAAAAAGAGGTTCCAAAACTAGAAAATGTTCGCGTGGAAAGCAGCGCCGCGTAGTCGCGTGTAGGCCTACGTAGCAGTACTATAAACCCGCGTTTGTATGCTTCCCTTACTTACTCTCAGGTTTTTTGGTGATTTTTGTCGAACATCTCTAGTTTTTCTTGTATTTTTTTAATTAAAGCCTGTAAAGGTTTTGGATTTAATAAAAGGCAAACAATGTTGGGAAACGCTTTTTCTGCCTGTATTAGGAAAAAAATACGAAAGAACGATCACCGGACAGAAAGGTTAGACTTTAGAGCAGCGCAAAAAGCATTAGAAAACTCATAAAGAGGAGGAGTAATGATACTGACTCATCTGCTCCTAGACAAAAACAGGAAGCAGTATCATAATCACCTTTAGAGCACTGAAAACACAATACGGTTTAGCAAAAATAACCGGGTAATAAGACAATCCAAATGCCCTCCAATAAATGAATTACCCGCTCCTATATCTCACCCGCCCCCCTCTTTGAGTGGGGGAACACGCGGCGGGAGATAAACAGCCTGGAAAACCTACACCACTCGCGTCAATCCGCCCCCCCCCCAAATCCACGCGTGTTCTTGTTGTCCTTCGGAAGTTTCCGCGCTTTCTTTGCCGTTTTTTGCCAGCTCACATGATTGACCTGATCTGCGTAGTATGGGAGTGGGTAGATTGGTTGGAGAAGGTCAGGTCTTCCGTTGTTTTCCGGCGGATTTCACTTGGCAGGAATTCTGAGATGTAATTTTATAGTTCAAAATTGGATGGATGAATGGATTCCACCATGAATTGTTTTTAATGCTGGATATACTAGAGTTCCGTTTTTCCTGAACAAAATAGCCACTTAGGCCTTTTTAGTCATTTAATTTTGATAGAAAAGCTGGGATGTGCGACGTCGGAAACTGGAAAATTTGAAATTTTATAGCAATAAATTGCGTTGTGCTTACGTCAAAATGAATTTTTAATTGTTGCTTATAACAGATAGGCAGGGAGTGAGAGAGAGAGAGAGAGAGAGAGAGAGAGAGAGAGAGAGAGAGGAAGAGAGAGAGAGAGAGAGAGAGAGAGACAGAGAGACAGACCAGAGAAGAGAGAGAGAGAGAGAGAGAGAGAGAGAGAGAGAGAGAGAGAGAGAGAGAGGGGGCGAGAGAGGGTGAGAGAGGGAGAGAGAGACTTTCTTAACTTACAGCAAACATCTAGATACCTTAAACTTGAATAGAAAAGCCGAAACATCCGAAGTTTGGCCCTCCGGCTGAACTTTCGCGAATTTAGCCCGCCCAAATTGAATGCAATGAGATGCCGCCAGTTGGGCAGGCTCGAATCCAAATTGCGGAAAACGAAGAGCGAAAAGTGGGAAACGAGAAGCGAAAAACAGACAACTTGACGGCAAAGCGGTGAATCGGTTCCAAGGAAAAATTTAAAATCAACGATTTAGTAACGATAAACACTGAATTGATGGTTCACTTTATTAAAATATCTGAAGCTTTCAATGGAAGTCTAAAAACTCAAATACCTGCAAAGGAGAAGACGAGAATTCAACAAAAATGCCCCAAGCTAGTAGGAACCTGAGATGCGTAAAGAAGAATTTGCTAGGTATTGGAGCAGTGTACGTGCCAGGACACTATTACGTTCCGATTTTGCCTAGCGGGACAGCGTGAAATTTTTAGCCGAAGAATTTGGCAGGAGTTCAAAAGCAGTTTCAATAATTATCCGGCTCTTACAAATTGCACCATACTATATAGTAGAGAAATGCAAAAATAGGGAAAGATGTAGAACCTTTTTGATAAACGAAAACTCGCGAGTTGAATCCTTGGCCCGTGTTCAATCCGCCCCGAACATTCAGAAGTACAACCGCGATACAGAACCTCCGTCTACCCCAGAAAAGTTGCCATTTCACGGATATCCTCCTCCTCCGCCCCGAACTTTTCAGGGTGTGAATACATAGCCGAAGCCTTCGGGCCTGAATAGACCCCGTCGAGTCAATTCCATTTTTTGGGGGGATTCAAAGGCCCGCGGAGGTCCCAAGGTGAAGGTCGCTGAATTTGAAAGCATTTTCTTCCGCTGAGGAGGTCCTCCTTCTTTCGAAAGTTTTAGGAAAAGCTCAGACAATCGCTTGACTGCACGCGCGTGCCTATTCAGAAGTCAAAAAACCAGGTGGAGGAGAAGGAGGAAGGGGAGGCGGAGGTAGAAGAGCAAAAGGTTATGAGCAAGAGTAGGAGGAAGAGGAGGAGGAGTCGGAAAGGTCTGCGAGGTGGAGGGGGATGAAAAAAGGTGTAGAAGCTTATGCATATCGAAGAGGGCAGGGCGGCAATCAAATTTTGGGAGCACGAGGGTGAGTTCTGTTTTCGTGTATATCGGAGAGCGGAACGCATCGGAGAACAGAGGAAGTGCAGAAATGACCATAAAAGCTTATAAAACTGTGTATAATTTCCTGCAATTTTTGAGGGGCGTCTGTGGCTGATCCCACCTTACATATTTTCTGCAAATAAATAGTAGGACGTATCGGTAGCCTAAAAAATTATACTTAATCTGAAGCGTGAGAAATTTATGGTTTTCTTGAGTTTCGCAACTTGCTAGCAGGCAAAGATTCCGTTCTCTTCCGGCTTCCAGTCAAAACACGAGCTGCTCGGTGCTGAAAAAAAGTATTTCCCGGTGTGTTTGTTTCGAATTGAATTGGGCCCTGGAAAATTGGCGACTACGGCTGGATACCCTGGACGATAGCGATGCACGTACCAGACGATGCACAGCAAGCTTTTGCTTTCACATCTCGAAGACCAGAATTTTTTACTGCAAAAATCCTCGAGTTTTTCTAACGCATGTTTTTCATTTCCAGAAAGAGCCAACTGTGTGTTCAAAAACCCCATTCCAATTTTCATAAAACTTTTCTTTTTCGTAATTTCTGGTCACTAAAGTAAGTAGGACCTTGAAAAGCTAACTCACGCATTTCCCCCGCAACCAGACCTAAACTGGCAATTTCGGGGCACAAAATGCCACTTTGTCTCCCTTCCAGGGGCTGTAACCGTGCCCAATTTTCAGGCGGAAGTGAAAAAGTCAGCCTGGAGGGCAGTAAAAAACGTACTGAACTTGCAATAAAACAGATTCAGAAAAAAATTTGGTTGCTTAGGACACAACTTTAGGTGCTTTATTACGTGCTTTATTGCTTTATTTATTTATTCAAACGAAAACAATAGCAATATAAAAATTAATGGGGTTGTGTACGACAAGGAACACGATAATTTTTGAGTGGTCGTTTCAAGACCACCGGAAGCAGGTGGATTCTGGTATACGGTAGTTTGTTCATCAGTTTCAGGGTCCGTCATATCTGTTGTTTCAGCTGGACGTGCTGCTTCTGAAGTCGAAAGAGCAGCTGTTGTAGTAGTTTTTGAGGCTTTAGTCGACTTGGTCTTCTGTGTTTTCCCTGGTTTCGTCGTCTTTGAATTAGGTTGCGGTGTAACTTCTTCTGAAAAACGGCTTTATGATAGCTTAAGGCCAATAGAAGTGGAAGGGTAATTCTCTAGTAGAAAGAAGTGAAGTTTGAAGTACCGCTAACCTGGCGTTTCAGGAATATACGGTTGAAATTTCGGCAAATCCGGTTGGTAACGGGCCGCTGAAGCTACGGCCGTTGCAAGATCGAAATTACAGTTATCTTCAGCACATATGATGTAATTTATATGGTTCTCGGCGCCAAAGTTGACCGAATAGTTCCCGACCTAAAAATTAAACCATTTTGGCATTTTTCTGTGTTATTTTAGAATTTTTGTGGTGCAGAACCTAGGTATTGATAAAAGTTCATGTTTACGAAAAAAAAACAGAATCATTATTGTATCGTGCAGAGACTTCTAGGATCGAGCAACTACAAAACAAGCCCGTTTTTTGAAAATTCTATGTTTTAAAACCCCCCTCAATGCGTCCCCGCGCTCGTGTCGAATTCTGTGTAAAACAGCCTCGAGAGTATGGGTTTGTCTTGATAGCGCCCGTTGACCAGGATTCGGGCCACCAGCTGTACACGCAGTATTCTCCCAAACAAGTCCGCGTCCCGTCTGCGTCATTTTGTGCTAAAATACCATGAAATCGTGTGTAGAGCTACACGTTGCTGATTCAAAAATCATACACTTAACCCACTTAAAATATGGCATGTCACCTTCTGCTCCTCCAACTTCCAGGGTACGAAATCGTTGCAGAAATCCTGAATTTTGATTTTTAAAGGTAATCCCAAGAAGTATTGGGGGTTCCAAAAAGAAAGGCTTTTTTTAGAAAATTGTACCTTCATGCTACCGTATACACCTATTTGCCAGGTTGATACGCAAACTCCTCTGAACGACACCTTTAACTTACCCAGTCGCAAGCCGCCTCGTACATCGGTATCATGCTCCCGTCCCAGTCCGCTGCGTAGATACCGCCCATATAGAATCTACACACTGTTTTTCGTAGACCAAGCTCATTAACTTACAATTGGCGATTTGAAGCGAAAGCGTCAAACCCGTAGAGACCAGTCAGATCGGTGCTACCGTCGAAGATATCGGAGATTCCAATAGTGACCAGCTCGCCGGTGTCTTCGGAATGCTAGAAACACGACCGCCCATGGGTTCAGTCCAGATGGCCAGTTGCGAACGGCAAACTGTACGCTTTTTGCCGCGTTGGGTGCGTGGGGCGCATAATAGCAAGGCGTTTTTGGCTTCGCCATTGCACGCGTGGCAGGTCTTTCCTGATTTCAAAAGTTACCAGACGTTTTATTAGCGGCCGGGCTGCCAATGAAATCGACTATTTGAGAGCGCGGCGGTTACATGTCGTAATGCTCTGTAAGGCGAAACGCCGCCATCCTCGATTTCGGTGATTCTCAGACCATTGTTTATAGTTAAAACGAGCGATGGTTTAAACTGTGTAAGGGTTTTGAAAATGACGTCGATATTTTGAAATATCGAGGTTTTCTCACTTCTAAACAGGACCAAGAGGGCTCGCAGCCCAGTCCTGTTGCGTTCGTATCTGGCTTTTGTATCTGGCATATCAGATTTTCTAGTAAGATCTCTGACAATCTAATTTGACGGTATCACCCAGAACGCTAATGCACGTTCTTAGTTTCAGCTTACATGCATGTAGTAGGTGTCACCGCAAGCTGCGCTAGTTGCCCTAGCGGTTGTTCCAGCATTAACAATCACATCATCTAGCGATGTGATGTTGACAAACTAAATAAAAAGATCCATCTATTTTTCACGAAATTACCTCCGGCATCTTGTAGCAGTTAATGAATCGATTATTCTTCGTGACTGACACCTCCTGGCTGCCCATGGTGGCCGAAATCTTTTTGTGTTTGTTGGCTGGGTCGGCGGTGAATTTGGGATCCTTTTTGTTACAAGATGTCGTACTGTAGTGAAGGAGGTAGTTTCGTAATTAATTTAGAGCCTACTTGCAAACACAAAAATAAGTAGGACCGTCTGCGTAGCTGACATCATCATATATACATCCCGGAGTTATATATTTTAATCCGGAGACGCATCCTATGCGAGTAGTTACCGGAAAATCTAAAAAGGGGTGTCTTTCTCTCTCCCCCTCCCGCTCTATCTCTCTCTCATCCCCTCGGTCTCTCTCTCCCCTCTCTCTCGCTCTCTCGCTCTCTCTCCATCGCCATCCTTTTCCTCACTCTTTTCCTCGCCTTTGTCTGTCACTCTCTCTCTCTTCTCTCTCTCTCTCTCTCTCTCTCTCTCTCTCTCTCTCTCTCCCTCTCTCTCTCTCTTATTTTCTCGCACTATCTCTCCATCTCAAACTTACTTATGCCATAGTCTTCGTACGCAGGGTCCATTATCCAGTAGCTGGTATACCGGAGGCAAAAATCGCCCTCGCAATCCTCGCTAAAATTGACGTCCGTTATTTCTATTAATATTACCTATCACCGAGATCTCCCCTGCGCCAACAAGTGGTTGCTGAACAGGATCGACAAAACAGCGCAACATAAATTGCAATAATAAGAAGGGACATTTTTTAACGACTTCCTAAGTGGATCGGATAGCTGAGCGAAAACCCTTCAATCCTGAAAATATTTTCCGTCACGGCAAAAAAAAGCATTTTTGCTAACTGCATGGAACAATCAGGTAAAAAAATATAGAAAGATTGTCACCAAACCAATTTGAGCACTTCCAAAGGCCAAGCGCTCTGAAGGTTGGACATAAAATTCAGGGCCAATTACCCAAGACGCTACTCAACACAGGCTAATTGTGGGCTAACCCTTTGATGCTCAAATAAAAATGTCAGATCCGGCGTTAATCGCTAAGTTTTGAAGGATTTTTGGCGCCATTTTTCGATCTGTTAAATAGAAAGATTTCCCGATCGTTGGTTAAAGCGTTAGAAGTTATGCTGTGGAATTTAATATGAGCCTCAGCCCGAAATACCTTAAAGGAATGACTCGAGCAGAAATCCAACGCTTACGTGGATTGCCTGAACTTTGCCAGATTCTGCTAAATTTTCGCGCCAAACAGCCCGTAGCATCCACTCAGCGCACTAATGAGAGGTTGCCAGGTGCGCACTTTTATGCGATCCAGAAATGGATGTTAATTAGATTTTACTTCCTGAAAATCGGTAAAATACGGATCAGCACGCAAATTATGACATAAATCTCAGAAGTCGCTTTCAAAGTCGGAAGCCTGATACCGATCCGGCGGATCGGGCAATTAGTCCTTTAAAGCGATGGCGACGGAATAGTCAATCGCTTATGCGCTGGAAAGAAAATGTCTCTGCGCCTCTCCCCAGGGCGACGAGCTCTCTGCCCTGTTGGCTACTTGCCAAATTGTTGATTGGGGGGGGCTCGACAAATGCCGTCGGCAGCCCTTTAAATTATGCTCGAGAAGGTCGGCCAATGTTTCTGCCGGCGAAAACACCGTTTTGAACCGTGCAGTTTATTAAGCCGCCCCGCCCCCGACACAAACTTGTGTAGAAGCCCGGGCAGAGCTTAACCTACACCTAGAGATAATTGCTGGTACCCGTACCCGGGTCTGCGACGAAAAGGTGTCAAATTTTCCTTTAGCACGCCAACTTCGCAGGCTTTGTTTGGTCCCTTTGCTACCGGAAACAACTACATCGCTCTTTTGAGAAAATAATGCTGACTTGAGCAACATCATCGATTTTCTTGGGTTCACTTGGTGTGGACTGAAAAATGATACATCTCTTCGTCGAAGTCTCCTACCATGATGTGCTGGCAATCGTTTGCACGTTTGTGGTTCGTTTTTATAAGCAGGATCGAGATGGTACCACTCAATTTCGTGTGTTACTTACTACTTTAAGAATCCCGACAACAAACGCGGCTTTAAAGCCGATTTTTTCAGCTCGGCACGCTTTCCGTCATCACAAATTCGATAGCCTTGCGCATGATTTGGAAGCAGGAACAACTGGTGCTGGTGGTTCGCCTTTATCTGGTTGCCGAGCAGCTATCACGGCTACTGATGACGATTTGTGCGTTCTACAACTTACCAGCATCATTCGTACGCTTTGACCCGGATCCGGATGACTGGTATCTGAACTTTGACGAGCGGTAAGTTGGACTAACACGGAGTCGTTTGCGTGTCCTCGGGGCTTTGGGATTGGCCCAAGCCTAGCTTGTGCAGAACTTTTTGCTGATTCCGAATATCGTCACCACTTTTGCGGAACAGCCAATTCTCGAAAGTCATGATGGATTTAAGGCGAAAAAAGCCACAAAACAGCTACTTTTGACGGTCATGAAAACATGCGGAATAGGTGTTAGAAAACACAGCTAATGCATCTCATTCAAATAATTGTTATAAAATAACCTACTTCACACAAACCTCAAAACGTCAAAGTTTGGAAATTTTGCGAAAATTAGGGGCATTAAAATGTTTATAAAATGCCAGTTGTTGGTCTCCTTGTCAATAAATAATGTTATTATTTTTCGCGTATGGAGTTTTCTTACATCTTTTTCTATAGAAACCCAAGTGAATCAGCAACTATTTCAGGATCACCGACTATGAATTTAACCAGGATGACCCGCTGTATCCAGAGGTGATTCCGACCGAGCGTAATTTCACGGTGATGGGACAATCAACCTATTTCGGCCTTCGGCATTTAAGCGGGCTAGCGGGCAGCCTTTTCTATACATTGCAGCATACACAGGAGACGCTGCAACTGGGACTCGCCACGAATCGACTACTCAGCGTTTTGTTTGATGGTCAGTTTCAATGGCAGCGTTTTAAAAAAAGGATACAGGCGTCAGCTATCGGATTTTCTGGGCAGCCGCTTGGATGCGTTCTAGCAAGGACCTTTACAGGGGCTGGGAAGTCAAAATTGGCGCGCACGGGGATTGAACCTACTGGTCAAGAAACGAAAGGGTCACTACCGAGAGGCATCAGAAAATTGATTTCTTTGCAAAAAACACGCAAAATGTTCGAGAAAGACCGAACCGTTTCCGGGCGAAAACTACTTTTTGAGGGTGCGGCCAATGCCTTGTAAGGCGGCCACTCAATCTCTTGATCTTGGTGATTCTCTGGCCAATTTTCACAGTCAAAAATCTAGAATGACCCAAATTCGGTGAGTATTCCAAATGCCTGAGAATTTTTAAACGCAAGCGTTTTCACATCCAAACGGGTGCAAAAGTTCACGCGGCGCGGTCGCGTTGCAGTCGCATCTTGCCGTTTGCCAGGAATCAACGCTGACGTTAGGGGCGCGGACCAGGTTTCGAAGCTCCTTTAAATCGTTTTGCCGTATTCTGGCAGCTTATATTTGTTTTTACCCCTTACAGGTCGCTACTACGAACTAACGATGAAACAGCCGTATATACAAATTCTCGTTATCTTCAGCCTGCCTTACATTCCGATCGTGTTTATATCTCATAGTATGTCACATTTTTGAAGAGATCGGATTTTCTGCGCTATCTTAAACGCCGCCATCTTATCGTAGCATTAACGGATGACGAATTGGGCAATGGTAACCTTTTAGGGGAAACATCAGTCTCAACCTACACCCAACTAATATTTCACCCATTCCTACATTCCCTCTACCAAAAGGGCAAATCTGTTGACAATTTCTATTCGCTTGATTACGAATGGATGTTGCGCATCTTCCATATTGCTTGCTCGCTGATCTCTGGCCTATTTGACATCTGCACATTCTTGATACTCCGTCGCCTAATAGTTAGTTTCCAAAGTTTCTTTTGCTTCTTTTTCTCTTTACATCCAAAGCACGTCATGTAGAACGACAGCACCGCGGCACCAAAAAATCAGAAAGGCACCCGAGCGGACGTCCGATTAGCAAAACAGGTAATCTGCTAACCGCTCATAGAAAAACGCCAAAATCCCGACATCCAAAATCCCGACAGCCATTAGCCCGAGAACCAAAATAACGACAGCCAAAATCACGATAACCATAATCCCGACATCCAAAATCCCGACAGCCATAATCCCGACATCCAAAAACCCGACAGCCAGAAACCCCAAATTTTCAAACTATTTGTAACGAAAACGACCGGAAATATTGCAATTGGATTGTCGGGATTATGGCTCTCGGGATTATGGCTGTCGGCATTCTGGCTGTCGGGATTTTTGCCTGTTGGGATTATGGCTGGAATTCACCGGTCGCTTTTATGGAACCTGATTATTCCCATTCTAGATGCTAGCAAACCAAGCGACTGCCTTCGTCCTGTCCTCCCCAACAATTGTATTTATTTACCTGAATTGGCAAATCTCCAGAATTACGAAGACTGAAGACATCCAGAATCGGATCAATATCATGTGCTTTTTGCGCAGTGTCTGGTATACAATAGGCACAATTTATTTGCCGCTGGCAGCAAACTTTGTCTCCGGGTAGCTCTACGCTTTCCTGAGACATTTTTGGGATTTTTAGGGGCATCGCCATCCATTTCTTCAAGCCAAAAAAGCCGAAAGCGGCAAGAGAATCGTCGGTGGCGTCGACTTTTTCGATTCGACGTTTTATGGCCAGGAGGGTAAGGTTAATTTTGAAAGAACCATTCAAACAATTTCAGGGCACCGTGGCTACAACTCTGTCGAAGTTTTACAGAAATTCGGAACATTGAACGCGATGCATGGCTATGCACGTCTTGGAACCAGGGTGATGAAAAATTTTATATTAATGTGTACGAACTATCATTTATTTTATATAAACGAATGTGCATGAACAGAATGTAATAAAACGATCATGACTCGATAGGTCGGAAAATCGGTAATGTGGACGCAAAAATAAAAAAAGTTGGGGTTTTTCCTAACCGTGATATCTATAGCTTTCCTCGTCGGTTAGCCACGACCTCTCCCGGACTACAGACTATCTTTTGCCTCAAGCCGCTTTAGTGGGGCTCTGGTAGCAGAGCCCCTTTTCAACGCGTCATGGAAGCGTTGGGCGGCGTGGCAGCAGGTATGGGAAAAGTACATCTCGAGGCGCGCCGCGGACAGCACTCTGCGTCTCTGGTCTATCCACCAAAAGAGGCCGTAATGGTGCTGCTAGAACTCCTTTAAAGGTATAGGTTTTCCCCGATCTCGATTCCCGATCGATTTTGCCGCTCACAACTTGGCAGCGCGCTGATTTTCCCGGTACCCGCACTTTCCAACCTTGCGTCTCTAACAAGGAAACCTCCCCAGCTCGAAGTTGGACTTCGATTAGCTATATAGCCTATATGATGCAGTTTTTCACGCTGATAACGATACCGATATTTATTTTTGCCGAGCGCCACAGGAACATTGTTAAAAATCGATTTAAAGTTTAGTCATCTTTGGCAGCCCCGCCTCAAAGCCCCTCCCCACGGGGAAGGATCCATCGGCGGCGTGGTGTAGTCGGCAAGTACTTGGCCTACCAATCTAGAGGTCGCTAGTTCGAGTCTTGCCGCTGACGACCTATTTGCAAAAATATTTTGCTTCAAAGTGTTGAAGGTCCTACAAGTCATTAAAGAAATAAGTTTTTGCATTGGTCGTCACGGCAAGACTCGAACTAGCGACCTCTAGATTGGTAGGCCAAGTACTTGCCGACTACACCACGCCGCCGATGGATCCTTCCCCGTGGGGAGGGGCTTTGAGGCGGGGCTGCCAAAGATGACTAAACTTTAAATCGATTTTTAACAATGTTCCTGTGGCGCTCGGCAAAAATAAATATCGGTATCGTTATCAGCGTGAAACTGCATCGATAGGCTATATGGCTAATCGAAGTCCAACTTCGAGCTGGGGAGGTTTCCTTGTAAGATGTACTTGGTCTCTCTCACTGCCGACTTTGTCACGACGCTCTGTACACTCCGTATTCATTCAAATCCAATCCGCCCGCCATTCCTTTTTCCCGGAAAGTAAGCTTAGTGTTGATCCGTGGTGGGAACCTACCGTAACTTTGTTGGCTATTCGGCAGAGATAGCCATTCCGTGGGGTAAGCAGGATAACGTGATTTTGTTCTACCTTTCAGCTAACAGCGACAAGCCACCAATCATCTTGCAAGACCAGTCTGTACCGGAAGCGCACAAATTGGCGGGGGGGTGAATTAGACGAGTCCGTGGTTGTGTAGGCGTTTCGGTCTCTAGGCTGCAAAATGTCAATTTTAGCGTCAACAGCCCATTTTATTGGTGTCTGGTGCACACACGGAAAGTAAGCTTTTTGTACCTGCCATCGGTAGGTGCCCGCTTGAGGGGACTAGGTACGGATGTTAACCCTAAACGTGAAAAAAAGTTTTATAAATGATACACTTTTTCACGGAGGTCACCCATCATGATTTGACTGCAATTATCTGCACGTCAGTGGTTGGTTCTTGCAAAATCTAGCGATTCAACAATTTTGTAGTTCGGCACTCTATCTATTACGACAAATTCTATAGCCGGCCGCATGATCTGGAGACAGGAGAAGCTCGTGCTGGTCGTTCGGCTCTATCTAGCTGCTGAGCAATTTGCTCGCTTATTAATGACCGTCTGCGCATTCTACAACCTTTCAGCTGCATTTATACGCTTCGACCCGGACCCGGACGATTGGTATATGGACTACGATGCGCGGTGTGTTATTAAAGAAAATTGAGCAAATTGAATAGAAAACTAATTTTCTTTCATAGCCTTCCCGATGAAGAGTACAACGCGGAGTTGCAGCTCATGGTGCCCGTCCCACGAAACCTGACCGTCTTGGCGGCGGCTCCGTGTTGTCGTCACTTGAACGGAATCGCCGCTACATTTTTTTACATCTGCCAACATACCCAGGAAACACTGCAATTTGGCTTGTCAACCAACCGGCTGCTTGGCGTAATGTTTGACGGTAAGGCTTATGAAAGATTGTATAAATCCCACTTTCAGGTCGCTTCTATGATCGGACATTGCAGCAGCCCTACGCGCAGATACTCTTGATCTTTAGTATACCATATATATTGATAGTCGTGATGTGGACGGGTTGGTCAAAAATCTTTCGCAGTTCCGTTTATCAAATTCCAAAATTAGTCACAAGAACCGACTTAACTTTGGCTTTCTTAAAGGCCACGTCCAGGGACGTTTTTTGGCAAGGAAGCAGATAGTTTTGCCGCGGCCGGCGGTCGAACCCGGACCTCCCGGTCGGGAGGCACGGATGGATACCAGTCAGCCACAGGTGCAAGCCGGCAAGGGGGCGCGGGGCGCCCCACCCAGGAAAGGAAGGGAATTGCAGGCCACGGCACGGGCAGGCAGTGCGCGCGGTCCTTACGTCCATAGGGTGCAGCGACGTAGCGTAATGCCGGAACGCGAGTTACAAGATCTTAAAGTCCTTGAATCGGCCAGTTTGCAACAATTTTCAAAACAACCTTTATTTAAAGCGCACGTTCAGGGAGGGGCCGTGTACTCGTCCCAACGTGTACACCCTATGGACGAAAGGACCACGCGCACTGCCTGCCCGTGCTGTGACAGGCCATTCCCCTCCTTTGCGGCGTGGGGCGCCCCTCATCACCTCGCCAGGTTGTAGCTGTGGCTGGCTCGTATCCATCCGCGCCTCTCGAGCGGGGGGGGCCGGGTTCGACCCCCGGCCGCGTCAAAAATCTTTGCTTTTTTCCAAAAAAACGTCCCTGAACGTGCCCGTTAAAGGGCTGCCGACGGCATGTGTCGATCCCCCCTCATCAACAAATTGGCAAGTAGCCAACAGGGGAGAGAGCGCGCCCCGGGGAGAGCCGCAGAGACATTTTATTTTCCGCGCGTAACCGATTGACTATGCCGTCGGCATCCCTTTAAGCCGGCTTTTTTTTGAGAAACCATTTTGTAAAATTTTGGGGTTTTTTGGCGTGCATACCAGATAATTTGCGTCAATTTATCCTAGCAAACTGAGCGAATTAGAGAGGGGGTAGTGTTTTTTTTATTGGGACACCCTGTACAAAACTCAATTTTCCAGGCGTTTACAAAAGCTTGCCGTACGACAGACTGATTTTCCACCCCTACCTACATTCCATTCAGCTGAACAGCAAGAGCCTTTTCGGCATCTTTTCAGTTGATATGGAATATGCCTTGCGAATATTTCATATTTTATGCACCATAATTTCGGCGATTTTTGATGTCTGCACATACGTTAAGATCCGCCGCCACCTGGTGCGTTCGGAAATCACATAATATTAGAATTCTCTGATTTCTTAGAACGGCAGCTCAGCAGCTCCAAAAAACCAGGCAGGCCGGGCTGATGTACGTCTGGCAAAACAGGTAAATTCCGATTTTCAGATCGATCATTCTATTTTTCTGGAAATCAATTTAGATGCTAGTAAACCATGGCTCTGCCTTCATCCTCTCCGTGCCAACAATATACTATTTTTGCCTGATACCAACCGCGCTGATCGGGCGAGCCGGACTCGGCGACGGCGTATCTGCCATCATTTTTCTGCGCTCTGTATGGTATACGGTTGGCACGGTCCATGTTCCGATTCTTGCCAATTTCATCTCGGGGTAAGCTGGAAAAATTAAATTCATGTAAAAAATAAATTTAGCACCTTTCCAGCTGTTTTGAGCAAACCGAAAAACCTTTTCAGCTGCATCGCGATCTACTTTTTCAAGAAGAAAAGGGTTAAGCCGGAAGGAGAGCCTTCTGAATCCATATTTTCCATCAAGCGGCTCATCTTGCGAAGGGTCCGTGATTTCTGATCTTTGAACTAAGAAAATTTAGAGCACAATTGCTACGACTCTTTCGAGTTTTTATCGAGCACTGCAATGAGAATGATTTGTTTGCATAGGTCGATTTTGATAAACCGTCGTGGAATCAAGGGCATCGGTGCTTGGGTTTTCAGATTCTAAAGCTGAATTGGCGCTTGTTACATCACACCAAAGGGGAGATGGGACCGGGCAGCGGGAGAGGTCTCTTCTGACCTGGGGGAACCGAACCAAGCTGTGCTAAAAGGAATGGGCAGCCCCCAGGACCTCCAACATGCACGCCTTCAGGCCACTTTACAAAATTAAACTTTTTAGGTGGAAGCTGGCCGAATTTTGTAAAGATAATATCATGCGCGTGATCCTCAACATTGAACACATAAGTGGTCAAAAATACAGGTCCAAATTCGCCATGTGAATTGGGTTATAGCCCGGACACCGCGGCTCATGGCCCATTTTGTTAAGGAGTTTTTGGAAAAATGCTCATAAAACAGCTATTTTAAAGAATTTCGCAAAATCCAAAAAATATTATTGGATAATTAAATAATAAATAACCAGGGTTGAAAAGCCGCTTCGCGACTTTTCAACCCTGGCCCCGTCTAGGCCCCATGATGGCCCAACTGCATAATCACGGTCGCCTGCCCTGAACAAAAAATGAAAATCACTCGCCATCCCGCCTTTATATGGACTCTTTTCACTTCCGGCGTATGCTAATTGATTCCTAACAAAGAGGTCGGGCGTGATTTTCACAAAAACCAATTTTAATATCGAAAACAGCTGTTTTTCAAAAATCTGCTGGGTGTGCAGTCGTGTCATGACCATTACGCTCCTAATGACGTATCAGGCATACCCTTAACTACTTCCTTTATTGAGATACGACTGGAACATACGGACGGAAGTTGCATGCAAATGAACACACACGCACACACACACAAACACTATTTTTTTATATATAGTAGGATGCCAGATGCGCCGTCGCCGAGTCCGGCTTGACCGGTCAGCGCGGTTGGTATCAGGCAAAAATAGTATATTGTTGGCACGGAGAGGATGAAGGCAGAGCCATGGTTTACTAGCATCTAAATTGATTTCCAGAAAAATAGAACGATCGATCTGAAAATCGGAATTTACCTGTTTTGCCAGACGTACATCAGCCCGGCCTCCCTGATTTTTTGCAGCTGCTGAGCTGCCGTTCTGGAAACCTGGAGAATTCTGATATTATGTGATTTCCGAACGCACCAGGAGGCGGCGGATGAAAAGTGTTTTGATTAGCTGTTTCGGACATTAGTTTTTCGGACAAGTGATTTTCGGACAGGCGACTTTTCGGACAGGCGAATAAACCCGAAGTAATTTTTTATCAAAATTTGCACACAATTAGAACCGAGGAGGCTGATTAGCTTTGTTTTCGGAGTGTTATCCTTATCCTGGTCAAGAACAAGTGTACGCTCTCAGCCTTATCCGTCAAATTTTATGCAAATTTATTACAAAGTTTTCCTCAATCTCGCGCCTTCTTTTTGCAGACAGCATTATATCCCTTGGCACTCGTCCAAATGTCGTCCCATTTGTTCAGGTATAACTTGTCGTCATTGCTGTATTCCTCCAGACGGGTTGTGTAGATCTGAAAACAATTTGAGTCATTCTCTTTACTAGTTCACGATAAGCTCGATACGCGACGTGGCCGCAACGTGTCGGCACCGCAGCTAATCAAGAAAACCAAGATCAAGCGCTACGCACCTGAATATACTGCGCATTTCGGTGATTGTCGGGCTGGCCACTGGCCCACCTTGCGTATTCGAATCGGCTACCATCGGTCCAGGCAAAGTCCTTCATTCCGGGCCCCATCTGAAAATGGGTGGCGAAGCATTAATAGGCTGTTGAACCGAAGCAAGGCCTTCTTGCTTTCTTAAATTTTCTAAATCTTCTAAGGACCGACCCGCTTCCCACCAAACCACGTTCCAGCTTGGTCCAGCTTGTAATAGTTGCCCTGTCGCCCATGCACGTATGTATCGGCAAGTTCTAGAAATTAAGGGGAAAGTGACAGTACGCCCGGTTGAAGGTCAGAAGAGTTGTAAGCACCGGTTTTTAGGAACCAGAAGTAAATCGCTACGCAAAAAAACAGCGTGTAGATGCTGGCTAAAACTCGGCGTATAAACTACCAGTGGAAAAAGACCGCTTCGCGGCCCTTTTCCACTGGCCTCGTCTAGGAACCATATATTCCCCTTCCGTTTTCCAAAGCCTGCGGTTCAACTCTGGCCTGCGGCTCTAGGAACCATTCTCTGGCCTGCGGCGCTAGCTACTGGTTTTTCTCCAGCATTTGGCCTGCGGCGCTAGAGCCCGGGCCAAGGACCTTTTCTTTGGCCTGCGGCGCTAGAGCGAGGGACTCGTCTAAATTTCGAGAGCCTCGAAAAATGTTTTGTTGTTGAACTATCAAAAAAGCAAAAAGCTACCTTCACCGAGGATCCGAACCCTCGACTATGCGCACGGTAGAGCGGGCACCAAACCACTCTATACCAAAGGCGGCATGGGGACGGGTAGCGGGAAAGGCCCCTTCTGTCCTGGGGGCCGGATCAACCCGGCAGGGAGGACTTCTGGTAACTTTACAAAAATCGCTATTTTAGACTGAATGCGCCAAAAATTTGTAAAGATAATAAGATGCGCGTGATCCCCACTATCGTATACATAAGTGGTCCAAATTACAGACCGAAATTCCATCTGGGCATTGAGTTATGCCCCGAACACCACGGCTCGTCGCCCATTTTGTTAAGGATTTTCACCATTTCGTTTGTAAAATCGTTAAATCAAGGAATTTCGAAAAACAAAAAAATGCGTGTCTGGCAAATGTGTTTCTCCACCTCCATGCCAAAAATCAGCCGGAAATTCGGCCTGAGGGCCGAGAAATCGTCTGCACAGAAAACACACATACTTTTCTCGCTTATAGGATAGGATGATCTCCGCGCATGGCTCACCCTCGCGCTTTTGATACCAAATCGCTGCCAGAACAAACTATCGCAGCGCTCGAGCCCCCTAAGAAGCCTTAAAGTACGCCCAATACCTGTAACGATCCGATTTTCCTCATCAGAATGGATTGAAGTTAGCTCGGCTCCCAAAGCGAGGCATTGATTCCGCGCCTCGGGCCAGGTGAAGCCATCAAACGTGCCGATCAGCTAAATATTGTCAATTTCTAGTCTTTGCGTTAGAAAAACCTTATAGCATCCCGTGGTATCTGGGGAATACATCCATTCCGGGTCGCAGGGTGGAATGGGACGGCCGGAGATGCAAAAGTCCTCCTAAAAATATAAAAACTGTTATCGTTACCGTAGCCAATTATCGGCGCAAGGAATTTTTTGTGTTACTCAGAACGTTCTGTATTACTACAATTAAACTACCTCACGATATCCCACGCAAGCCGCCGCGTACGTTGCCTTATGATCGGTATGCCAACTCTGGTCCTTCAGACTTATCGCCAGGTATCCGGGCATTTGATAACCTAAAGAAAAGTGTGATTCTGGAATCGTTTAGAGAAATCTTACGTTTTCCGAAACTGTACGCAGCAGCTTCTGAACCGTCGTTCCATTCCACGTGACTACCATTATAATATCCGCCCAACCAGACCCATTCTGTGGAGTCCTAAATTCCGAATAAACGTTTTTGATAAATGTTACGTACCTCAATTTTTCTGCGTGCCTGTCTTACCAAAGCGTGACTTTCATCGGCTTGGAGAATTGAAGCCCCAGTCATGCCGAGGCTAAAGTTCATAAACGTTCAACATTCGCCCCAGGGGCTTCTCTGCCACCGTGAAAAAAATTGTGTAGAGAAACCGACTTGTTACAATAATCCATCGCCTGCTGCCACGTCATCTTCATCGGGGTCACATGGTAACACTTTGTGCCCGACGGGTCCCAATCCGAAGCCCCGGGGCAGAATCCAGAGACGGTATAAATGAAGAGAAACGGTATAATGTATTGCACATGCATCTATGAGCTGCAAAATCTATATTAAAGGCTTGTTTGCGAATAACTGTGTCACTAGGAAAAGGCATGAAATAAGGACATAACCGGCATCATTTAAGTCAAGACGGCGCGATTGCGCTGCTCAAAAAAGATTTCAAAACTTGGCTATAGAATTTTCTTATCGAAATTTCCCGGAATTTTGCTTAAAGGTACACTAAAATCTCGCTTAAAAAGTAGTTCGTGGTCGGGAATTTGGTCCCTTTGTCGTTAGATGGACCGACCCTTCATATCCCCTCTCCGCCTCCCCTCCCTTGTCTCTCTCATGGCCTATTGGCCTATGGCGCTTGCCCCAGGCGAGTGGTCCGGGTTCGGTTTTGCTCCGCGGCGAGCGCCTACCGTAACCCTGTTTGCTATCCCGCGGACGGTTACCGGCCGGTAACCAAACCAACGAGACGTTAGTGTACCTTTAAGAGAACTCGATTACATTCAGACTATATAAAAAACATTCTAACTGAGGAGAAGTAAGCTAGGTCAAAGCGGGGTTAAGAGCGTTAGAAAATCCGATGAGCCATTAAGGTTTGGAACTTTAATAGGAGTTTTGGAACCGGGCAAGAGCATTTGAATGGGCGTGCCCGAGTGTCCTTTTCCCTGGGGTCGCTCCCCTTTCCGGGAATGCCAGGGAAGCCAGAGAAGCGGTTTGTTTATAACTCGAGGGGAGTTATCGGAAGATCGGACCTTTCAAAAAACACAAAAACCACGTTCTGATTGATATGATTAACAATGATTTCTGACGTTATATCGGCGGCGTAAAGAAGCGGAATGCATTACCAAGGAAAAGTGCGCGGAGAAATAAAATTAGGCAAGATTATTGGAAAAATGCACGTTTTCCTTGCATTACCGGGCTCCATAGTACACGAAAATGATCCGGTTGCTCTAGAAAAATGGATTTTTAAGCAGATCCGGAAAAATTTGGCCTAAATGTTTTGCATATTCACGTGTTTCGCATTCCAAATTACGCATATTCCTGGTAAAACAAGCCCAAATTCATTCGCAATTCCACGCCGCCCATTTTTCTGCCATGATGTGGTGGACAACTAGTGTATGTAAATTAGGCTTGGATGCAAATTTAATGTAATTTCCAGGGATACGAACCGCTGCCAATGGCGACGCCGAACATTCGCCCCGGTTTGCGTACCTATCGACGCCATGTGTACATCGCCGGCGGGCTGCTGCTGATCTTCGTCGGCCTGTTGATCATCTACTACCATATGGGGACGGCGGACACGGATGTGGTTCAACTTCCCGGATATCATTCGGTGCCGGAAAACGACAAGTTGAGGTTAGGGGTTTCAAAACGTCGAAAATTTTGATTTCGAAACCCAAGTCTCCGCAATTTCAGTTTGTCGAAATTTCATAATGCCGATATTTCAATACCTCAAAACGGCTAAATTTGCTTATACGGTCACCTACGCAAAACATAACTTTTAATATGTCAAAATGCTCAGCAGGACAAGCTGGTGCGAGATCCGTTGAGAAATCTTGACGGCAAAAGCTCTATCTCGAGTTACATGACTTCGAAGTTGGCAAGTGGCGTATCCGGTCACCTACTCAAAACACAACTTTTGATATGTCAAAATGTTCAGTAGGACGAGCTGGTGCGAGATCCGTTGAGAAAACTTGGCGGCGAAAACTCTATCTCGAGATACATGACTTCATAGTTCAATATTCTGACTTCGAAAAATCGGTTTTCGCTGATCGATAAGATAAATAACGGTTCGATACAAGCTTAGCTTTACTCAACACACCCAGTTTGAGCCTAAAAAAAGGCTTCGTGCCACCCGGGGCCTAGTCGCTTCGGATGGGCGCGAGCTCGTACAGGGTTTCGAAATGGGGGCGCCAAGGCCGGCGAAGCGGCCGGGGGCGCCCCCATTTCGAAAGAGTGGAGCGGCAGCCCATCCGAAGCGACGGCCCACCTTGCCTGACCATGCCCAGAAAGCAAAAAGAATGTGTGAAAAAAGTAAATGTGGGTTTAAAAACGTTTGATCAATTACGTAGGTTTCCGAACTTTCCGCTGGAGTTCGTACCGTCTTTTGTTGCGTTTCGTACTGCTGCCGCACCCAATATTTCGCCATTTTGTCGCTTTTCTTTGGTAATAACTCGATATAGAGCTTTTGCCGCCAAGTTTTCTCAACGGATCTTGCACCAGCACGTCCTGCTGAGCATTTTGACATATTAAAAGTTAGATTTTGAGTAGGTGACCGTATAAGCAAATTTTCCCCTCAAAACGTTTCGCGTAAAATTATTCGGGTTTCGCGGTAAATTTGATGACGAAATTGGGATGCTGTGAAACTTTTCATCAGATTCACTCAGTACATTTCGGCATTATGAAACTTCAAAATTTCAAAAATGCAAAAAACCTCTATTTCAGAGCTAAGTTTTAAGATGGAACTACTACCGTCCAAATATTGCTTATCGCGACCTGGTCCCGGATCGGAGACCGGAAGCCGGAAAGACAAAAGAAGAAGCTTCGGCCGCGAAGATGATCATCCTAGGTCCGTTTTTAAAGGGACGGACAAGCGAGGGAATTTGCTATTTATGAATCCTTGTTGATTCTGCCGTTTTCGCGAAGCGCAATGCGCAAAATGATGCTTTGCGTAATCGAACACTGCAAAGTTGGCTCGAGCTGCATTGTTAGCTGCCCTATTTTCTCTTTTTCAGAAGGCCTTTACACCCCGGAAGACTGGTCGGCAAACCCCGGTCTGTATACGGTAGCCGTGGAGCAAAAAAAGAACCACACCGCTAAGGGAATGATGAAGATTCTAGATTGTTCGTTTTTTCTTGATAAATGGTCATTTCTCTACTTCAGCAAGCAATTACGCCAAACGCCTCTTCTTCGTCGACTCGCCAGCGAATGACTTTTTCCAAATCATGCGGCCCGAGAACGCCTCCGAGCTACGGCTGATGCCAAAGTTTGTTGATTTTTTGGGAGATGTAAAGAGATGAATCAGGTTTCGGTTCTGGACTGTTAGCGGGGGTGTTACTTTCTCCCAGTAATTCCGTACGGCACTAAAGAGCAATATAAACCATCTTTATGGCATTTTACATGTCTTTTTAAGAATAAAAATATATCTAAAAAATTTTCCCTTGGCTGAAATCCCCCGGCTAACAGCCCGTACCAAAAAATTATACCCTTTCCAGGAGCGCCTACAAACTAGAGGGCAATCTCTGGATACCGCGAGATCCCAAATTACACCAACGACTCTGGGCCGGCTCAAGAATGTTGGAATGTCTGAATTGTAAGGGTTTACCCAACTTTTGAAACGAGGATCGGATTTGGTGACGAACCTGCGCAATCTCACCGATCCGCCGAGTATGATCCCCGACGACGTCTACTGGCTCTCCGTGATTCGCGACCTGCACTTCGAGTATCGCGCAATTCCGTTTCTCGTCTCGGGCACATTACTGGGTTGATATATTTTGATGGTTGGATACCAGCAGGTACCTCTAAGCTAACCAGGGACGCGTAGTCAGGCTAATAGATAGTTTTTGGTGGTACAGGGCGTCCCTATGCAAGAACCGCCTCCAACTCGACCCAGAAGTATCGGATCGGAATGATCGTTTCACCATTCGTAAGGCCTTGAAACGGCGAGTTTGCGATAATCTTTAAAACATGTTTGTGACGCACCATTAGCTTGTATACAACCCTGAAAACCGGGAAATCTTACAGAAAAACTTGCAAAATAGCGCATTTAAAATAAGTTTTAGGGATTCGTTGCAGACTCGCTGTTTAAACGGCGTTCGAATGGCATAACTATCATTCCGATCCGATGCTTTGACTTCGAGTGAAGGGGGGAGTTTTTTTAAACGCCCTAGAACTCTTCGCAATAAGAAAGAATTCGCAATCATCCCATGTTTTCAGGCTGGCGTCGTGAATGTTCCGTGATCCCGCACACGACCGACATGGACATTGCTACGTTCGAGGATGAGTTCCCGATGGCGCTGGTCAACGACTCGATCAATATTCGCCGGAAACCATTGAAGCTCTCCCGTATCCTTGGCCGGGTTAGAAAATTCTGGTCGTACTTACTCTTAAGCGGCGAAGAAGCCCTGGTTGACCTAGAAAGTATCCAACCACGGCGGGCGCAGAGCGTCAACTCGTTAAACGCAAATTTTTCCAGCCAGGCGACAGCTACGAGGCGACGTTCAGCCTGGACACCGAGCGCGGCACCACCGTGAACATTGACCTGTTCACGATGTATCGCGACCCGAGCATGCGCCGCTACTACATCACCATGGTCTACAAGGTCTACAAGCCCGCCTTCTACGTGTTCAAGCAGCTGTCACATCTGCAAAAATTTCAATCGACTTATCCGTGGTGAGTGCTGGTTTGATTATACAGGTGTAACAATAAAAAACATCCCCCCCCCTAACACGGCGCAGAAGTCCGATCGGAATGAAAGTAGACCATTCGAAACCCCTTGAAACGACCAGTTTGCAACAATTTTCAAAACCATGATTTTGTTCAAAACCCAAAAGCCAAAGCCCAAAAAATCCCCCGGGCAGATAAAACAGCCGAGATTCGCCTGGTTTTATAATTTTGATACACATGGAATATAAAGGTTCGGCGCCGATCTGTGCACGGCCGATCTGCACGGCCACCTCTTCCATGTCCCCTGCAACCCAGAATTGATTTTGGAGGTCTGTCTGAAAGCTTGATAAATTGAACACCAAGAAATCTAGGCTGATTACGGCAAGAATTGGCGAGTCGACCAGAACAACAAGGATTACACCTGGGGCAGCAACACCATCAAAAGTGGACAAATTCCGGCCGCCGAAGCGTAAGTAATTTGATGAGGAGTGGACGAGGAACGAGCTAATTCTCCCTTTTTTATGATATTTTTGTCTTACAGCCGTGCCTTCCACCGCTCCTTCTGAACACCAAGTGACGAATTGGCCTACGATTGCGAGCATCTCATTTCCCTGAATATTCGTTGAAAGCAGATAAATGTATTCGAATTTGAGTGGAGTAGATTGGAACACAGACACAAATTAAATATGCGTGACTGGCCTAGCTTAAATAATGGTTTGCAGAGAATCAGGTTTAGCATTCATATGCATTAAAATATACCGTACTCCGGGAATTCGAGAAAGAGAGAGAGAGAGAGAGAGAGAGAGAGAGAGAAAGAGAGCGAGCGAGCGAGAGATAGAGAGAGGGATAGCGAGCGAGAGAGAGAGAGAGAGGGACAGCGTGCTAGAGAGAGAGAGAGAAACTCCCAATTCATGGTTTCAGACGGAATCCAAATGTACCCGCCTTACCGATGGAGCGGTGATAGCCCCCCCCCCCCAGCTACGTTACCATATCATATCCATGGCATTTGATATTTTTTATTCCATAAAAAATTTTCATTACATTATTTCGGGCTGAAATTAGTTCTCCTGTTAGATTTTTCGAGATTTTAGCGAATAACACTCGCAAAATACCACAGTAGGTGCAAATTTTATAATAATGTGTGCCACGTGTTAATTATCCCCCCACGTTATCTTGTGTTTATCATGTATTTCCCTGGCCAGATTCGGAAATAATAAACGATATTACTACCGACATGAAAATGTTGCCGACTTTATTCAAAAGACACAGGATTTGTACATTCAACCGGAATTCACAAACGAAGAGAAGAAGAAGCAGGTAGAGAAGGACAGGTCAAGTTGTTGAGTGCAACGTGCCCGAGAGCTCCACGGTCCGCGTACCCGCAGATACTCGGGTAAAAAATCAACGCCGGGTCCCGCAGCACGGCATATCGAACAGCGTTCTGAGCACTTTGGTCGTACCTGAAATGGAATTGGATGAGGAATACCGGCAAGCGGCAACTGCCAAGGGTCAGAAATGTGGATGCGAAAGCGATAACGAACCGATGGCAGCCCCTTTGCCGGTTTTCCCGCTTGCAGTAACGAGTAGCGGTCGGTGACGCGATGCAATCCTTTGTTAGCGCGCACAGCAGTAGCCTGCGAAGATGTAAGGATGCCCAAATGTCAGGTTGAACAAATGTTCTATGGCCTAGTAAAATTGTGGATAGCTCAATTCTGGACATGCGATACGCCATTTTGTGGCTCTCTGTCTGGGACGTTTCTGGAAGTGGTCCTAAGCCTCCAAAATCAAGGAGGGCGAAGATACAGGCCAGATAGGCATTCTTTTTGGAAAAATTAAGAAAACGCGTTTTAGCGGGTTACCTCCGCATGCCGCATGGAGCTACGGCTGTGGTTCAGTTTTTTTTACGGGGCCAGGGTTGAAAAGTCGCGAAGCTGCTTTTCAACCCTGGTGGCGTTGTAAAAAAGTTGTTACCATTTGGCTGCCAGCTTTGTCGTTCGACTCGGGCGCATGAAAACGTGCGCGGCTCCATTTTGTTTCTGAGCGGCCAGCTTCGGCGGATTCGGAAGATATTTGAACATGGCTGGAAACGGTTTGATGTATATGTACAGGGTGTCCCAAAAAAACGAGCGATTCTTTTCGTTTCTTTTTTCAAACGTTTTTTCGGACACCCTGTACAAGCTTCATTGATATCCCAGGCTTCAGGGAGCCAGCAAATGACGGGAAGCCTAGTTACATACCCGGATCGGTGAAGTCAATGTTCATGAATCCAGTGGAGCCCTGCATCAAGTAGTCGGGCGCCTGCAAATGCCGGCTACGGTCAGGTCGGAAACAAGCCCGCAGCCCCCTTCTTACGATCCGAACTTTTGTATCACGACCCGCCGTTCTGACAGGCTAGCTAATCGTGAGACCAACCCAGAATGACCAAAACTCTCTCTCTCTCTCTGTCGCTCTCTCAATCACTCTCTCTCTCTCTCTCTCTCTCTCTCTCTCGGTCTCTCTGAACCGCTTCCCCTTTTTCTAGAAAAAAGCCGGCGGACCGTGCCATTGTTCACTTCATCATAGAACGTCCTCACACATTCCACAGTCTTGAAGGTCACTGACGTGTCGACCATCCAAAACGGGCGTCCATCAGCCATCATTTCCTACAATTTCATTGCTTTCTGCAGAATGTCTCGTGTGTTGCTTGACTGAGGAAGGGAAACCCACAGCCATGATGAACATCTTGAACGCGTAATTATAGAGATCCGATGCGTATGAGGGATAACTGGAGAAGTCGAAGCGACGGATGGTCAGGTTGCAGACTCGTGACACTTCATCCTCCTAGAATTACTCGGTAAAAGCCTGTAATCCCTAGGTTTGTTATATGAGTTGACTTGCAGGCAATTTCGTTTCGGGGGGGGTTTACCCCCGGGGGAGGGGTAAACTGCACTCTACCCAGGTGGGCCACGGTTTACTTTACCCCCCCCCCCCCAGCCGGAAGTTTTTGGCTACAACTTGTTTATTTTACATTTATGTGGGCTCAAATTAAAACGTAGGTATATTTTTCGACGCCCTATCGAATGGCGTTGCAAAAATCCCGACAAAATACGCGAAAATACCGACAATTTTGGGACCCTTCGGCTGTGGGGGAGTAAAGTAAACTCTTACCGGTAGGTAGGTGTCGGCTCGGGGGTAAACTGCGGTTAAGCCCGAAATTCCTCACCTCCTGTTTTGTCAGCCCCATATTGTAGAAGATGATTCGATTGTTCGGGAATTTCTGGCGAAGGTCACGCACGCTGCGACGGGCCTCCCGGAAATGGTCGCTGGACGCGTACATTGCAAACACGACGTCATCTGCCCTAACGCAACGATGAGTTGAATTTCATCTGACAGGTATTTCACGCAGTCAGACAGTCGAATGTCTGACTGTGTGACTGCCTGTCAGATGAAGATCAAGGAGATTTAGAACTTCAAACCAATAAACCACCATCATCAATCATCAAACAATCAATCAACAACCAATAAAGATTTAGAACTTCAAACATTTTCAAAATATTTTTGACGCTTTCTAGCGATCAAAAAACTACTAAAAAAACTGTAAAAATGCATAAAATCTCTTCAACAGGTGTAGTTGGAACACAGAAACTGGTCCCCCCCCACTAACAGTCCAAAACCGAACCAATTATACCATACCAGAAATTCTCGGCTCGCGCACCGTCGATATGGCGCTGAGTGAGGCTGAACCGTTGGAGATAAGGCAAAAATGAATGAGAGAATGGCTTCCCAGCGATTCCATCCACCTCCAGAGACCACTGTAATGGCAAAAGCCAATTATCAGTGAGATTAATGGCTTACCGTCTCCGGATCGCCATCATCTACCAGCGACATCAACGCGTAGCATAGAAGAAAGACGATCGCTGCAGTCAAGCCGACAACCCGCCCAAGCCGTCTCATTTCAACAATGATCGGTGGGACACTTGGATAAGCAAATTCTGCCCGAATACTTATGCAAATTGTCGTAATGCAAGTGGGAGACGGAACGGAGGAGAGATGAAGCGTAGAAGGGAAGAAGACACATCCAAAAATACAATACAATAGGGGTTTCCAGAAAAATCGCTCTGAAAGGGCAGATTTTGGCCGACTTCCGTTTGCGAGCATCTCATTTTCCCGCATCGCTGTAGAAAGCAGATAAATGGATTCGAATTTGAGCGGTAGATTGCAAACCCATACACATGATAACTAGCTTGAAATTAGAGTTCTAGTTGCGATTTGTTCGACAAAGACAAAAAAAATTGCGGACGAAGAAGCTAGGTTTCTTCGCTCGATGTTTGATCCCTTGATTGTTTTAGCGCTTTCGAGCGAAAATTGACACTAACAAAAAATGTGCACAAGCAACTTTCAAAAAGATACGATAGTTTTGGCTGTCGAATTAACTTTCTGTCCGTTCTCAGCTCATCCAACAGTTGCGGCACTAACCCTAAAATTTTAACTTTTTCCAAATCCAGGTCGCGATGATGATGTGATAGCTACTAATGCAGAACAAGCCAATGTCTAACAAGAGAACCACAAGTTGGCACGGTGGAATTTCGAAAAACGCTCGCGGCTACCCCTAGGTTTTCGACGACGGCGATTCCAATGCGCTAGTCAGAATTAGCTAAATCGACCTGTGGACAGAGATACAGCACTTCCGGAAAATGGTCAATTTACATTTGGAGGAATTAGCATTCACCTCAGGGTTTATGAGGGCTTCCGATCTCAGAAGAATCACCAGTTGAATGACCGGGTAGTAAGCGGCTAGCTTGTTAGGATACTGACCAGGGTTCGAATCCGTTCACAACTTTTTGTTTTGCTTTTTGGACGGAAGTTTTGATTTTTTTCACATAGTAAAGCTTTTATTCGTTGGTGATGAGGTCCATTCCTGCAAAAACGGTTTGAAATTGCAACTTTCATGCGACGGCCCCTTTCAAACGAACGAGTAGCTTTTAAGAAGCTTGTAGTTTTGCTCAAAGTTCCGTCCAAAACACAAAACAAAAAAGTCGTGAACGGGTTCGAACCCTGGTCAGTATCCTAACAAGCTAGCCGCTTACCACCCGGCCATTCAACTGGTGATTCTTCTGAGGTGGGAAGCCCTCATAAACCCTGAGGTGAATGCTAATTCCTCCAAATGTAAATTGACCATTTTCCGGAAGTGCTGTATCTCTGTCCAGAGGCCCATTAAGGAAATTCTGACTAGCGCGTTGGAATCGCCGTCATCGAAAACCTAGGGGTAGCCGCGAGCGTTTTTTGAAATTCCACCGTGCCAACTTGTGGTTCCCTTGTAAGCATGCCCAGTGCCTATTCGTGTCTAGGTAGTGTAATTATCAAGGTATCGATGCCCCCAGTCGCTCGATCTCCGTTTCCCGGGTGAGATAGCCAATAAATGTTGCAATAAATTGTCACACCCCGTGCCTCATGAAAAGGCAAGTCCATTCCCCGAACTACGCCCTTTCGGTAGATTGTTTATTTCCGATCGCAGACCAACCACGCTCATTTTTTTCAGCTTCCGCCCACGATTCTCTTTCTAGCTCTTTTTTATTGGTTAGTTCTCAGAATGTCCTTCAAATTCAAAATCCTGCTACTTCTGCTCCTTGACAAAGTGATCTCGTTTTGCCCCCGAGACGCGGATTGGGACGCGACCCAAACAAAATGCTACTACGTTTTTGCGATCCGAATGTCCCAGGCGAAGGCGATGGAGCACTGCGAAAAGTAAGAGTATGGCCCTAAAGGCTTTGACCAGCAGCTTTTTGCAGCTTTAATCACTTTGGGGCGTCGATCTCGAACGGATTCGACAATCTCTCGATGATGAACCAGGCGCGAAAGCAGATTATTGTAAATTCATAGCTTGCATTAAATGATTTCTGTAATTAGGATCACACGGAATGGGTCTGGCTTGGTGGGTATTTCGATGGGAAGCGTGTCATTTGGAAGGACGGGGTGAACTCAACGTATCGCAACTTTGCAGCGGGTAAGTCGGAATTTTTAAGCCAACACAGAGACATTTTTTCGTGCCTTCGGTGTTCTGAATTTGGGACCATCTTGTGCAGGATTTCTTGCTGTTTCCAAGGCGTTTACCAAACTTCAATCTCAAAAAGCGCCACTTTCTATGGCTTTCCTGCCAAAATCGTTCATTAATTGGGAAATTCCGGCTTCCGCGATGATAAAGATATTCGGAATCAGTGTGACAACGCGACCAGCAAGCGTGATCACCATTTGCAAGCGTATCCCTGCCATTTTAGCCGACCAACCAGCTGGCCACATCGTCGCCAACCTGAAGGATGGTAGCTGGGACACTGTGCGCCACGGTAATTACCCAGTAGCGTGTGTGGGCTTGAAAACGGTACGTTAAGTCCATGTCGCAGAGCCCATGCAAATTTCAGCCAACACGCTGCACCTCAACGGAATTTATCGGCGAGCCGGTTCCGCCATGCGATCCGGAATGGTTGTATGCCCCAAGTACGAAAGGCTGTTACAAGGTGTCAGGAAATTCGTTAGATGTTTCGCTAATAATGCAGAGTATTTTCCTACGCGCTTTTTCAGTTAATCGGTGACTTTGCTGGGTTCCAATGGGCTGCGGCCCGTGATCGATGCCTGGCTATGGATGCCGATCTAGCATCGATCCATTCGGATGAGGAAAATCGAATCGTGGCAAGTAGCGTTATCTGACACAAGCCAGTTTGACGCCATCAAATTAAGGCGTCGCACAACAATATTCGCCTGTATCCCTGCAGACGCCCTATTATAACTATGGCGGTACCTGGATAGGCGCGAAAACGGTAATTCGTGAGCATTAGATGAGGATTTCTGGGAAATCGCTCTAGGTGACCGAAAGACGGGGTGACAGATTTTACTGTATAAACGGTTCAGGTGCTAAAATCGGGAATCCATCCGATTATACGCGTCCATATTCTATCGAGGATAAACCAGAAATTAGCTAAAAGCCACAGAGATAAGCTCAAAACTCTACGACGAAAAGACATGTCTGCCGCTTATCTTGAGCTTAGCTGTATATTGCAGAATTTAGCTGTTAAGGCACGTGGCGTAATACCGGCCCCTAGGCAATACCAACTCCAATTCCCGCGGCAGCGCGGGACGCCTCGCAAAAACATTTTTTGGTTATGTCCCTGGTTGTTAGTATCCCGGATTCCCACGCACCTAAACAGTGATTTTTAGGCAGACCCAAAAACGAACGACTTCCAGTGGTCGGATGGTACGAAATTCGGTTATACCAATTGGACCCCTGGCAGACCGTCAACGAACGTTGAGCCGCATCTCTATGTGCTGGTATGGAGACTATGTACATCTATAATACAACGCTTTTTAGATGGTGACGGCGCGATTCAACTATACGTGAGTGAATCTACACCCATTCGTTCCATTTGTTTCTTATTGTTAACGGGTTTTAGCAAGGAACCGTTCATCAACTATTCGCTCTACTTGAACCGGTGGACAAACGTTCGAGAAACTGATTGTTATACCGCAGTCTGCAAGAAAAGGGCCAGATATTAAGCCCCTGGACCGTAGACCTTCTACAATAACATCGTCTTCGAGGTTCCGAGCCCAAATTAAGGCACTTGCCTTCGACAAACCACGTGTTTATTTTTGGTCAATACGAGCTAGTTGTGTAATTTGTCCCGATGCCCCGCATAAAATACATTGGTATCGCCTTCACCTTCTAAGTCAAATGACAACAAGCAAGTTTCCAATTAAAACATAGTCATTGTTGCAATTTGTTGAAATGTTTTGGTTGATCATAAATCCTTGGGCCCCCTTGAAATATAATTCGCAGCCAGAAGCTTCGCCTGCCAAAAAATAGTCGCACGCGTACCAGTACCCGGAATATTGATCCAAAAGGAGCAGGGAGTCATCTGAAAGAACCATACTAGGGAAGCCCGAATAAACCCGGACTCAGAATTAGCTGAAAATTTTAACACAGCCAGAATTGACCACGCTGATCATCGCCTCGTTATCCAAATTTGCTACCGATCTTAAAACTCTAGATATGCCACGTTTAAGGCGATCCTTTAGTCAAAACCGTCAAACTTCAAGCTCGATTATTTTGATCTTCCCGGCCGAAAATAAATATAGCCATCGCATTCAAAAAAAATTTTTTTAATGAGCCCTCCTGCTTTAAATTTTCGAAAACTCGAAAACTTGGAAAAATTGGCAATACTTGCTTGGTATGGCCTCCGATTTTTTATGGGAAATAGTGAAAACAGTCTACTTCAAACAGCTGTAAGACGCCGTCTAGACAAAGCCTACCTTAATGAATGCTACCATTCGATTCAGAAAAAAAATTTCTATCAGATAGGCTACTTCAAATAAATTAGAAACTCAATATAAAAACAAGCGGAATCATGGCAAAACACTTCTCGGGGTCGAAAATCGACACCAAACTTCAATATCTCAAGTTTTAAAGATTAACAGCAAATTTGAACAACAAGGTGATGATCAGCGTGGTCGATTCTATCTCTGTACAGGGGGCACGGCGGCCGCCGCCGGGGCGGCCGGCCGGCCGGCCGACCCCGACCCCCGCCGGGCGAACGAGGGGCCAGAAAAAAAGAAAGCAACAGAACGAAGCAAAACAAGGCAACCAAAAAAAACACAAAACGAACAAAAAACCCAAAAACGACGGCACCAAAACCCCCCCAAGACCACCCCGACCCCCAGAACGAACCCCCCCCGACCGACCGACCGCCCCGCCCCCCAATTTCCAGCTAATTCTGAGTCCGGGTTTATTCGGGCTTCCCTAGTTAGAAACAAGCTCATAATCCACGAATTTAAGTGTTTCACAAAGAAATCGGGCGAAGAGAATCGCGTGCAAACGAAAATCAGCCGCCGGCAATTTTTTTCCGAAAATCAATTATCCCTTCCCTATGGGCTTTGATTTCGTAATTCGGTGCCTCTTTAAGCCTCAGCACCCTCGGTATCTTTGAAGTTTCACCGTTTGAAGTTTTTCGTGCTCTCTGGGAAAAACGACACCACGCAAAAACATAAACATCCCGTTCGATTTCCAGGAATCGGGTCTGATGTGTATGAGGCAGTCTGCCTGTAAAGCCATGCCGATTCACTATTGCCTACAAACAATCACATCTAGCTCACCTAATCTGCTTGACTCCTAGGATTTTGTCTAATTCTTAATATTCGTTGCAAGACTTCAAGATGATCATAAAAAGTCTGGTACTTTCGATATTTGCTTTGGCGGTTTGTGGCTATTGTCCAAAAGACGCTACACTGACAGCTGATGGCAACTTCTGCTATTTCGTGAATCCGAGGGCAATGTTCCGCGAAGAAGCGATAAAATATTGTACGAAGTAAGGAAACGGAAAATAAAAGTTCAAGCTGTTTACGATTTCAAGCCTCGGTCTCAATGGTGCCTCAATTTTGAGCGAGGAAGAAAATGAAGCCGCCTTGAAGCAGGCCAGAACGAAAATGGGGGTAAGTTGCGGCAGCTTTTTACAAATTTCTACGTTGATTGGTTCTGGCTTGGCGGCGTCTATAATGAAAGCAAACTAATTTGGGATGAAGGCCAGAGCTCTAGTTATTCAAATTTTGCCAATTACGGTTAGAATTTATACCTAACTAAGACGGATTTAGCCCAGCCTGCCACTGGCTTTCTCGTTATCCACCTTTCGGATGGAAAATGGGATACGATACCTGACACTGGATTATTCCCGACAACGTGTAGGGGCAAAAAGGTATAAAAAAGTCGATTTGAATATGCTTAGTAATAATAACAGTTTTGCTGTGGTCTCCGTCCGTCCGTCTGTCCGAAGCCGAATTCAACTTGAAGGGAGAGGAGCTAGAGCTTACCTGTCTTCGGATTCGGATACAGCGTGGTCAGAAACCCCCAAATTGATAAAAAAAATTACAAAAAGTTTTATTTAAATCAGTAAATTGAACTTTGAAAGTGGCGCCTTGGTAAAACGAGTGGGGAACGGATGTTTGCACGGTTTTCGCATAGTGACCCAGTCCGCACACGTTTCAGCGAGGGGGCGGGAGCGTAGGGGGTAGCCCGAATTCCAGACGCTTGCAGCGGCAAAGCCTTGGCTGGTTACTTTACAATAGAACAATAATGTTAATTTTGCTGTTTAGCCGATAGAGGGTGGTCCCTGTGAAGATGGATGGGTGTATTCTTTGACGACAAGGGCTTGTTATAAAGTAAGTAAGTGTAACTGTATAAATATGGTAAGTAGTACCTTCGCTAGGCCCAATTTTTACCTGAACCGTATTTCGATCCGACGATTCGTATTTCGAGCCATTCTCCAGCGGATGGCGTTTTATCCCTAGCCAAAACTGAGGCTCTACAGGGTGCGGAAAAAGTTTTCGGCGGCGTACCTTTTATGAAAAAGATTTGACAAGATGAGCGTTTCGACTAGATTTTTTGTGGTGTCATGATAGATTGGGACAATTCTCATCCGATTTCACGAGTCAAAGATTTTTTCAATAAGCGGTCGACTAAAAAAACCGAGCTCGGAACACCGATGCACAAGCGAGTTTCGAAATTGACCACCATTTGGCCGATGTAGAAAGCGCGGTTAAAATTTTCCGTAGCAGACTACCAGGTTTCCGAGCTTACGGATTATAAAGAACAACCCCTTCGAATTATTCCATATCAGTATTATTGCTTTGTCAACAGACATGGCTGAATTCTCAGGTGGTTTGGCTGAAAGGAGGCAGCGTGCCTAGGGTTTGGGATGTTCAGCACCGTATAAAAGCTGTTTCCAGCGTTGGTTTCAAGCATCGTTTTTCTTTTTTAGATTAAGGGGTGTCGTTTAAGAATATCCGTACGCTAAATCCCATTAGCAAGGCCGTTCGCTACGGATTTTGTGTCTACTGGCAGCAGATTTCCCGTCTCGGCCAAAAATTCACCAAAATTAGAAGCGTCATAACTCTTTGGAATTGAATTAAATTTTTTTGAAATGTTGAGGGAAAATAGATCACAGGTTTGGCAACATCACTGCGAATTTTTGTGCTTTTTCACCAAGGATAGCTCACAGGGGGTGCTGTAACATCAACGAACCAGCAGCGTGCCGGGGGCGTTTCTAACTGTAAAGTTTAACTGTTTTTACTCAAGTTGGAGTTTCGTTTCGGGACCAAGTGCATCTTGTGCAGAATTTTTCGTAGATTCCGAATCCGCTTTCCAAATTTGCTGCGGACTTTTATTTTGAGAGTTATACAGCAGTTATGGTAGTGTTTTTCACCAAAATTAAGGAACCGTTATCGTTTTCGATTTTCCTGATCAGTTTCAACTTCAAAATTGGCTAGGGATTGGCTAGACAAGCATCTTAAAAGTCAAAACAAGCTTTTTTATAAAAATTAAATTTTTTTATTATGCAAAAAGCAAAAGAAAGGTGCAGGGCGGGGATCCGAACCCCCGCCCTGCGCTTGGCAAGCGAGTACTTTGCCAATGCACCACGGTGCCAACCGGGAGGGGAGCTGTGACAGAGTACTTCAGGGCCTCTGGGAAAGGCACAACCATGGAGGGAATAGTGGACCAGGATCCGAATTTTTGGCTTGTTCAAGCTTAATTTGCACCAAAAATGACTTTTTAAATAAAAGTCCGCAGCAAATTTGGAAAACGGATTCGGAATCTACGAAAAATTCTGCACAGGATGCACTTGGTCCCGAATCGAAACTCCAACTTGAGTAAAAACACTCTACAGTAAGATGATCTTTTCGGTCGTTCTAATCGCGTAAAATCTTTGAATTTGGGTAATCCAGTCCTGAAATATGATGCATGAGTCTTCACTTTCCAGCCTCGAATCCAAAAAATCTGAATAACACCTTAGGCTTCGAGCAACAGGGTTATTTGCCCCGCCGAAAACTTTCTCCGCACCCTGTAGGAGCGGAACATTGACACAGATATTATATGTCAATGCATACAGACGCACAAACTCTATTTTTAAGAAAATTAACCAGCGTTAAAAATTCCAGGTGGTTGGCGATTTCGCCGGATTTACCTGGCCAGTGGCCCGTGCTCGTTGTCAAGCGTTGAGTGCAGATCTAGCTTCTATCCATTCTCCAATGAGCCAACAAACATAACCACCAAAACACCAATACTCAGGGTGTGACCGCAGTTATTGCCCGAGATCTCAAGGCTTGCTAACTTAGAAACAAGATTTTTCAGAACTAGCGACCACATATCTGGACCTCGGAAACAATTTTTACAACTACGCGACCGCCTGCACATGGATTGGTGGGCAGCGGGTAGCAGAATGCAGAGTTTTTCAAATATAATACCTAGGCCGGACCCGAAAGCCAAGAGCTTGTATGGAACGATGGGAGCCCTTATGATTATGCAAACTGGGCCCGCTGGCAACCCAGCGCATCCTATCAGCCGTATGTTCAGGTGAAGCTTGCATTTCTCTGCTCGCACTCCCCTACCCCGCCTCACTTCGTATATGCGACGCTCTGACGCAAAAAAAATCATAAAAATCTAGTTAAAGAATCATTTCCCACCAGATCTACACCACCCGCTTCAACTACAGCAAAGACGCCACCAGCTACATCAACAAATGGAATGACATGAATGGAACCAACGAGGGAAAAAGTGCCGTTTGCAAGAAGCCGGCGCGTTATTGATGGAACTCTAAATTGGTACCATGTCGACCATTAATAAAGGATGATGTTGCTATCAAAAATACGCTTACTATAGTTTCGAAGCCAAAAAATATTAAGTTTCAATTTTTTGGTTTGTGCATCGAAAACCGGCGGCCTGCTGAAACGGGAATTTTTCCATTGCTATACCACAACAAAATAAGCCCTGTCAATTTCCCGGAATTGAACACAGTCTGCAGCCGAATGTTAATCGCGGGGCTTGCCCCGATACCGTTTTTCTCCTAAAACCTTGCCTGGGACCGGCCCGCGTTGTTTATCAGATGTTGGCATTTGTTGTTGATTTCAAGGGTTCTCTTTTGCACGCCAAATTCATTATTTATAGTCGGGTCGCTTATTGCTTATTTATTATCTTAGAATTTAGCAGCTTTCTTGCAAACAGCACTGGAACAGAGCGTATAATCCTGCATATCGTTCCATTGGTTCAAGTACAGCAGCGCGTCGTCGACTTGGCTCTGGCTGAAACTTCGGTATCCAGCCAAAACTAGTCGAAGATTACCTGAAGTTGAAACGTGCTGTGAACATCTGAAAAATTACATACAGAGACGTGTCGCTACCGAATACTTACCTCGACGTACGGCTGCTCGGTCCGAGAACCATGGGCCCAGATCGCGTAGTCAAACTCGGTCCCGTCCGACCATGTAAAGTTCATCCTACCGTGTCCTGCCTAAAAATTGTTGATGCTTTGTTAAAACTTTTCTTTTTACTGCTTTTCTACAAAATTCATTAAAACTTTTTAGAGTCTTAAAAATTGCGCACCCGTTCCGCCCCAATCCACGTCCCAGCCACATCATACCATATCACCGGCGCCAAAGCGTGGCTGTAGTGATTGGCCAATTCTAATCACAGTCTTATTAAGGTAATCTGTTATCTAAATCACCTGCCACAATCCTGTTTTCATCTGCCGAATGGATAGAAACAAGATCCGCTCCAAGGGCTTGGCAACGGCTCCGAGCCTCCGGCCACTTGAACCCACCGTAGTCACCGATGCGCTGAAGACTGACAAGGGAACCACCCGAGGTCGAGGTGGCGTTTCGTTATGGGACCCAGCCCATTTTGTGCAGAATTTTTTGCTGATTCCGAACCCGCTTTCAATTTTTGCCAAATAGCCCGATTTAAAAAGTTACGGCGATTTTAAGATCATATTTAAGCCCGCGGGCGGGCATCTGTCACGATGCCCAACATTTTTGTTTTAATATGTCAGTCCATTTTTAATAGCCTACCTTGTAGAGAATTTTTTTTCTGATTCGAATGGTATATTTGATTACTGCGCTACTGCCTATCTACGATCACTTATGGGAGTGTGAAATAGCCTGTTTTTCACCATTTCCCATACAAAAAACGAAGTCCAGTATCGTCGATTTCTTCGATTCCCAACAATTTTGAGGTAAATAGCTCATTCGATAGAGAAAAATGTTCTGAATACGATGACGATATTCGGTTCTCATGTATCAGCAGGGAATCGTAAGATAAATGACTTTGAAGTTGACAAATTTGGGAAAAAATGGAACTTTAAAGCGTCATAACTTTTTAAAATGAGCTATTTGGCAAAAATGAACAGCGGATTCGAAATCAGCGAAAAATTCTGCACAAAATGGGCTGGGTCCCATAACGAAACGCCACCTCGACCTTAGGTGGTTCCCTTGTGAGGGTTATATGTATTTGCTGTATTTTTTTATGTAAATACGTTCGCACCTTCGAGTGGAACCTTACTTTATAGCAAGCCTTTGTCGTCGAAGAGTACAGCCACTCATTTTCACAAGGTGACACGAATTTTGTAGAGGTACAAGCTTGCTTCTTCTCAAAAAAAATTATAAGAGCGATAATTACAGTGTGTGCCATAATGATAGGGGAATGAAGTTTTTGGCCGTTTTCTCCGCGGTCTTGCGTGTACCCGTACAAACCGAATAGTAGGTTTTGTGGTCCGGAAAAATGCGCATCTTTTAGTCTACTTGAAATGCTTTTACGATGCAGGATCACGTTTTTATACGAAATTGAATCTAAATAGGCGACAAACACAAGTGACAAAATGATAGGGGAATCATTAACATAGCATTTCCATCAACTTTCTGTATGAATAGTGGATGCTAAGTGATTTTAATTGAAGATTCATAGGAGAGAATGATGCAAAGATAGCATTTTCTGACCGAAACGCCATCCGGATACAGCCAGCCAAAACTTGCATCTAATTAGCATCCACTATTCATACAGAAAGTTGATGGAAATGCTATGTTAATGATTCCCCTATCATTTTGTCACTTGTGTTTGTCGCCTATTTAGATTCAATTTCGTATAAAAACGTGATCCTGCATCGTAAAAGCATTTCAAGTAGACTAAAAGATGCGCATTTTTCCGGACCACAAAACCTACTATTCGGCTTGTACGGGTACATGCAAGACCGCGGAGAAAACGGCCAAAAACTTCATTCCCCTATCATTATGGCACACACTGTATAAAAAAAAGCTGCGTTTACTGTAGTACTAATTTTTCGATCACTTTCAGCACCTTTTCACCACCACAAACCACCGGAAACCAGCCCGACGGTACTGTATCCCATTTGCCATTGACAATGTCGATTACGAGAAAGCCGTCGGAGGGATGGGCTAAAATTAGGCTCATAGCAGCTTGGCGAAAATTCGTACCACTCGCAAAATTTGTATAGGTTACATCAGAGCCATCGTTCCAGAAAAGCTGCCCGTTTTCGAATTTGCCACCCAGCCAAACCCAGTCGAGGTCGTTCTAAGAAATTCGAAAATTCATACCTACACTTACCCCCATTTTCGACCTCACTTGTTCCACGACAGCCCGATTTTGAGAGGCGCTTTTGATCGAGGCCCCATTTAATTCAAAACTAAATAATTTTGAAACGTCACGTTTTGGCAATCGTTACTTTGCGCAATATACCATGGCTTCTTCGCGCACCAGCGCCTTCGGATTTGCGAAATAGCAAAATTTCTGATCAGTAGTTAGGGTAGAATCTTTTGGGCAGTAGCTGCCAATGGCTGACGTGAAGATGGCAATGATTTTCAGTCTGGTAATCATGCTAAAGAGCTGAAAATATGATACGTGTTTCAAAAGAAGTCTAAACTCGAGCTTTCAAAGCAATAAAAATAGAAAATTGACAAATAATATGGATGCAGCTTTTAAAAAATATAGGTAAGGGAACCGATGTCTAGACTATTTCAATTTTAGAGAATTTCCGCGTTCGCACGCGCAGATATGGCACCCACCGAGGTTTACAGTCCGTAAATACCAAGGTCACCTCAACCTGGCAGAGAGCGCAATTTTGGCATTTTCCGGGATCACAGTCCGACTGGGCTGAACAAAAACCAACAAGGGTTTCATGCGCCTTTTTTAGCAGAAACCCAAAATGTTCGGAACTTTTGATGTGTTTTATTTCTGGGCGACCGTCTTTGGCAATACCAAACAATCCAGACCTTTACTACACGTATTGATCGTACAAAGATTTACAGCTTAGCTTAGGTTATCCGCATATTTTGATTCCATCTTGCAAATGGCGCTGAAGCCGACGACGTCGTGGATGTCGTTCCATCTGTTTAGGTAGAGTGAATGGTGGTTGGTTGCGGTTTGGCTAAAAACGCATGAGGTTGCTTACATTGCAAGCGTTGCGGCCGGCGTTGCGTACACATAACAGGAATTATAAAGCGTATTCAATTCACAGGTCAAAATCCCGTGAAACTTAGCCTTGAGAGTCGAGCAAACCCGAAGCGTCCAAGCTCTGGAACTCACCTATAATTGAATCGAGCCGTGTAGATCTGAAAACGATGATTTGACGGGCGAGAGAAACCAATAGAGAGAGGGGCGAGAGAGAGGCGAGATCAAGAGAACGAGAGAGAGAGAGATGGAGCGAGAGAGAGCGAGCGAGCGAACGAGAGATTCAAGCTCCGCTATACCTGTAGAAAGTTCTGGGGACCCGGACTGTCATTTGGCTGACCATGTGCCCAGTTTTCGTAGTCCCACACGGTACCATCGACCCATTTAAAGATCGGCTTCTCAGAGCCGACCTAAATATGAGTTTTTAGGACGAGCTAATTTTCCAAAACTGGAAATTAAACGATATGCTTACCCTTATCCCACCAATCCACGCTCCAGCCTGGTCCGAAAACGCGTTCACGGCCGGATCTCGTAAGTACTGGGTCGTCAGCTCTGAATACTAGGTTAGATTTAGAGTTAGCAGGTACCAGCGATGATTCGATTCTCTTCCGCAGTGTGGATAGATGCTAGATTACCGCCGAGATGCTCACATTTCGTTCGAGCCTCCGCCCAGGTGAAACCTTCAAATGTGCCGATTCTCTGGAAACCGAACGTTCTTTTAGTTATTAACCCCAAACCTTATAACAGCTCTTTGTACTTGGCCCATACAACCATTCCGGATCGCATGGCGGAACCTCATGGCCCACAAATACCGTTGAGGTGCAATGAGTCGGCTGAAAACTGATCCATAACAATTCCCAAAGCTTTCAAGGCACTTGCGAGATTTGTGCCACGACACTTACACAGCTACAATTGCGCCGAATCACATAGCGAATATTGGGATGCGTATTCAGGAGCGTGAGAGAGAGAGAGAGAGAGAGAGAGAGAGAGAGAGAGAGAGAGAGAGAAGAGAGAGAGAGAGAGAGAGAGAGAGAGAGAGAGCGAGAGAGAGGGGGAGAGGGAGAGGGAGAGAGAGAGAGAGAGAGAGAAAGATCAGAGAGCGAGAAAGAGAGAGAGAAAGAGAGAGAGAGAGAGAGAGAGAGAGAGAGAGAGAGAGAGTACCAGAAGATTATATCACCGTGTTTCCGCCCATACATGCCACCGGGAACTTCCCGCCTCTGACCGTTGTCCATTTGCCAGTTTGCCGCCGCATGACGACCTGGCCGGCATCAGGGGGCGCTATAAATCATTATGTCCATGGTCGACACTCCGAACCTATTTCAAAATGCTGAAACGTAGAATTATGACCGTCGTTCCAGACAAGTTGCGAACCAGTGTAATTTCCGCCGAGCCAGATCAGTGTCGAATTGCTCTAAAACAGGGTAATAACATTTATAAATATTTATTATACTATATTCAAACATCTATTCCTTCGACCATTTATTAACGAAATTAAGTCATTAAGCCTATTTCCAAAAGCACAAACCTTTTGCAAGGCTTGATTGTTCGCCCTAAACGCTTCGTCGCCATCAATTATGGAGGCTACGCTCATTTCCATGCTGCAATTCAAATGCCTTTTAAAAATCTAAGTATGCTACCGTCTCACAAAATTCTCCGACACCCAAACCCTCTCTGCTTACTTTTTACAGAACTCAACAGCTTCCTCGAACCCCATCTCGATTGGAAAAACACGATAACATTTCGTATGACGAGCATTCCAGATCGAATCTTTTGGACAAAAGCCATTGATTTTTATAGCAAATAATAGCATTACAAAGAGGCTGAACGTCCAGATTTGAGAAAACAGGGCCGTCATTTTGGCGTTCGCTCGTGCTAGTTTTCCCCAAGCCGTTGTAAACGCCGCAATGTTTATTATTGCTGGGGTCCAGTTCGATCGCAACTTTTTGTGTGCAAAGATCAGTATATTTTTTTGCTCACTGGCTCGGATACGAAAGAACAGTTTATTCAAATACTTTTCAATACTTTGCGTCTTTCTTACAAATGGCATTGTATGCTGGTATGTCATCCGAGTCGTCCCAGAGATTCATCCAGTCTCCTACAGGGTAATAAAAGACCGGGTCGATGGTAGTGATTATCTAAAATGCAAGGGCAAGTATCGTAGTCAGAAACTCCGAAAACAACAACGATTTGCTATCGTTATGAAACCTAAAAACTTTCTCTACCTTTTTACGAGAGAGTTACCTCTATCTCGTGAAATTTAGTGAATTTGTAAACAACAAGATGCGGAATAAGAATTCATGTGCAAATTTCTTCCAGCATACGATATTTCTAAAAATGCAGACCTAGAAATTAAGGTTTTGAGACGGAGCGGCACGCAGGTAATTCGGTCGATTCTTTGTCTCGAATATTTTGGCTAACAAGGAATTTTTTTGGACTTTGCATCGATTTGCATCGACTTCCGGCTGCGAATCCTGCGAACTCGGGTAATTTTCCGTTTTAAAATTGCTTAAATCAAAGCTTATTTAATTAATTTTACTCTGAAAAAATTCTAGGTTTAAAGAAGACCTGGCGCTTCGCTTTGACTGAATATTCGAAGGGTCTATGCCGACGAAACCCTTATGAAAAATGCATTATAAAGTTTATTTTGTTGTATCTCGAAAGCTGCTTAGGCTCGACCCGAAAGATAGCCGAAAAACTGTTCAGAATTCCGGGGAAAACAGTATTTTCGTTGTAACTCGAGATCTATTGTAGCTATGGGGCTAAAAGTCAGGATTGTTTGTTATTTTGGGTCTGATACACCTCTGGTACAAATTTGGGGCCGATTCGATGTAAGACGGCGTAATGCAGATGGTTCGTTTTTTTTGGGACACCCTGTAGTTGGATAATTCTGCCGATGCATCGCCAAATTTCCGACACTTGTGGCATAAAGACCCATTTCAACGTAGCAACCCCTTTTTGCCTTATTTCATCGATTCTAGCGTGGCCGTCCAAGCAGCCGCTAACAGAACTAGCCCAACCGCGCCCCGCGTCTCTTCAGGATTCGAATCAACGCCCCAGGCAATGAACGATTATGGATTAGGCGGGTGAATGCATCGGCTATCTACCTTACCACTAGCACTACCATGCATTCCAACCCAAAAAATGCTGGCAGTTATTCTCGCCCGTTTTTTTGAAACGCGCTGGTGCGGGCCTCGGGTAATAAGTTATGTTGTACATTGCCCTTCAACGTACACAGTATGGGGGGGGGAGCCGGGAGTTTATATGCACGGCAATAGCTTTAATTCATGGTTGCATTTTCCTGTGAGAAACAGCAATTTTTAGCATGCGCGCGCGGGACCGCCACTTGCAGAGGATGAGGGCGCGCTTCAAAAAATCCTCTTTGGATTACATCGGTACTTGAAGTTTTCGCAGATTTGATGGTTTTGAATGGCATCAATAAATTTTATCAGGTTGGAACGGAAGTTTTGTTGCCGAGATTTTGGTGGGCTTGCTAAAATCGCAGATAGTAGATTACCTTATAGATTTGTTACGGAGCTAAAACTTCACGGCTTTTTTGCACAAAACTTGAAAAATCTGTGCTGAAAGCCATGGAACCGTTGTAAAGCCTTGTTTTTTTTGTTGTGATAGTTGCTTTGGTGTTGAACGCTTTGTCAGTGCTGCATGATGTTTTTATCAATATTTTGCAGCCTTTTTACAAATCGCATTATATCCCAGCCAATGCGCTGTATCATCCCAGCGATTCAACCAAACGTCGGTCGGTGCGAAGTGGCCTGGGACCACGGTGGTGATGATCTTAATGGCATATCGTCAAAAGTATACGACATAGAGATTTAAGAGATAGATCCATACCTGAACGTAATTCTGATCACCGCCGTAGTTGTCCGGCTGCCCTCCGGCCCAATTTGTAAAGTCGAAGGGGCTACCGTCAGACCAGGCAAAATCGGTGCGGTTTGGACCTGCCTGAAACGGGAATCTCTCTCTCTCTCTCTCTCTCTCTCGTGTTTAACCTACCCTTCTTCCTCCAATCCATGTCGCAGCTTTTGTCAACATCACGCCATTGGCCATCAATTGCACATAGGTATCGGCAAGGCCTGAAAAAAAAATAGTACTTTAATCACATTACATACCAACAACGACGCGATGTTCTTCAGCAGAGTGAATTGATGCCAAATCACTGCCTAAAGACATGCAATCATTTCGAGCTGTCTCCCAGGTGAAACCATTGAAATCGCCGATTAGCTGAAATTTGGAACTTCACGCCCAGATTAATAGAACAGCAACGAGAGCCTTTTTTGATAAGTGCTACAAAAAGCCGGCTTACCTTGTAGCAACTCTTCAGTTTCGACGAGTAAAGCCACTCGTCATCACATGGGGCCCCCTAAAATTTAATTGATTTTGCATTTCTGTCTTTTCCAAAACCTGATCCTGGCCTATACAAGCGATCGGATAACCACCACTTTCCGCAATATCCCATTTTCCATCCGATAATCGGAGCACCAGGTAGCCGGAATTTGCATTTTCTGAAAAGATTTGGTGATTCGAAGACAGCTTCTTACTATCGAGAATATTATTATATTCAGTTGCTGAATTATCGTCCCATTGGATGGTAGTCCCGTTCCAATACCCACCAAGCCATACGGTCGCTGTAATATCCTGAAAAACGAACCAATACCCTGATTTTATTGGAATTATCATCTTTAAATTGCTGAAAATGCTTAAGCCACATTATAAAGCATTTAACACACAATGAATATCATCGTAATGCCATATCTATCACTTATCTACACCTACCCCAATTTTCTTCAAAGCCTGATCACGCAACGCCATGTTATCAAAAGCGTTATGTAGAGAGGCACCCGTTTTGATCAAAACTAAACAAAAGGTCTACGGTAACAAAGTTTTCATACTTCCTGCAATACTCCATCGCCTCCAGCCTCATCAACCTGTTCGGATAAACAGAATAACAAGTCTGACCCGATGCGTCTCGGATCGAGTCCCTAGGACAATAAGCTAGAGTTCTACTAAAAAATGCGGCAATCAATAATGTCGATTGTGTTTTCATTTTGGCAGAAAATCAGAGTTTGACTGAGTTTCCGAATTCCAAGCAGTTCCTGCAGAGTGGATGGCTCTTATCTGTAAATATAGAAAAAGCCAAACCGGTCAATCCGGTGCGGGGGCAAAGAATTGGTCAAAAGGTGTGGTCTGATGAGTAATAATTTCGCATCCCTTTAGTTCTAAAAACGTATGATATTTACCCTACCTTTCCCCATTCCAAGAGTCCAAAAAAGTTCGATATTCCGTTAGTTTTCGGGATTTTTTGCGACGCTTTTTAAACGTTTGTGCTATTCATACAAAATTTACCCAAAGCCGTTCCGTAGCGCGTCCATAAATATACAAAGCGGTTTAATTCAACCCATAACGGTGTAAAATAAACTACCTATGTTGAAACGAGATTCAGAAGTAAATTTCACATAGCGAGCTACCCGACATTTGCGCCCCGACAATTTGCGCCCCGCAGTTTGATATGGAATCGGGGCGAAATGGTCGGGGCGCAAATGTCGTGGTACCCACATAGCGATATGTCGAAACATTTCAATTTGTCTATTTCCACTAAACTAAGTCTGTCCGACTGTAGAGCTCCGTTCCAATACCCCATGTCAAAAACGTTTTTTTGTAATCTGCGTATTAACATGTTCTTGAAATACCGACGCACAGAAGGGCTTAACCAGGAGAAGCGCCTAATCCTGGATAAGTTTGCCAGTGTTGATAAGGGTCTTTTTAAGACCACCGTGAAGTTGTAAAGAGCCGGAAGTAGACGCAAGCTAGCGTAAAATGAAGCTCGTATTTCTAACCGCACTTGTAACAATATCATTTGGTTTTTGTCCACTAGATTCAGAGCGTGACAGCTCGGGCGTATACTGCTATTCGGTCTACCCGTATAAATGGACACATATTCAGGCGATGGTACATTGCAAAAAGTAAGATATTGAGCGGGAAGTAGTGAGAATGAAGCATATTCAGACAATTGTTGTAATTTTAAGGCTTGACTTTAAGTTGCGTGGCTCGAAGTAATAATTTCTAGCTTCGTTCAAGCCGGCGCTTCGATTCACAACGCTTTTGATAACGTCGCCCTGGTCGATCAGGCGCTGAGAAAAGCCCAGGTAGAATTTTATTTAATTGTAGAATTATAAGAGCCGTTTCTTAATCCATAATTTAAACTAAAGTCCTACCTTTTGTAATTTTTCAAACTATATGTGCCTTAAAATAGCTTTTCTTGTGTCCTCAAAACGGCCGAATTTAGGGTCAGGTACACGTCTGGCTGGGCGGGTATTGGAATGGCAGAACCGTTGAATGGTACGACAACTCAACGGCCGTTTATACCAATCTTGCGGATAGTAAGTAGTATAAGTAATATTGATTAGATATACCTTACTAGGGAGGTATCTGAACTCGGCATCGAACCTTCAGAAGTCAGATACACCCTTCGACGCGCCTTGTCGAGGGGATTCCAAATATGTAATAAAATCAACCAGAGCGTATAACCGTAAAAAGTTATGAGCATTCGAAGTCGACAAACTGGTGATAAACAGTATCTTTTAGACCCTGTATCATCCCGCGGAATGGAATTTAGTCTAAACTGATTATCATCCTTATTCAACAAAGAAACAAAAAAATAAAAATCGTGAGTGGATCCGAACCCTGGTCGTACAGACCGGAGACCCATGCGCACACCACTAGGCCACGAGGCCGATGAACAGGGTGCGCTGGGAGGGGCTCATATCGCCGCGGCGGTGTTCGCTGCAAAACTTAAAATGCTCATAACTTTTTATCGTTATAGGCTCTGGTTGATTTTATTACATATTTGGGATCCCCTCGACAAGGCGCGTCGAATGGTGTATCTGACTTTTCAAAGTTCGATGCCGAGTTCAGATACCTCCCTAGTTAGGGAGATACCTATGCATTTACAAATCTTGGTTTCTCTTAGAAAATGTAAAGTTTACAAGATACCTTTAGAAAACATGGACCCTGGCTACCTACTACTCCGAAAAACCGATGAGAAATGGGTAACGCTAGAAGGCGGTGAGCATGCTGTTGCTTGTATGGGTCAGGATCAGGTATTTTATCAGTTGAATTTTTGTTAAATCGATATTCAGGATCCGCCTTGTGATGACGAGTGGCTGTACTCGACCAAGTTGAAAAGTTGTTACAAGGTAGATATATTTGAGATACAGAGGCCTCTTAGTTCGTTTAATATTGAGTTTTCAAAACATCTCGAAGCTATGAATCGACCCTTTGCGTACGCTAGTCCTCGAAAGTTATGAAACGGGTTCCGGTCAAGTGTGCCGTCATTTGCAGTGACGCGTAGTCTTCGACACACTGCATAACGTATACCATCCACAGAAACGCTCAATTCTGTTTCTGCGCATGTCCTTCAACCCAGCTTAACTTTCTAGAAATTCTAGAATCTTGTTCAATATGTAAAATCTTTAGAGAATCGGCAACTTTTCCGGCATCACCTGGCAGCAAGCTCGAGCGGAATGTCAAGCTTTCGGAGCCGAGCTCACGTCGATCCACTCTGATGAAGAGAATCGCATTGTTGTAGGTACGACTGCATAACTTTAGCTTGTTTTGTCTTTGTAAGAAGCGGTTGTTAAAAAACGTATTGTCAGTTTTAACCCATACCTTTTTAGAGCTGGCCGACACTTACCTCGACATCCAGCTAAACTATGCCAATTGGACGACGGCCGCTACGTGGATTGGTGGATATCGGGTAGTAGTATTAGGTTGAACCGAAAGTAATTGTAATCGATCTTCGGGACAAGATTTATAATATTTCTACCAAGTAGACTATTGGCTTTTAACTTCCTTTGTATGGTCTAGCAAGGTACTACATACCCTAGAAATATCAAGCGGATCCTAGCCCTAACACTCCTTTTATAATTGAATTTGCCCGCGGCACAGGGTCACCCGAGGCGCTGACATCCGTGATCCCTCTTAGTTCCCAGCCTTATAAAAATTACCGTTGCCGTAATCCCACTATCGTAACTGGCAATGTATAATGCCAGTGTAATATCTTTCTAGCTATGGTGTCCAATTCAGCAAACGGATTTACAGTCGGCCGATATTCTCCTTTGTTTGGATAAAAATCCGACTTTTCGGTGAGCTTGACTAAAAGGCTCTCTTAAATTTATTGAGGATAATGAAATTAAATCTGATCCATTTATCATAATCAGTTTTTATTGACAAACATACTACCGATTCCAGCTATCTTCCCACCCTTCTTTATCTGAACAAATTTTGCGAATTAGTGAGGCACCAAGTGAGCGACCCGGAGATCGGCTGGCGACACACAATTTGCATTGCTACTCTTTCACCTTTGCCAATCACAATGTTTCTATAGTGCAGTATTATTGGTCATCCACAGTAGACACTGTGTTACAATTACCAATATTTTAAACCCATTCTTTCGCGGAGAAAAAAAATAAAACCAAAATGTGCTCAAAATTACGATTCATTTCTCAATTCCAGACGGAGACAGAACATTTGTTCTTAGGTTATATACGGACATAAAACAGCTTTGATTAAGCTTCATTTTGATAGAGTTCACTCAAAAAGTTAGCCACTAAACTCGGAGAAAACGGCCGACAAAGGAATATGCCGATTCGCAGCCCAAAAACCCAGATTGACATCTTTTTAAATTGACCTGGGAAAAAATAATGCAGCTAGCTATTAAAATTCTCTTTAATGCACTGCATGGCCCAAATGTTTCTCTATCTACTATCACTTATTCAAGTCACTAGGGTCGGAACGGCCGGCGATATCCTTCACGGAAACCAAAAACCCGAAATCCGGATTGCGAGCACCCTTTTCCAGCTAATTAAAAAAATTTGTGGCAGTCCCGAGTTAAAAATAAAACTGAAACTGGACAAGGCTTGACCCTCAATCATAGCAAAAAATTAGAATGAACGAATGGTGGCTTCCGTAAAATTTTTACATTCGAAAAATTACAATTACTTTCGGTTCAACCTAATACTTTTCGAAAACGTTTATTAACTTCTACTTCCAGACAGGCCCTAAAGCAACAGATTTCGCGTGGACTGACGGCTCCAAATTCGACTACACCCACTGGGCCTACACGGAGCCGGACAATAAGGATGGACAGCAACCGCATGTCCATGTCAGTGATAATCAGAACGGACTTGGTTTGTAAGCACCAGATACAGTAAAAAGTGAGAGAGGTTCTAGACTGTTAGCGGGGGAATCAAATTTTTCCCTGGGATTCTCTACGGCCCTAGAACAAAATATAAAGATTTTTATGGCATTTTAGCATTTCCGTTTTAAATGTTTGGAAATATTTTTATAACTTTCTGGCTATCAAAAACTACTAAAACTAAAAAACACTACAAAAATACATATTATATTACCAACAGGTAGGAATCCAGGTGGGAAAGCAAAAAGTGATTTTCTCCCCTGCTAAAAATCCCCGCTAACAGTCCAGAATTGACAATGATACGGAAAAACTTCCAGGTTTTGACGACGCGCCAGAACCTGTACAATAACGACGATTCGAAATACCTCAATAAATGGGACGACATTTATGACAACGTCCGTGGCTATAATGCCATTTGCAAGAAGAAACCAAACTCATAAGCGTTTCTCATCGATTTAATAAATCTTCTGGTTTCCTTTCCGCCTACGCGTCATTTCCTGTGCCTAGTTAACAAAATATAGAAAGTACAAAAAACACGCGTTAACAGAACTTCGATCTAGTGATAGTCATACTTTTATTAATCTGGTAAGACGCTTGGGGCATCGACTCGATCGGAATCGGTTCTTTCTGCAAAACACCCCCGATAAGGCGGTTTTTAAGCTCCGCGGAACGCCGAGAAAACTTTGAGGAACTAGATTCTATCTTATTTTCCTAATTTGAAGATGTCGAGTCGTATTTTAATATGGATTTTTGCGACTCTGGCTACCACTGCCGCTTTTTGCCCGCTCGACTCGAATCGAGACAGCTCGGGACAACATTGCTTTTCGGTGTATAGCTCGAAATTTCTAAGGACAGAGGCGATAAATCAATGCAAAAAGTACGTTTTAAAATAACTAAATGCATTATACTTTCTTTAAGTTTTGCCCAGCTGGGAGCTTCCGTTCATAATGCCTTTGATAATATGGTGCTCGTGGATCAGGCGTTGAAGAAGATTGGGGTAAGAGGCCCTCTTAACAAATTCTTTATTGCGTAAAATCAGAACTAATGACGTTTTAAAGGAACTAGGAAGCGTAAGAATGCACCCCTTCCGGGCACTAGCTCTAGTCAGCCATAAGGTGCTTAAAAGCGAGTTTAAACAGATTGTTCCAGTAGAGAATTTGTGACTTTTGAGCAGCAAATAGCCATCTAATCGTGTCTTTTGGCGAGGCTCGTGGCTGTCATAGACCTAGTCGACGAAGGGGTGGAATTTGTGTTCCCAAGCCCTTTAATAACAAAATATTCGACGCCGTCGCGGGCGTCGATTCCCACGCATGCGTCCTAGCCCCTTTAATTCTAACATCCATTTGAACCCAGTTTTTAGGATCCCACAGCAACAGTATGGCTGGGCGGGTATTGGAACGGAACTGCAATTCAATGGGATGACAATTCGGCGCCTGAATATAATAATTTAATCGATAGTAAAAAATTTTTTTGCCTTGACCTCAAGTTTTTTTCTGTAGAAAAAGCAAATTCCGGCTACCTCGTGCTCCGCCTATCAGACGGAAAATGGGACATTGTGCAGACCGGAAGCTACGCGGTTTCCTGTATTGGACAGGATCAGGTTGCTAGTAACTAAAGGTAGTATGTAAGGTACGACTAAGGCGGCCCCTTGCGATGACGAGTGGCTGTACTCCGCCAAGTTGAAGAGTTGCTACAAGGTAAAACCTAAGCCCATGCGCAAATCTTCACGATTTCAGCTTATCGGCAACTTTTCCGGCTTCACCTGGTATGAAGCCCATTTGAGGTGTATGTCACTGGGAGGGCAGTTAACGTCTATTCATTCTGATGAAGAAAATAGGATCGTTGTAGGTATGTTAGGATGACTACATATAAAATGCTTTATCCGATCCTTTAAACGGCGCCTTTTAGAACTTGCTGATACCTATCTGGGCCTCAATTTCGACTTGAACAATTTGACAACGGCTTCGACTTGGGTTGGGGCATACCGAGTAGTTTGAAATCTATAAATTTGGGATAAAAAAAAATTTTGAGGATGGCCCCGGACTGTCGGATTTTGCCTGGACGGATGGCACAGCGTTTGACTATGCGAATTGGGCCGCCACGCAACCTGATAATATGGATGGGAGGCAGCCGCGGGTTCATGTGAGTTGAGATAGATTGCTATCATATGTAATTGTAAATGATCTATAATTCAGCTGTGACGTAACATCTGTAATTGGTCAACTTATGTTTATTTCTGCTTTATAATCACAACAGTGGAAAAAGACCGCTTCGCGGCTTTTTTCCACTGGACCGCGTCTAGAAACCATGAACTTGAATACCTTCTTTTTTAGCCTGCGGCGCCAGAACCAGCGTTGGCCTAGAATCTTTGTGCGTGCGGCGCTAGTTACTGGTTTTTCTCCAGGATTTGGCCTGCGGCGCAAGAACCTGGGCCAAGGAACTTTTCTTTGGCCTGCGGCGCTAGAGCGGGAGCCAGGCCTAAACCTCGCACACCGAGAGCCGTAAATATGTTTTGTTGCTAAACTACCAAAAAGCAAAAAATTGAATCCACCCAGGATCCGAACTCACGAGATTACATTGCGTAATTAGTCAACCCTTTGAAGAAACGAGGAAACAGGCTGAAACTTTATGCTGCCGTCTTTTTAGATTTACACCACGCACCACATTGAATATGGCCCCAATGATTCGAAATACCTACACAAATGGGACGACATCTATATTGACTCACGGGGCAATAATGCCATTTGCAAGAAGGCTGCGACCTTTTGACATCCGCAGGACTTTTAATAAATTTCTTGTAATCTAATTTCGTTTACCATCCGGATTATCGCAAATAAAGTTTCTAGTAAATAACTATCATAAAATCTGCTGTTTTTAGCATCAACACGAAAACGAAAAATCAATTCAATGAACAAACAGAATTGAATTCAGCATTTCATTATTCGAACAGAATTCAGCAATTGCTCATCGGCCAACGCCTTTTCTAATGCTAGCCAGTTCTTTTATTGCCTATTGCGTGCTAAGCTGTGTCCTCCATAAAGATAAGCGGCCGTTCTTTAGCGGCCTCCGGTTTTCTGTAAAGAATTAGTCATCGGAATTCCTGACTTTTCAACAATCCGTGCCGCTCTTCCATTTCCGGGGTAGATAACAAGACCGCACCTTTCTTAGCACTATCTCCCCCTACATCGACCGAAGCGCCGGACCGAAAAAAAGAGTGCTATGACGGCCTAATCTTTCTTTAGGGCTGATAAGCACTTTTTAAGCCAAGAGAACGCTGGAAATTTGCACGCACATTGATTGCTCGGACTGTTAGGGCGCGATGAAATCTGGGGCTTTAATCTCGTTGCTATTTTTATTGACAAAACCTACTTGCGGTTTCTGCCCTCGAGACTCGATCCGAGACGCATCAGGCCAGAATTGTTATTCCGTTTATCCGACCAAGTTGTTGAGGACGGAGGCAATGGATTATTGTTGGAAGTAAGCGAATTTTAGCTAGTGGAATCGATTACGACCGGTAATACGGTATCAAAAATTTAGTAACACGAAGTATAGACCCCGAAATATGTTGATTTTAGCTTCAACCAGGCCGGTGCTTCTCTACATAACGCTTTTGACAATATGGCACTGATGGATCAAGCGAGGAAGAAGATTGGAGTAAGCTTTGCTTATGCTTCAAACCAGGTTTAAGCTTAGGCTAGGCTTAGGCTTGGGCTTAGGCTTAGCCTTGGGCGTCGGCTTGGGTGAAGAAATGCGTAAGCTTAGCACGGGCATTGGCTTGAGGTTAGGCTTAGCCACGGGCTTAGAGTTAGGCTTAGGCTCAGGCTTAGACCCGGGCTTAGGCTTGGGATTAGGATTGCTTTTAGCTTGCATGTATTTTCTACCTTTCTAGGACAATACAGCCAGGGTATGGCTTGGCGGGTATTGGAACGGTACCTCCATTAAATGGGATGACAACTCGGCGCCTGAATATAATAATCTTCAAAATCGTAAAAGATTCTGATCCTGCTATAAAAATTCGTCCAGCAAAAGCCAATTCCGGCTACCCGGTGCTCCGATTATCGGATGGAAAATGGGATATTGTGGAGAGTGGTAGCTATGCGACTGCTTGTATTGGACAAGATCCGGTAAAAACAACTTTAACGATACCATAAACGTATTGGTAGAAACCGCAACAAGTCTTCCCCTGTGATGACGAGTGGCTGTACTCGGCCAAGTTGAAGAGTTGCTACAAGGTAAGTCGCTTTTTGTAGGGTTTCTCATAGGTTCTTTACCTTTGCATTAGACTTTACATGAAACAGCACAATTTTTATAGTTAATCGGCAACTTTTCGGGATTCACCTGGCCACAGGCGCATCAGCGTTGTCTATCCCTTGGTGCGGATTTGACGTCAATTCATTCCGACGAGGAGAATCGGATAGTCGTTGGTATGGAATATCCATAAAATTTCTACATTTAACGTAGAATAGAATAGCTAGCAATTATAACTTGATTCTGGAGAGTTTCATAGATTTTCTGGAAACTCTTTTTCAGAAATGGCCGACACCTTCCTCGACATCCAAGACGACTTCTCTAAATGGACCACGGCGTGCACATGGATTGGTGGAAAACGAGTGAGAGATATAATTTTATCGGCATTCCGGAATCCAGACGGGACCCGGAAAGACGGACTTTGTCTGGACGGACGGTACCAAATGGGACTACACAAAATGGGCCGATAATCAACCGGATAATTATGGACCCCAAGGGCAACCGTGGGTCCAGGTGAGAAAATGTGGATTACTTAACTTTAATTTTATCTTATTAGTCTTGCTACTAAATTGTAAAGCCTTATTTCCCGCGCTTTTAATTGATCGAGGCAGTAAAATGTTGTTATCCATAGGCAATTGGACCTAATTTCCAGATCTACACGACGCGGCACAACGAGTACGGCAATGTTGACGCGCGCTACCTAAACAAATGGGACGACATCTACGACAAAAACGGCTACAATGCCGTGTGCAAGAAACCGGCGAAATTTTGACAGCGCAGATCTTGATCATTTCGCTTTTTTACCGCATAAATATTTGGGAACGCAGCGAAATTTCGAAAACGGATAGGCCGACCTAAGCGTACAAGAAGGCAGCGATTGTTTCAAAGCCCAATTTGGCAGCAAGCCACACTTTGTGGCATAAATTTTATTTAAGAGTAGCTCCAAGCATCTTGTACTGACTGCCGCATAGATAAAAAGAAGAACAACACCGTTTTTTGTAATGCCAATCTTTCCCCTCGAGGGCCCTAAAAAGCTCAAATTCGTGTCAGAAAAGCCGTTTTTCCCCCCCACACTAATCTTTCGTGCCACTGATAAGCGCTTTTATTCCGGCGAGGCCCGAGCGAGCGCTTATAATTAGTCTTTTTTTCCAGGCAGCTAAATATGCTCACTTTACCTATCATATTTGTGCAAAGCTTTCTGCTTGCAATATTTTTTGGAGAAAGCCATGCTTTTTGCCCTCGGGACTCTACCCGAGATGTTTCCGGTCAGAATTGCTATTCGGTATTTACGGAAAAATTGATGAGGACGGAAGCTATGGATAATTGTCAAAAGTGGGTCGATCAACTCGTAAAAAATTCGAAAATTCACAAAAGAAGCAAAAAGGTTTAGCTTTTATCAACGAGGAGCCTCAATTCACAACGCTTTTGATAATATGGCGCTGCGGGATCAGGCGATGAAGAAGATTGGGGTGAGTGAGCTTGGTAGGCTTGAATTTGGGCTTAAGCCCCAGCTTAGGCTTAGCTTTAGGCTTCGGCATAAGCAGGCTTATGCTGGTGTTTAAGCTCGGGCCTATGCTTCGACTTACGATTACGATTATTTATGAACTCAGGCTGAGGCTTGGCCTAGATGTACTGTTGGTGTGTCTTTTAGGATAACATTGGTACAGTATGGCTTGGCGGGAATTGAAATGGAACTGCCATTAGTTGGGATGACAAGTCGGCACCAGAATACAACAATCTTCTGAATAGTAAAAACGCTAATACTTTATTTACGGCTTCCGCTAGATAAAGCCAATTCCGGATACCTGGTCCTTCGTCTATCAGATGGAAAGTGGGATATCGTACAAAGTGGTAGTTATGCAGTCGCTTGTATCGGTCAGGATGAGGTGTTTTAGCCAGCTCTAGTTATTCCGAATGTAAAATTCAGAAAGTGGCACAGCTTTTTCCCTGCGACGACGAATGGCTATATTCCTATCAGTTGAAAAATTGCTATAAGGCAAGGAAGGGATATTTAATTTGCGAAGTGTTGCTTTTATTTAGCTTATCGGTGACTTCGCCGGCTTGACCTGGTATCAGGCTCATTCACGATGTCAGGAGCTAGGCGCCGAGCTTGCCTCCATTCATTCCGATGAGGAGAACCGGATCGTGTCAGGTCTGGGAGTTTTCCGATCTTGAAATTTGGAACTATCTTGTTGCACAGTTTCGACGATTAGCTAGTTGTTTAGAAATATCCGACACTTACCTCAATATCGAGAGCGGGTTCTATAACGCGACCACGGCAGCTACCTGGATTGGAGGTAAACGGGTCAGTTGTTAGGTCTCAAAACGTTATGGTACGATTCGACTTACCGGGTTTTAGTAGCTACAAAGGGCAAAATGGCCCTAGTCCGGCAGAAACATTCCCATAACGCCTAACAAAGGATTTTTACCCTCCTGAGCGCGTTAGCTAGGTTTTTAGTGCCAAAAATGCCTCAGAAAAAACTGTTTGACGTATTCTTTCAAGGAAAACTGAACCATTAAACTAACTTCGTTACAATTCGGTATGGTCCGTGGATTTTCCGCTTGTTAATTGAGTTTTTCGCAAACCTTGGGCAATTTTGGAGCTACGGTATTCGAGATACAGGCGAGTTTCTGTCCTGATATAACTTCCTGATCGCTACTGTAGTTAATACGCGCTGATAGGAGTATCGTAGGAGTAGGTTACGCAGCTATGGAAGCCCGGCACTCGAGTGTTATACGGTGCGCTAAATGACTCAGACCTGCGTAGCTGAGAGTCTGTTGCCATATCGTGGGCCACTCACTGGGCACCGTACCCCTCACCTGCACTTTATTTTTTTTACGATTTTCCTTACCGATAAATACTTTTGATCGGCTTTTTGGCTACAGTAGGTCTAAAAATCACACTCCCACCGACTTACTTTCAAGACCGGTCCCGGGGTGCAGGATTTTGAATGGGTCGACGGCAGTGAATTCAATTTCACGAATTGGGCCACCCTGGAACCGGACAACACGGGAGGAAAGCCTTACGTTCAAGTGATGAGAAGTTTTTTTTTCCCTAATTTTTCTTTGGCTGGTCACGACCCTACATGTCGAGGAGGATTATCGGATCAACCTGAACAGATGGACCGCCATCTACGACAAAAAAGGCTATAGCGCCGTCTGCAAAAAGACGGCCAAGTTTTAAGGCAGATAAATAAATATTTATCAAGTTACGAAATTTACAGTAAATGGCGGAAACACAAAAGTTTCATACTCTCGCGAGCAGGATAATATCGAGCGTTTCCCCCGAATAACACGACGCTTTATCAATTTGACATTTTTTGAATAAAATTCGATAGAGTTCAGCCGATAGGAGTTTTAAGAATGTTACAGTTTGGAAGTTGGTAAAGCTAAAAAACAAAACACTGTAAAAAGTTGTAAAACACGAATTTTTGCCTACAAATTTTAAAATTGCGGGGTCTGCGATAGTTTTTCGTTCTAAATATGGTTCGATTTTTAAAACCACACAAGCCACTTGATATTATTTTGCCTCGTTCTGTATTTCCCCAAAGAATCCCCGCCACCCCGATAATGAAGAAGTACCGACTTTTCTCGTTGATTTGATCCTTTCGTCCTTTTATCCCTAAACTCTATTCTAGAAAGTCCGTTTTTGTGCTCGCCCAACCTTGCACAGAGCGATAAGGATGAATACACGTTTTGGTGCAAATCTTTGCCCGGGTAGGATAGGTTAAGGCTAGACCGCCTTGATAAGAGGGTTTTTTAAGCCGGGAGAACACGGGAAAGCACAGAAAAAATGCAGCGTTTGATCTTCCTCTTCGTTTTGGTATTCCTGAGCCAGATCTCTGCTTTCTGTCCGCTAGATTCGATCCAGGATGCTTCGGGTCAGAATTGTTATTCGGTTTATCTTACTAAATTGATGCGGGTGGAGGCGATGAATGTATGCAAAAAGTAGGTAATTTCAAAGGCTGTAGTAGGACGAAATTTAGCTTTGATCAGAAGGGCGCTTCTCTGCATAATGCCTTTGATAATATGGCGCTGATGGACCAAGCGATGAAAAAAAATTGGGGTGAGAGAGAGAGAGAGAGAGAGAGAGAGAGAGAAAGAAAGCAACGAAGCGTTTTTAGGACAGCACATTGAGAAAAAAATGAGATTAAAACGTTTTCAGGACAGCACAGCTACTGGCTGGCTTGGCGGGTATTGGAATGGAACTGCCATTAAATGGGATGATAACACGGCAGCAGATTACAACAACCTGGTAAACAGTAAGAAAAGCGCGACCATCATTTTCATGTTCCTCTAGAAAAAGCCAATTCCGGTTATTTGGTAAAACTATAACGTCGTCTAAACTATAACGAATATATATTTAGACTAAAATATACCATCATCGTTTTAGCTAATTGGTAACTTCTCCGGCTTCACGTGGCCTCAAGCTCGTGCTCGTTGCCAGGGCCTTGGAGCCGAGCTCACGTCCATTCATTCTGATGTAGAACAACGTGTTGTTGTTGGTATGTAAATTTTTGTTTGACAACTTTTATAAAACGCTAACTTTCTGGTTGTCGTTAAGAACCTTTGCGGACTGATATTACAGGGTGAGGCATATATATCGCTACACCTCTAGCACGCACAAATTTGTCTGCCAGCGGAAAACTGATTATATTTTCGGGGTAATCGATGTTTCCCATCGAAGAACTAGCGTTTCTTTATGCAGGAAATAAATCTAAATGGTTGAAAATTGTTTCGATTTTGTTTTAGCTTACAGGGAAGTTCAGCGCTTTTCTCGAAAAAGTGGTGTGTTGGCACGCTGCTCCTAGAACCCCGTATATTGGTAACTCTAGTTCAGTTTTTTTGTATTCTGGTTCAGTCGGATCTTATTTATCTTCTCCAATAGGTTTTTAGTCGGAAACTAGCGAGGGAATTTTACTACATTCAAAAGAGGAGTGTTGACACACCCCACCCCACCCTTCTGTTGGCCACTAAAAATTAATCAGAAAATCTAAGCCACCTGAATATTTCGATTCGAGCAATTTTTTGAATTCTAGGCATCCGGTACGAGCAATTTCCGATGATAAAACCAAGAAATTGAACGAGTACAAGTCAAAAAATATATTTTTATGTTTTTTACTATGGGTTTTGCAACCAGCTGAGACAAAGTTTTAACTTGCCGCCAAATGAAAAGAAATAAGTTGGTCTCATTGTCTTCTTAGACAATTTCTAAGTAGTGCAAAGGTTTTTAGGGGTCATTCGGGTCCAAATCAATGTTTCCGAACCAAGCCGAAATCGACCGCCAAGGGGTTCCGTGCCAGACCCACCTAAAGACGCCCAGTTTTTGCTTTAGAACAAGTGTTTATAGGGTTGTTGCGTTATAAGATTCTAAGAGTGTCGAAAGGGCACATGTAGCTATATCACAGCGAAATATTGAAGCCCGGCTCGCTTTAATACTTTTTTGAGGGACCCGGAATGTGTAGCGATACAGTAGCGGTCAAAAAGATGTCCCCTCGGGAAATCCTTTGGTGTTCGTAAACCATAGGCCCAAATTTTATGAAACGTCGGGTCTAGGTCAATTTTGATACGGAGAATTCTATGGTGAACTTGAAATCGACTGAAAATTTGATTTTAGTGATCAAACACTAATTTTTAAAAAACCGGTAAAATTAACTTTTTCCTGAGGGATTTTCGGGTTTCAAAAATGTGTCCATCGTGTTCGCAAGGGTCGAAAACCTATCTCGAACATGTTTCAAAACATTTATCTCTTTGGGGTTCGCTACTATGAGGCCGAGAAGTTGTCGCCGCGGGGCGCTTTCTTGGCCCCCGCAAGCCTATCCAAAGTATTTTGGCCCGCGCGACAGCAACTTCCGGCCGTCAGTATGGTCAGGTCCTGGTAGAAAAGGTGTCGTAAAATAACGGACTAGTGGTTTTCGACCCTGGCGAACACGATGGACACATTTTTGAAACCCGAAAATCCCACATTAAAAAGTTTATTTTTACAGTTTTTTTGAAATTTAAGTTTGACCATTAAAATCAAATTTTCAGTAGATTTCAATGTTGCCATCGGATTCTGCGCAGCCGAATTGACCTAGACACGACGTTTCATAAAATTTGGGCCTGTGGTTTACGAGCACCAAGCGATCTCCCGAGGGGACATCTTTTTGACCGCTACTGTATATATGCCTCACCCTGTAATTGTGGCCTCTTTTACGATCTGAAAATCATTGGAAAATCCGGTTTTGGGCGAACTTTTTAGAACTGGCCGACACCTACCTCGATATTCAATTTGACTATGCTAATTGGACCACTGCTGCTACTTGGATCGGTGGATATCGAGTAATTATACATTTCCTGGGGGTTCATAAGTTTCCACGTTCAGACGGGCGGTGGAGTCACAGGTTTGGCGTGGACGGACGGCTCAAAATTCGACTACACCCACTGGGCAGCCGCCACGCAGCCGGACAATAAGAATGGCCAACCGTATGTTCATGTAAGTAGTTTTCATCGGACAGGAAAAACAGCATTAAGTATTCCGTAAATTGTTTATGGGTTTTTTTTGAAACCTGTTGTATTGAGTGAGAGAAAGAGACAGAGGGCGAGTACGAGAGAGAGAGAGAGAGAGAGAGAGAGAGAGAGCGAGATAGATGGAGAGAGAGAGCTATTTTTACAGATCTACACTACGAGACACAACGAATACCACGATGACGACAGTCTCTATCTCAACAAATGGGACGATATTTGGGACAACGTTCATGGCTATAATGCTATTTGCAAGAAAAAGTCGAAATTTTGAGTTTTATAAAACCCTTTTTTGGCTTTTCGCATCACTTAGTCATCGGACCCCGCCTTCCGGGTTTAAAGTCTATTCCGGAACACAGCTTCTTATCTCTTTTTCGGCCCTTCCCGCCCATTTTCGAAAGATACGAACATGACTGGTTTTTTGTTGCGAATCTTTCGTGCTGATTCTGAAGTGCATACATAAATATGTTTATGAGATGCAAATCCAATTAAACAGATTGTAAAACAACTACAAAGAATTTGGAAAATTAAAGAAATCAATATTTAAGTGGTGGCCGCCCTTGAAGTTTTCTCAGTAGTACTGCATGACGTTAGCCCTGAAAGTTAAGCACTAAAGCTACTTCAAAATGAAGCGAAAGTCAATTATAGCTACTTCAGAAATTTCTAGAAAAGCTATTAAAAATCCCACTTTTCCGATGCATTAAAAGACCCGTTAGGTTTGACATTTTTCGATAGCGTCGGATAATAGCCAACTGACGATACGTCTTTTCGCCATTCTTTACCGTAATCTGCCTAAAAAGTATTGATAAAAAATTTGATTTGAAACTCACCTCCAAAATAAGCTCCGGTTTGCATGGAACGTGAAAGACCATTCCCAGCAACTCGGCAGTACAGAAATCCGCTTCGAAACTAAATACGACAAAGATTAAATTTTCAAACAAATTTTGAAGTTAATGTAATTTTTAAAAACGCTTAAGTTATTCAAGAAAGGAGGGTCAAGAGAATCGAATAAAAATCATTTTAATATGAATTAAGAAAACTTTGATTTTCGTAAAGCATCCAAAAGACTTACCTAGGATATTCGGATCGATACTTCCCAATAACCCCTTGATCCTCTATCACCATCGTCACGTAATTTAAATTGTGCAGGCGATCCCGATAGACGGTAAAAACATCGAGGCCAAATGTCAATTTCTTGGTGGTTACGGCGAAGGTGAGCTCGTAGCTGTCGCCGGGCTGAAAACATGAAGTTTGGGGAGGATTTTACCACTAATTCTGGCCCTAATCTTTATAAAAAATGCGCTGACCCCGTGCTGGCAATTCACGTAATACCAAAAATGCACCTTTCCTAAAATACGCCACAACCTGAAGCCCGGCTGCGGCCTTTTTAGCTGATCGGGGACCATTTGAAACGGGAAGTCCTCTTCGAAAATGGCGAAATCCAGGTCCATAGTATGCGGGATTAATGAGCATTCGCGAAGCCAGCCTGAATCATGTATTTTAAAGGAGACTCGCGGATTGCAAGCCTTTTTTAATATTTTTTTAAAAAGCGTAGTTTCGAAAACGAGATGGTGCATTGTTACAACGGAGGAAAAACGGCCGATAAGCACGTTTTTTTGGTTGTTCTTGACTCTTTCGAGTAAATCTGTGGCCTTTAGCATCCCTTTAAAGCTTAAAAGGTTGTGAAACACCTACCCAAAAGTGTACCACCAAGCAAAAACGGCACTGAATTGTACCCAAAGACCATGTCGCGTACGTATTGGAGCCAAACGAGATCGGCTAGTTCCAAATAACGTTCGGAGGAATTTCGGGGTATGGTAACTAAACTAACACTGAATATGTATGTATTTTAAGATAATATGATGCATAATATCACCAAAATTAGAAAAATAAAAATAAAGCATAATCAAGAAAACCCTACGATTCAAGCACTCCAATTTCCGCGAATAGCCCCATAGCCGATTGGTGAATGTTTGATTTTTTGGGACGAAATTGGTGCCATTTTTCACAAATAAACTTCTAAAAGATGGATAGTTTATCGCTTTTTTGTCTTAATATTATTTAACCAAAAATCCATGTTTTTGAAACGGCTCACCTGGGCATTAGTCTGATCTTCTTCGTCCCATCGTTTAAGGTTTCGTAAATTTCGAAGAAGTCCTTGGCCGGATCGTTCTTGTAGGTCACTAAATTCTTAAATGTGTGTCATGTAAAACTTGTAAAATTATTTTAAATTTAATCTGATGTAAAAATTACGATTTCCCGCCCCATACTGCAACTCAGTGGCAAAAATAGCTTTTGGAAGTTCGTCACGACTCGACGGAGCCGGGGAATCTGAAAGAAGTTGCAAAAATCTGACAAATAAATCGAAGTATACTAATAATTAGTAGATTTCCTGGAGGGATCGATGGTTTAACAGTTGTTTTTGGGGCTTCCGGACGTTTATCAGGTGGTGGATCTTCCTCGACGACGTCTGAACGAAATGTAAAAAGCCATATCGGGGCGACCAAATTCTATATTATGTTTTCCACGCTATCAGCGAGGTATCAGCATATTCTGGATTAACATAATACTGATACTATTTAATATTTATACACAAGCCGCTATGAAATAAAAATTTGCTAAGAAAAGTCAAACTTATTACGAACTAACCAAAAATTATTGAATCATCAAAACGGTCGATGGAAGGGCTATCGGCTCCTGAAAATAATTTCAATTATCGTTAGATCTGCAAGTGTTAAATTGGGTTCCTTTCTAATATTTCCTATACAATTCAAGCCATTTCAGGAAGATTAATACGGTATTTCCAGCAAAGCATCCGTCAACAATTTCCAAACACAATAAATTCCGCCAAAACCCCACCTGTATCCGCTTCTTTTCTTAATCGTATGACAACCTCCGTTCTTCGATTATCCCTTATCAAAATTAGCAATAAGATGAAAATCGAGCATACAAGAATTATATAAAATTCGCGGGTTTTCATCAGACGGTTTAGCTGAAAATCGAAGCGGTCAGAGAGAGCCGATTCTGACAAAATGGCGGCTTAGTATTCAACTGCTCCGGTTTAGTCTCCGTTCTTTTCTAGTTCCATAGCACGTATTAGGCTATAAAAAACTATACCTGATTCTTCAAGATTCGCATCATTTCCGGTTTTTAAGACAGAACGGATATAATTAGTTGAGAACAACGAATGGTGTAGCCTTGAAACAAAAGCAGCCCGGTCAGGAATGACCAGTCATATCGAATGGAATTAATTTTTCTGCAATTTCGAGCGCCCCTTCCTGCTGATTTTTCTGTGAACTCTGCCCTGCATCCAGCGCCCGATGAGAACGGCGTGTACAACATTTTTCAACTCTTTTTAGGTGGTTCTCCCTTTTGTTGGTTCAGTTGGGTAACCGCATGGCAATATCCGTCATTTCCTGAGCTGCAGGCTTCGGCCTGAAACTGAAACCGAAACTTAAACATAAGTTATTTCCACAAACGCATGTTATATAGATCTTGAAAAAGCGACGACCTGATCCCAATTATCGATGGAATGGGGGATTATAGAGGGAAGACCATGCACAAAAATTAAATAAGATCCGGAATGAGAACAAGATAGCGAAAGAGCGAGAGAGAGACAGAGATAGACAGAGAGCAAGAGAGAGAGGCAGAGAGAGAGAGAGAGAGAGAGAGAGAGGCAGAGAGAGAGAAAGAGTGAGTGGGGGAGATGGGGGAAGGAGGGGAAAACGCGATGAAACCATACAATTTCCATCGTTCGACCAATTCCCATCCACAAAAGTTGCGATAAAAATCATTTTGTAGCGTATTTTCCAAATTTCCAAGGCTATGTTTCGCCTGACGTTCGCAAGTGAAAAGACTATATCATCTTTTTTTACACAGACAGCCCTCCCTAAATGATTCCCTGATCATGCTCAGTTCCTTCATTTTTGAAATGGACCTCAAGGACATCCCCGTTGGCTTTTCCCAACTTTCAGCTCAAAGAACACCCAGCTACTCCACAATTCCAGTCACACCATATAACCCAAAAGACTCCAGAATTCCGAGTCGAACTCCCGGGTGGGTGGAGCTCATCGAAATTCCTGATCTCCAGTGCTTTTCTGTGAAATTCTGTGTCTCTGTCGTCACTTTCCATCCGGATGTGTCGACTCCAAAACATCAAAAAATTTTTTGGTGATTCACAATTGTCAGGGGAACGGGATTTTGGACGAATCAATCCATTGAACGAGCCGATTTTCTGGTGAGTTTTATCGACGCTTCTTGGCATCCAAATATCTGTGAATTAACTGAAGAACTAAAAGATTCGTTAGGTGGGTTTTTAATATATTATTATCAGGTTTTTAGTATCTTATTTTTAGTATATTATAATTGGTGTGCTTCATACATATTTTCAAACCGGTATTTTAAGCAGATTTTTATGCAGGAATTTTTTAAGTAGGAGAATTTTATTTTTAACAGTTATTCTAAACACATTTTTAAGTTACAATGCCCCAAATTTCTAGAATTCGCTTTTCGTAGCTTTCCTAAATTAATAAATCACACCGTATTCCCGCAATTAGCGTGCAACGCGTAATTTTTTCACTCCTATAATTACAGTAGTACGTTACAATGCTCGCCATTTATCATTTTTATTCCGCGCTCCCACTCGTCGTGCCAAACCAGTAATTTGGTCGAGACCGATTCGCAAAAATTCGCATTTAATGAATAGGATTTACAATTTTAAAGGAAGCGTCCTTCCATCCGAACCAACACCTTTTCTAATTTAAATGTCCAGGTGATTTCAAAAATTAATTTCATGAGTTAAAGTTCAGCAAAAAAGCGGAATAAAGTGAACCCTAAAATTTTGCTTCAAGGAATGACGGGGAAAACCCAACATTTTGAGCTGCAACGTTTTGTTTAGCCTCCAGAAAATGAAAAATTTGGAACTACAGTAACCACTGAAAAAGCTATTAATAACATCATAGATCCATTTTATACTAATTCCAACCCTCAAGCGTCCAAATACTATCATCCCTGCCACAAACAATTTTTTGCCAAGGACCCATCCGGCCGGCACAAAAGTGAAATCTCAACGATCAGCCGACATTAACGGGGGATGGATGTCTCACGGCTCTCATATGTCTGCTCATGATTTCACAAAACGAGGGAGAGAGAGCGAGCGAGAGAGAGCGAGAGAGAGACAAAGAGATACGTAACTTTCCCACATTTGGACACATGATACTCCCCGAGGCATTCAGAACTTCGGAGCCCAGAATCTACTCCTTTGTACCATGTACGGGGCCCGGGACGGGCGTTCGAAAGTTCCCGCAGCATATTCTTGGGAAATTCCAGGCATTCTTTCTTTACATTCGAAGAAGGTTGATGCGAAAGGTTCGGAAGGTCGTAATTTTGTTTCTTTTTGCTCGTCTTAAAAAGCGTTTTTGAAAGTCCATTTAATTCAGATATGTAATATATTTAACAAATTCCAATTTTTTTAAATTTAATTCCTTGGCTATAATCCTTTGCTGGTCCATGTCTTTTCTTTTATTATTCCGTTTGTTTCCTCCGAACACCGCACCCATGAATCCTATGCATTCCTGGCTAGACCTAAATAATTGGCATCCGCCACACAGGTTTGATTGATTACGACAGGTAATGCAAAATATGTCTGGAATTTGGGCCGGGATAGGCGTCCGAAATCTGCTGAGACGGCTGGTACGGTAGTTGGAGATTTTTGATATTTGCGCTATGCCTTAACGATATCCACGCATTAATGATAAGGAAAGCGTCGACAGAGATTTTCCAATGACGACATTCAACACTTTTAGGATTGCGCATGTGGTTTATAAGATTTACCGCATCCAATAACTTTATACATGCGACCACCATGCCGCACTAATGATAGAATATTTGACGGTATAGAAAAATTTTTAAGGACAAAACGCAACCTTAAATTGAGCAAAAAGCGGCCAGGATTCGTTATAAAAATTCTCTGATAACGTGGCGGCAAAACTTAAAAACAATTGGCGTTCCGGTTTTATAAATTTTCACGAATTTTCACGAATTTTCAAATCCAAGCCAATCACAATCGATAAGTTTTCTCGTGCGTAGCTTTAGCCAAAGAGGCCAAAAAATTCCCCATTGTTTGATTCGATAATTTTTCCTAATCCTTTTTGTTTGGCTAAAAATCAGCTATCCGACTTCATCAAGCCGCTTCCGCCCTCTTCGTCCGCGCGTACTTGCTATGTTCCCAAAACGACTTCCCGGATCCCGACATCCCGTTTTAGCCCCTGCCCCAATTCTTCTCCAATCGCTCGACAACTCGTTGTTGTTACGCGCCGCACCGTGTGTGGCACCAGCTGAAAATTCTTAAAAATGCATGTCAGCCGCCAGGGAGGCGCGCCACGGCTTTTATTTCGATTTTATGCGCAAATTTATATCCTTGTCAGGAGCTTAAAAATAGCCGCCGAACGTGGTGAATATGGTCAGCATCGCAGTCAGCTATTTTGAAACCTCAAGGGACTGGGAAGTCTACTCCACAGCTGGATTTTGGCATCCAGTCGAGGAGGTCTACCGTAATCTATCGCAGACTACAGTGCGCTGTGCTATTTACGGCGTCATCCATTCTCAGGATACCATAATACCCGAAAAATACGTGTTAATTCGTTTTAATTTCTTAGGAACTAGTAGAGTTTTCTAAATTCTGGAGGCTTCTTACCTTTGCTTTAGGATTTCGGATTAGGCAGCTACAGTATGCCTAATTTCCTCTAACACGCAGAAAAGCGAAATAAAACGAAAAACCTATGGTTCTTTAAAAAAATTTTAGAACCATGTCGCCCCCGAAAAACCCCCAGAAATTCGACCTCCTAACTCTCGCCACAAGAACCCGTGCCCCTGGGTGAAAACAATAGGTTGCGTTGGTTCTCGCCGGGACAATAGGAACTTTTGAATAGGAAATTAGTGCTGAGAGTATTCCTGGGTTCTCGGATTACCTTTAGATTTTATCGGACGGGGCGGAAAAATTCGAGAAAATCAAAGTTGCCATCAAATGCGTACGCGCCGTTCTTGACGTCAACCTCCTTTGATTTTACATATTTTCGGTATGAACACTAGAGGGTATCTTGGCTGATGCTTTGAGCTTTGTGTAGTCTAACGTACCTTTTTATGAAATCCTAGAAATTTTATGGTTCCATATCTTTCGACACTTTTTACCATACTTCTCTCTGCATTACCGTAACCTAAGCAAGATAGCAGTCTAGCAAAGATCTTTTGAGACCAGATATGCGTTTTTCTGCTAAAAAATTGAGCAGTAAATGAAAAAGTTGAGAGGCAGGCTAGCAGAGATTTTTTTGAGGATTTTTTTAGGCACGGGATTTCTTGAAAATCTGCAGCATAACGAGCTAGCAGAGTTTCTTGCGGAATTGTCGAGCGAAAGTAAAGTATTGTAAATTCCCAAGGAAGCACATTTTGGTAATTTTCAATCAAAAAATTGGTAAATTAAGGTGTGCATTAACTTTCGGTTATATATCTGCGAAACATTTTTCTACCTGAAATTTTCTGTTTTCAGTGAAAACCGGGCATACTTTTTTGCGCTACGTCATGTTTTTCTGAACTTTCGACCTTCGATGGATAGTCTGGCCGTAAGGGTACTCCCCCGGAAATCCTCAGACTTTTGAAAAGCTGCCAAGACTAGTCAAGGCTTTGAACACGAAAAATTCAACTATTCCTTACCTCACGACTTCTCGCCCTCGCCCACCCACCCTAACAAAAGCGGCTAAAACAATGGCCAGACAAAAGATAAGCCCCTCGGGGGTGTTAGAGCTAAGTCTGGCTTGTTAGTTTCTTAGTTAAGGTATTTCTTAGTTGTGGTGTGGTCGACAAGTCACAGTGTCGTCGCCTACTTCCGGGGGCCCAGAATTCCGAATCCTGAGCTGCCCCCACCCACCAGTGTTTTTGTTTCTTCTGGTGTCTATTCCCGGATCCTGTTACTAAGTGTGTGGGCTGCGGGGGAGCCGATCAGGCATAACGTTGACTTCTCTTGAGGCAGAGGCTCACTCACCAGGAGCGAGAGCTTTGCAGAAGTCGAGTCATTGTTTTTGGCTTGAGCGTCATGGCGTACTCTTTCTTAAATATCATACTTGAGACGCAAGTAGCCTTTCAGAAGTCTCGAACTTTTTTAAAAATAGCTTTTCGATGCCTTTGGCAGCTTGGAATACTCCGGCGGTGGCGACTAAAAAACTGAACAGCTTCTAGGCTTTTTTTACCATCATTTTTTGTGTCGAGGTGAAGCGGCATGGTGCCTGAACACGTTTCCATAAGTCACGCTTCCGGCGTCAATTTCGCCGTGATCTCTGCCAGTTTCGCTCTCTCTCACTCTCGCTCTTGCTCTCTCACTCTCTTGCTCTCTCTCGCTCCTTCTTTTTCTCTTTCGCTCTCTCCCCCTCTCTCTCGCTCTCTAGCTCTCTCCCTCTCTCTCTTTAGTCTTCTCTCTAACCCTCTATCGCTCTCTCGCTCTCACTCTCTCTCTCACTCACGCTCTCTCCCTCACTCTCTCCTGCCATGTCTCTCTGACCCCGCAAAACCAGGAACGTAGCAAGAATGTCATTCCTTTTATGATCTCACAACATCCTTCATGACCATTAGAGGCGGCCCATGGCTGGCCGGCTGGTCTCTGGACATCTAGCAAAGATCTTTTGCTATAGGGTTTTGAAAACAAGAGCAAATTCTTAGCTGAGATGCGCAAGGCAGGAGGCTATTCAAGCCCCGGGCCCCAGATTTGAGTTTACAAATTTCCCATTACACGTTTTCCGACAACTTTGGATTTTGAATTTCACGGCCATGAGTTTTTTCCAAGCCTTGCAAATCCTTCCATTTTATTGTATTCCATACGAAACTTTGTGACTCTTCCAAATCTGACGTCACCCCGTCACATCGTTTCATCCCAAAATGTCAGCTTCGATTTTTCAAACCCCCTCCACACTGGATTTCTTCCTTTTTGTCTCAAATTCATAAGAACCAAAACCACAAAACCGAAAATTCTGAAAATCTGACATTTGCAGAGGTCGGGTATGTATGTTTAAGAATTAAGCAAAATTAAATAGATATTTTAAATACTAATAAAATCGCAAAATGGGACTTAAACCATGTTTCGATAAGCAAACTACCACACTTTTTTCTAACATAACTTTGGTCAATGACCTCCCAGAGATCTCCAGGCTTACCATCGGCCACAAAAGTCGCCATTCTATAGAATTCTCCGAACAATAGAAGAGGGTGGTGGCGTTCATAGGACTGAGACGGAGACACGGCCTAGACCAAGTTTTCCAAGGGCCGGATTAGTGTATCAATTAGTGCCCGCGCCATTTGTACAGGGCCGTAATATGGGAATTTTCGCATCCACCTCCACAAATTATGCACTATGGTCTTGGTTTCGCTTTCGCACTCTCTCTCGCTCTGTCTCTCTCTTTCTCTCTCACTTTCTCTCTCTCTCTCTCTCTCTCTCTCTCTCTCTCTCTCTATCTCTCTCTCACTTTCTCTCTCTCTCTCTCTCTCTCTCTCTCCTTCTATCTCTCTCTTTCTCTCTCGGTCTCTCTCTCTCTTTCCAAACTACTTAGAAACTTTATTAATTATTTCCTCCACCCGGAGTGTCTGCAGTAGTATACCAGAGTAGAAATGTCTGAACTCAACATCATTTTATACGCTTGATACCGGATTTTAAAGGGCTTGTGAAGGCTTCACACGCTATTTTCTTCAAGTGCCGCCTCCCATTTCCTTTTAAATAATTTTCTTTAGATGTTAAAAACCGAGCCCGCCTCTTTTTATCCATACCAAGAATTGACAGCGGAATTCGGAAGCCGAAAAATTTGGCAAATAGTCCAGCTGATCCCCCTATAAATTATTGTTTTGGCGGGCGCGCTTTTTGGGCAGAAAAACGCGTACTACTTCCAAAAATGATAATATTCCTTTTTATGGACGTTATAGAAATTAAATTAGGCTATTGAAATGCAAAAATCCTGTATTTTCGTAAGTGCTTTGACCTAAAAATGTATTCCAGTAGCTGTAAATGTTTGTACAAGACGTAGAATGTTTTAAACAATTTTGAACGCAAATTTGAGGCTTAACGCGCACCCACGATCTGTCTAGTAGTTTGCTGCAAGCGGATCCTCGAATGCGAAACATTTTCCGGGTTCCACGCCGAGAGTCAAATTCGCAAAGAGCCGCCGGATCGAATTCCATCACGACCCGAAACGTCATCAGGAGTTCCCCCGGATTTCGCGACTTTGAAAAGGACTGACGGTTGCTTTCGATTTACAAACTCCAGCTTCGTAGCTTTCCATAAAATTTTTTGAAGGGGTAGGGCCGCCACAGATTTCACCCATCGACTGCGACTGGAGAGCCACGCACTACCCCAAATTCTGATAAATAACTTAATTTTTTTCGATTTTAAGAACATGAGTTTCGACCAAAGATCCAATAGTTTGGATCTGGGTTGCGTAGCTGTTCATGGCCAGCCGATGGAAAGAAAGGATAGATTTTGGCGATCGCTAGTCCCTTAAACACCTAAATTCTAAGTCTAGGCAATGAATAGTGACGCCTGGAAATCCATAAAAACATCTTACAAACCCGAACAAAGTTGTGACGGCTATCTAGCACAGATTATTCAAGACATTACCGCATTTTAGCAGCGATCGGACGTTTTTTAGATGAGTGAACGAGATTAAAAGAATTTAAATTTCAATCTTTATTCGCGTAAAATAATTTCATTAAAAATAAGCCATTTAATTTTAATTAGAACCGCTAAATTTCGACTCTAAAAAGCCATGAGTAGATTCTACAAAACTATTCTCCATCCACTCACCTTCTATTTTAACGCTACATTCCTAATCCCGCCCTATGCCGTCATAAGAAACGGATCTCTCCTCCCACCCCGTACCACGTCTCCCTCACGTCTCCTGAAATATTCAAAGCGATACATATGTAGAGAATCTGAGGAACTCCCCTCCCCCTAAACCCGTAGAAACGCGCGGCTTGTTTCCTAATCCGTGGCCCTCTTTTCGGCCCTTTTTTGGCCCCTTTCCTTGCCAATTAATAAATGATAAGCGCACCACTCCCTCTATATCAATTGAGTTCCTGATCCGGCTGGGGGTGGTTCCGGCAGGCTTTGGAAAAAAATGGACCTATCTATGTGGTGAAAGCTTAGAGATTCTGGCTATTTTTGACGGCGTGGCTTTTCCGGAAACTACTCGCAACATTGAGAGTTCAGCTTGGGACCATTGCGTTTCTACTAGAATTATTGGAATTTTACGCAGCTCAAACGGTCGTTATCCGCTATCATAATTTTAGCATTATGCAGGAGTGTCTGAATAAAATGGCGTAATCGATTGTAAAAGCGTTTTCCGAAGTAATTTAGCATTAAGTATAAAAAAATTATCCTAGTGGTGCGGTCACAGTTAGAGATTCTGGTGATTTTTGCCGGCATGGCTTTTCTGAAAAGCTATTTCCAACATTTGAAAACTGGACTTCTAGTATTTTTTGACGAAAAATGCACACGCGAAAAATCCATAGAAAATTGACTACTGGGCTGTTAGCGGGGGAGGGGGGGAGGGGGTTAATCTTTTTCTCTTGCTCTTCTCTCTTCCTACGAAAATTTTATTCCATAATCCACCGCACCGCCCCATAGCGAAATAGAAACAATTTTGATAGCATTTTACACAATAAAATAGTTAGAAAAGGCTTCGCAAAAATTTAGAAACATTTTCTACGAGGCAAAAAAAAGATTGCCCCCCCTCCCCGTTGACAGTCCAGTACCGAAAATCGACAATCCCTAAATCCAAACATGCCTTTCCCCCTTCATTAATGACATATCATCATCGATTTCCTAGTTTTATCACGTTCCGCCGAAATTTAGCTTTCGAGCAAAAAGCAAGAGCGAGAGCAAATTTTTTAGATGTTTTTATATCTGTGTAACACAGTAAATCATCTAAAATCCCGGATTTTTCAGGTAAAACATGTGGATGCAATGGTTGAGCAGACGCTTCCTCCAGTGCTTGTTGGCACTCGCATTGGCAGTTGCCGTTCTGTCATCCCCACTTCCCGCAGAAGATGGTGAGCACGTGCTGCCAATGACCGACTTTAATTTGACCAAATTAAATTATAACTTTATATAAAATATGACAAAAATCAAAAGCATTTAAAAAAATTAAAAAATTTTATTCGATGTTCTTTATTTTTACTTTATTGTTAAAAGGAAGCATTCAATCAATATAGAATATGAATTTTAAAAAACCATTCGTTTTCAGATCGCGCATTAGCGTACGACGAGATGCCGATGCTCAGCGACTTCTATGATAAGTAGGTTTTCGAAAAGTCAAAAGCACAAGCGCTGCGCTCCCTTAAAAAAGCCGTTTTCCATATTCTATAAAACATTGTTAAGAAAATGCTTAAGCCTGAAGCACGTTAAGATGAAGCTTTACAGAAAAATGTAATTTTCTTGTAGATTTAGAAAGGAACTTTAAAAACTTCCTCTGTTTCCGCTTTTGAAAACCATTTTTTGCAAAAGAGCGGAATCGCGAAAAATGGGTCCAGTTACCAATACGAGCCATTAAGGACAAGAAAAAGCTATGCTAATTCTTCGATATTCTCTTTTTCGAAAAACTTACCTCAAAAATTAAACTTTCTGAAAGCTGGCTTCCAAGAAAAAATTTTGGAAAAGTGACGTTTTAGCGATATTTCTTGAAAATTTGAAGAAGATTATGAAGAATTTGAATTTGAAGATGCTCCATGCCAAAATTTCCGCCATAAAATTAGTAGTCGATAAAATTCACTTTAAAGTCAATTTAAACACATTTAAACACTAAACACTTACTACCATTTCAGCGCCGTTTTCGACATGGAAAAGCGCGGTCTCCTGCGACTCGGCAAGCGCTCCCCACTGCGACTCGGGAAGCGCAGCGTGCTCCGACTTGGCTAATCCAACCCACCTACCCACCCGTGTGTCCAGAGTTGTGTCGTGTCGCCTTCGCCAGCCCCCGATTTTTGCCCATCTTTTCGTTTCTTCCGTTGTGTGCCCCGCATCAGATCTTCATGAAAACTCCGCCCCGGCCGTCCTGCATAAATTCTTTGCCTTGTTTATTTGAACCAAACGCAAAAGCAAAATGATAAAATAGTTTTTAAGGGCCTGTCAAGGCAAGAGTATAGTTTTAATGGATCCTCAACGCTCGCTCGGAATTTGTTCCGCGACACGCCGCGCAAACGCAGCCTTTCCATTGTGTATTGGGTTGTATCGCGTTGCGGCGCGGCAGGCAACATCTTTAAAGCGCACGTTCAGGCAGGGGCCGTGTACTCGTCCCAACGTGTACACCCTATGGACGTAGGGACCGCGCGCACGGCCTGCCCGTGCTGTGACAGGCCATTTCCCTCCCTTGCGGCGTGGGGCGCCCCTCGCCAGGTTGTAGCTGTGGCTGACTGGTATGCATCCGCGGCTCCCGAGCGCGGGGCCCGGGTTCGACCCCGGCCGCGGCAAAAATCTTTGCTTTTTCCAAAAAGTGCCCCCCCCCGATAATGCAAAAGCGCCGTTTGAAGTCGAAGTTCCATAAGAGGGGCATTTCAATACGCCGATTTCCCCGATATGTGAGAAAAACAACGGGCAATCCCGATTGTCGCCACGAAGATCCTGTTATCTTCAAAACACAACAAAACTTAATTCAATTTTTTATCGGCGCTACACGTATAGCAAAAAAAAGTCACACGTTAAAAAGGGAAATCAACCGGAAAATTGCCGGGAAATCAACATAAAACATCGTAAATCACAAAGGCGGAGACACAGAATGGCGCACATTTAAAGGGCCAAAAAAGCAAGTGAAAGATATCGTGTTTGGGACAGCCGATTTTTGCAGTGTTACCAGAATTCACGCGGGGGGTTTTTGAAGGGCACCGGTAGAGAGTCGAAAACACCTTACAAAACATCACCGTACATTTTACACGTGAAAATACAGCATTTTACAGGAAATACATAAGAGAACTACTGTTTCTAGGCCATCTCCTCGTCCTCGTCGGCGCTGTCGGACGGGCTGGAGTGGACGTAGGAGCAGAAGCTGGAAAAAGAAAATTGATATCATAAAAATTACAAGGATATTTTTAAAATATCCTTTTCTAAGGTATTACAATTAAGTATCAAAATCGCAACCCCAAAAAATCATTAAGAAAGAGTTTCAAACCGAAAAAAACACTAGATAAATCTCAAAACGTCCGGATTTCATTAGCATCTCACTCGCAGCAAAGCTTGCTCCCGCTAGCCGACCAGAAAAACACCAATTATCGGCATTTTTAGCAAAGCATACAAAAGGGCCCAAATCTTTCCGAGCTATAAGAACCAATAAAAACCATGGTCAGCCAAAGTTTCAAAGAAAAAAATGTAAAACCAAAAACTCTCACTAAAAACCGATGTTTTGGAAAGCCGGAACCCGTTTTCGATTAAGATTTCGCTATTTTGGGCAATTTGCCGAAAAGTGGACATTTTCGGGTTTTTGATACAAAATGCTTAAAAGGCTCGATTGAAAATATAATTTCGCAACGACAGAATTGCTTAGATAGTCCACTTCATTTTTGTGAAATAAAGCTTATGAGGCCGAAATCCGTAATTTTTTGTTCTGCTATTTTGCTCTGAAAATTCGGCTGAACATAGTTTCTAGGGGTCTCCATCGCTGGTAAAAATTTGGGCGCGATCGGAAACGACACGGCCAAATGCGGACGGCCAAACACCCTGTAGTATTTAACAAAAACAACATACCGGTACCCGTAGATCTCCAACCCGTCGGCGCGCTTCGTGGGGATCAGGTTGAACTGGAGCTTGGCGAGGAAGGAGATCTTCTGGTAGTCGTCCGGCTCGCAGACGACGTGCACGCCGGCCGAGCCCGAGTACGACAGCACGGTGGCCAGCGTCTGCACGATGCGCTTCATCGCTACGGAGTCGTCGGTGCAGAATTTGGCGTGCAGGTGCTAAAAAAGAATAGACTTTCCAAAAAAAAAACAGAAACTTACAATTCGGGAAGGATATCGTTGCGTGATGTCCGACGAGACGCCATGCGGCTTCCACAGGTTGATCTTGGCCTTGCGGTCTTTCTAAAAAAGGTTAATCTCCATCCTTCATATATATCTTTAAGTAATTTATTAATTCAGCAAAAAAAAAAACGCATTTTTCGACAATAATTGTGTGGTGCGAAAAATTAACTTTCACCGCCTTAAATGACCAGGAAATCGATTTCGCGCGAACAAAGTCTGTTTCGGGTAAATTTTATTAATTCAAACAGCTAGCATTATTAAAATAGCTTCGGGATCCTAGAAATGGCATCATAATGTGCAAATTAGCGCGTTTTCGATATCAAAGAGGCTAAAAGAATGCCGCGTCGCCGCCGTAATTGGGCAATCGCCAAGACCGATAAGACAAGGCTTCTCAGTGCCTTTAAAACAACGCAAAATTCTCACCTCATCCGGGATCGATTCCTTGTACTTCTCCATCATCATCGCCTGGTAGTCGGGCCAAATGTTGCGCAAGTAGGTGTCAACTGAAAAAAAATAGGATTATGCAATCCCATCATTAAAAAAAGTTAAATCAGCGTAAAAAGCCCTTACCATTTTTGATGCCAGTCCCAGCACAGTGCGGGTACCGCAGCCCCTGCGCGTCCTCCTCCACCCACTCCTCGTAGGAGATGAACCCAAAGTGCGGCTCCGTCGGCGAGAAGGTGTACGGGCCAAAGTGGCTGAAAAGAATTATACAAAAATCAAAATTAAAAAATTACCGATCAAAGAGCTCCTCGTTCGATTCAGCCGGCGGTTCGCCGTTGCCAAAAAGATGATGGAAGTTGATCTAAAATAAATAAATGCATTTTGAAAGTACGAAATTATTAAATTCTGTGACTAAGAACTTCACAAGCGCTATATAAATATCTGGCCTTTAAAATTCGCTTCAAAATCCATAGAACTGCCTACAAGCTCATTAAACTTTACGCCTAAATTTAGAAAGCTGATACAATTCAAGTCAGTGGTCTGAATTTAATCAATATACAGTATCCTAGCAAAAACATTGATTTGGAAACCTCGAACAATTTGATTAAATAAAGCTAACTTTAAAAATTTAAGAGTTACTTTAGTCAGTCAGGTTTTAGTTATAAATCCTTTGAAAGTTATGTCTATAATCATACATACAAAAAAAAAGATAATTTTATAGAATTCAATAAAATTACCGTATCCTCCACGGTGACGGTCCGAACGTGGAAAGTGCGGATCGACATCGGAAGCGGATTCTAAAAACCAGGTGTAAAATTTGGCGCATAGATACCCGATTCCTGAGCAAGTCCAGCAGACCATCGGAATTTGCCAGCAGCCCGGTCACGTCGACGGAAAAGCCGCGAGCCTAAATCACCGGTTTACGACACGAAATCCGGAAAAATTTACCGGACAAACCCCGCACCATGCCTCGTCCTCAAACGTCGCGTTGGTCCACGTATTGACGCGGGCTATAAGTTAAGGCATTAAAAGTATTAAAAAGGGCATAAAATTCAAAATAGCCACAGATTTTTGATGATTTTCGTCCTAGTACAAATAAATAGACAGCCAAAAAAAATTTTTTGATGGTCGAAATATAAATTTCAAATCCCGAAAGCTTTAGAAATCACGGAAATACTGAGATGTTTTGAAAAATCACTAAAACCAACCAAGGGCTTTTCTAAGCTTCATCAAACTTGGACAAAAAAATTTAAGAAAACGGGGGAATGGAAAAGAATAAAATATTTAAATCCCGGCAACCGCTTTATAAAGTGGTTAAAACTTAAAAGTCTCATTCTCGCCTAATATAATTTACTTTCCTCCAAATTTTTTCTGATCATCTTCATACTCTACCAAAATCATCAAAAAATCAAGAACACGGAAATATTCATATCAGCGGCTCCCGGGCCAAGCAAACAACGGCGTACCCTTCAGCGGACGTCTCATATTTCCGGCGGCAATCCAGTGGGAAAGCCCCTCAATCAGCGACAGCGTCCCGTGAGCGTCCCAGACGTACGGTAGCAGTTCGGAGAGCAGGGGCTGGAAAGAAAATCTTTTTACTTAATTGTTAATATTTTAATTTAAGTTAATTTTAATATTTTACATAAAAAGTTCGAACCGCTTCACGTTCAACTCGGCTGTAAATCCCTCACCTTATTCGGGCAATTCATAATCTTCCAGTACAACCCGTTGAACTCGTTGACAAACTGGTACATGTCGGCGATCGCCTGGCGTAAACCACTAAAACAAAACTTGTTATGAAATACGAGCAAAAAATACTCGATCGTCGTCGGCGAGCAGCCGCGGTCCCCCTTGTGCGCGTTGTTCAGCAAGTAGACAAGCGTGGTCAGCAACTGGAATAGTTCAATATCAAGAAAATTAAAATAGTGGGGCAGCCTATATCAAGAATCGTTGGCATTATCGGTGGGGCAAGTTTTTTCTAGGCTCCAATGTTTCAAATAAAACAGCGAAAGTATTTTGAACTCTCTTTTTACTATTTATGAACGTACAAACTTCGCAAATTTCGACTAACCAATACAAAAAAAAATCGGCTTTTGACCAAAAATACAAACTTTTAAAACTATTTTTCTAATTTTTAGGTTTTTTCTAGTCTTGAATACAGCTAAATTTTACTCAAAAACTTAATAAAATACCTCCTGTTAAGTTATAGATATTTCTAAGCCCATAAAAACATTGCAGTCCCCCCCCCGATAACGCGAAAGAACCAGAAACAAAAGTCAAAAATTTCCTCCGACAAAATCAAAATCGCACCTTCTCAACCTGGGGCCCGTATTGGAAGGGCAGGTAGAAGATGTCGAGTAGCTTGCGCAGGTCCGCGGCCGTGATTTGCAAGTGAGCACTGTAAGAAGGTATAAAACGTCATTTCGGAGCCCTTACGCCCTTGTTGTTGTCATTTCGGCCGCTTCCGTCTTCGCAGCGACTGGGTCCTCTGTGGCTCCTTCTTCGTGGCTAGAAAAAAACAATTTTTGGACACCGTACCATCAATTCGTACCTATTCTTATGCGAATTTGCCCCAATCGGCGTGCCCATCACCGTGCAGGTGTTGTACTCGGGCACCAACGAGTTCACGAGGTCCGGCTCGGTCGCGTCTTGCTGAAAATTGGCATGAACCCTGGCCCTAAAACGCCTACCAAATTCGGGTCGCCCATGACAGCGTGCACCATCTCGTCGACGGCCATCACCGGCAGGGCCACCTCGGCCGAGACGTCGGGCGGCACCGTCAAGTCGCTGTCCATCGCCACCGAGCCGGAGCGGCTGACAGCGGCCGATTCTAAAAGATAAATTACTGATTTGAAAGAATTTCACCACTTGGCAACGGGATATCCGGATTCTCCAGGCCTTCCTGGTAGTTTTGCGGCTTGACGGTGGGGACCTCACTAAAAAAGAATTATTCACTATTTATTCCGAACCACTTAATTTTGAGCTAGTTTCAACAGAATCATCCAAAAAAGGCTAAAAATCCTTGATAAAACCCATAAGCTTACGCAGTCTCCGTGTTGAAAAGCTTTTCCCAGTCGGCGAGCGCCTTGTTTAGAGCTTCTTCCGGGCAGTAGACCTTCGACGACGCGTTGTCCTCGGTGTTCATCCCATCTAAAAATGTAAAACTATAACATTAAAAATCGTGCCTGTACGCCATTTTACCAGATTCGTGATATTTGTCGAAATTTTTTAGCGCTAGTGGATAGCGCACCAAAAAATATCCGAAGAGTTATAAATACAGCACAAAATAATGTATTTTCGGTTAGAGGAAGCTATCGGGAATATAAATAAATTGAGGCAAATCCCGTACCCGCATCCGCGACGGCGTGTCGCCACTGTGAGGTCGTGGCGATGGCCATCAGGTTCGTCTCATGCTTGTTGTTGGGGTTGAGCAGCAGCCCGGAGATCGACTCCTTCACCGCAACGGAGCGGCCTAAACTAAAATTAAAACATCCAAAACCTTAACTAACCCTCCAGGGGCCCAAGGTACGTCCGGCGAATATCATAGTCGTTGGCGTAGTAGTTGTCCCAAATCAACGGCTTCCGGCGCAGCACTTTTTCCACCTTGGCACAGTGAGCGGGCGTCAACCAGCGAGAGATCACCTTTGGGCCTGGAAAATGATTTTTTAGCAAAGCACTGCTTCAGATGTAACGGGGATTTATTCTACAACTAGTATTAACTTATTTTTGCAATCGCGGTAATGAGAAAATTATAAGAACCATGAAAAAACGACAAAAAATAGCATTTTCGCGAGTTTTTGTCTTTTTGTATAGATTCTCAACCAAAACTGAATTTTTTTCGAATATTACTTAATTTTAATACGGGAATTACTAAAAAATGTTTTGTATGCAGCTCTTTCGTTCCTGTCAATCCCTGTGAAAAACTTAGCGCTCTCTACCGATCAAAAAAAGGTTCCGAAAAAAACTCCCTCACCCGTCCACATCACGTAAATCTCCGAGTGCAAGAAGCGGCCGACCGTGTCGAGGTACTCTGAGTCGGCGATCCTCGGGTGGGCGCGTGTCTCGCAGTATTCTAAAAATTAAGGCATCCCGCCGCAATAGAAAAATCTCACCGGTGGGGCAGAACATGAACACCGGTCGCCCAAGCATCTCGTAAATCTTATTGGTGACTTGCACCTAAATCAGAGATTTTAAAAAAATGCCGAAAGTCGCAAACCTGCGCCTGGGCGAAGGAGTCGTAGCGATCTTGGTCGGCGCGGTGCATCTCCTTGGGGATGTCGTCAAACAGCAGAGCGAAGCTGGTGCATCCCAGAGATTGGACCTGGAAAAGGATATTGAAGCTGGAAAGATAGAAAGAGAGAGAGAGAGAGAGAGAGAGAGAGAGAGAGAGAGAGAGAGGTTCAAAATCCCCGACCTGCTCCAACTTGCGCCTCGTTGCATTAATGTCACCCTCGTCCGAATAGCGGATGTCGTTGCCGGGCGAGAGAGCGTAGACGAACATTTGATTGTGAAGGCGCGCCTCGGCGATGAGGTGACGAAGACTCTCTGAATAAAAATGGATATCAAAATATTACAGAGAGCGAGACGGGATTTTCGACCAAAAAAAACACGTATCAAAACGTACCGGCCTCCTCGTCGGTGTAAAGTTCCCGCCAGGAGAGCCGATGCTTCAGGTCGTCCTTCGGCGCGTACACGTAGCAGTTCAGCTGGTAGTGCTCCAGCTTCTTGTAGAGGTCCACACGCTGGTCCTGCGTCCAGGGGCGGCCGTAGAAGCCTAAAAAAAGACGATAAAACGTTTTCGACCAATCCGTTTCTTTTTGGAAACCCTACCCATATTTTATAGATTTTCATCAAATTCCAAACTCCCTCCTGATACCTAGGGAACAAACTATGCTGTTTAAACTTTTTTGCTGAATCGACCACACAAGAAAAATCGGGATTTTCGATGTGGGAATCTAATTTATACAATTTCGCTTACACCTAGCAGCTTGCAGGGTTTTGAGTGTTACAAGCCCACAAAAAAACCAGCGATAAAATTTTACGTGTGCCTTGGAGAAAATCATTTTGGCTATAGGGTTCCAAAATCTAAACATTGTTCATAAATTTTCAGATAACAAAAAAACGGCGCAAAATGCAGTAAAAATAAACCGGTGGGGATGAAAACTTTTTTACTAGGGAAATTTTCACTATGCTGAAGCCGCTTATGCCTATTTTCAAAAATAACTATAATAATAATTCTGACCAGCAAAAGTTACTCAAAATAGCAATCGAAGAAATTCGTCGCAATGAAAATACAAAATGCGCCCGCTAAAACTGACCTTCGATGACCCCGCAGATGAAAGTCGAGTCATTGGCCATTGCCCAGTACCGAGGTGATGACGTCGGCGCCTTTAATTTTTGTGTACGGCGAGTCATTCGGCCCATAATCGCGTTCGGGGTTCGAAATATCGCACTGATAGTCTGGAATCGTTGATCGTAACTTTTAACGCGAAACTAGAATAATTTATTGCTGCTACAGATACACAAAGAGGAGGTGGGAAACACAGAGCGATGGCCAGGGCTGGGAAATGGGGGAAATAATTTTGGGGGTATTTGGCATTACATAGAAGGGGGAGGAAAATCTGAATAAATTATAACTACAGGTGGAAGCTCAATAAATTATGTGGAAGAAGCAACACTGGCTATGGGGAGCGCGGCGCGGCGGACAACCTAAAAATAAATACACAACTCTCGGCGGGGCATAAATTAATTTAAGAAACACAAATTTGCTCTACAGTGGGGTGCTTATGCATTATCGGGGAGAGGGCCGCTTTCCTTATAAGTCCAAAAATGCTTAGTAACGTAATATTAAGGGATGTTATCGCGTTTTTTAGTAAAATAATACGTTATTCTACTTGAAAAACAATTTTAAAAAATCAGAAAAATTTTTACGTGAACTTTTGGTCGAAAAATCGATATATTTATGTATTTTTCAATAGAAATTTCAACTACCTTCGGAATCGTAAAAAAAATACTCGAAAAAAAACTTCGCCTCCCCCGATAATGCAAAAGAACCGAATCGGAAACTCTGCTCGCGGTTTGGCATAGCACAACGCGAAAGTGAACGACCAGACGAGTGCACACAAAAAAAAAACACAGGCCAAATTATGCAAATGGGAAAGTGGAGCTCATGGATGAGGAGGGGTGTGTCGAAAATGTGTTTGTTCGAGATGAGGGGGGAATGGGTGTTAAAATGCGCGCCAATTTGTGAAAATTACACCAAATTAAATGAAATTAAATTTGTGCAAGGTGGGAAATCTCGAGGGGGAAAAGGACGGCTAGCACTACATGGGAGTTGTCTGCGTGTGAGATTACGACGAGATTTTGGAGCAAGGCCAGCGGAAAAAAATATATAGAATTCTCGGGGGTTAAAGGGACCGCGAGGAAGGAAATAAAATATTTTTCTGAAGCTAGAAAAAAGCAATTCCCACTTTACGGGCCCCTTAAAAAATTTGTTTCCTAAAACTCAATGGGCGAGAGGCACAACGCGGAGGGAAAATTCTCTACAAAAATCCGGAAAACGGGGAACTCGCGCAGATTTGGGATGCTGGTTGACAGATTACGTAATTCAATGGGGGGGGGGTGTGGTGAACAACAAGCGCAAAAAGGGCAACTGCGGTGCGAGCAAAGGGCACTGGAATGAACTGGGGAACGGCGGGCCGCATTTGTAAAAAATTAGGGCAACAACAATGGGATTTCTGGCGAACGTCGAGAAGCCATGATTTTTCTGTAAAATCCAGGTAAGATGCTGTCACGCCAAAGATAAGCTTCCGATTTCGCGCTGAGAAGGGCAGCAGCCAATAAAACAGAAAATCCGGGGAGACGACCCCCGCTTTTGTGTCTGCGCCTCTCTCATTCTCCATTCTAAAAGCTGCCGTAAAGGGGGACTGTTCGGGCGGCCTCACGCCCTTCCCGGCAGCCCAAGCTCAAGTTGAACTGCATTAATCCCAATTGTTAGCCGCCCGCAAAAATCCTAGAGTTCCAAGTGAAATGGGCAGGGGAAGGGGATGGCGGGAGGTCAACGGTGTCTAGAACAGCTCGGCCAGCACGTCACACAGGTAGCGCGACACGGTGTCCTTGCTTGAGCGGACGGTCAGCCGATATTTCTGAACAGGTTTTTAGGCATGTTTCACGGGGCAATTACGTGAAATCGTATCGAGGTTTTTGAAAAACGAGAAACGCTATCCGATGCCCTTTTTGATGCAGAAGAAGACAAAGTATGAAAATACGGTTCTGTTGCATTATCGATGGGGGTCAACTTTTTTCCTGCAAGCCCAGAAATGTTTAGCAACGAAATACTAAGCATATTCATAGCTTTTTGGAAAATTCGGACGAAAAATCAAAATTTTGTAATTTTGAATCCAAATTTGCCACATTTTTACATTTAGGAATCATGAAAACTGTTGCAAACCACTTTCTCTATTTATATTGCCAAAAAATCGGCTGCTGAGGCAAAAGTTTGTTCCCCCGATAATGCAAAAGAACCGAAAATCCACACAAAAACGACCTACTAAACCTCAAGCTAAACCTCAAACTGTTTCCCTTCCGAAGCTTAAAACGGATTCATTCATATGCGCAGGAAAACCATGTAGGATAGCGCCCCGTTTTCCGAAGGCCAATAAAAGCTCAGCCACTTCCCGAGGAAGAAAAATTCAAAAACGCTGCCTCTTGGCCAAAAACCCAATTTCCGCCAACACCACGCGAAAACTGACCTTGGCCTGCTTGTTGGGCTCCAGCCGGATCAGCGTGCCAATCTGCTGGGTCTGCGTGTGGATGATGCCGGCACAGACGAAATTATCCGGGTTCGGGTCGACGTCGACGAGCAGTTTGGCGCCGACGCCGGTTAGCTAAAAGAAATCGTAGACTTTCTGAGCTAGCAAAATCAAATAGATGCTAAAGAATCAGCGCAAAAGCCACCTTTGCATTGACGGCCGCCGTGTCGATCGGGTGCTTGGCCGTGAAGATCTTTTGGCTCTCTTGCGACGGGATCCCGAGGGCTTTCCATCTAAAAAATATATTAAAAAAATAGCAATCAAACACAGCGTCAACACGTCATAAAATCCAAAACCAACCTGGCAAAGAACGTCTCGCTGGTCATGTCCGTCGGCTCGAAGAACTTGTTGATGAAAATCGGCAGATAGAAGAATTTGTCGAAGCGCGCAGCCCCGCCGGCAGTTTGACTGAAAGAAACGAGGATAGAGAGCTAAGAAAAACCTCACGTGTAATTGAAGGAAATCTGCAGAATCGGCATGCGGTTGAACTCTTGCACGCAGACGAAGTTGATCAACTGCTGCACCTGAGCCATCGGGCCCACCGAGGCGTCGATGGGCTTGGCCTGAAACAATATAAAAATTAATTAAAATAGCCAAAAAAATTTACCTGAGCCTGCAGCTGCACGGAAAGCGCCCCGGGGCAAACGACGACCGGCTTGAAGTCGGTGAACTGGCTGGGCGTCTTGTTGCCGTAGAACATGCCCAGTCGCGCTAAATTGTTCCTCGCCTCCAGCTTGATGCCGATCTGGATGCTCTCGTCCTCGTATAGCACGCCGTTCATCTTGGTGACGAACCTAAAACAAGTTTTTTTTCTGTAAGCCTTTTCTCAACAACGGGGGCAACTGATATTTCCTTAGTCTTCCATTTTTCATAAAATGGCCCGTACCTTAGAAGTGGAAAGACTATTTGCAAAATGCGCCAAAAATTATAGTGACCGACGATGGACGCCCCGGCCAAGAACGCGCGAAACTAGTGGGCCGTGGGAAGGCGGGGTTGGGCCGTCCTGACCCCCCCCACAGCCTGGTGAAGGAAGGTCGGAGAGGAGGAACATCGCGGGTTCGACCCCCCCCGGCATTTCTTTATCTCAGAATTTCTCTTCTGACATTTTTGATAAAATATAGCTATATTCCAACCAAAAAAACTGTTTCAAAAAGCTAGAAAGAAATCTATCTAACAATATGCAATTGTGGTGAAAAAAATCTGATTAATTTGCTAACAAAACCGTAGTTTTTGCAATCCTAAAACTTTTCAGGGTTAGAAATAGCAAAAAATTGCCTTCTCTGTCTATATTAGAAAAAACTGTGTTCTACTGGAAAAGGTTATGCTCCCGCATATTTTACAAAAGAACCAGAAGCAAATTAAAAGCGCACTTTGTATAGTCGTCCTTGTTGACGACGACCGGCTCTCCAGATGGCACCGGGCTAGTGGAAGAGTGACTACCCGACGATGCTGTTGTCGCCGGGGCGCCGAAAATATCTACGAGCGCGGCCGCGTCCGACTGGGAGGAATGGTCTAGATCGACAAGCGAGCCAATGCCGCCGTTCCCTTCGTGCGCCATCACAGCCTGGGGCCGGCTCTTCTTCTCCTGGGCGACCGTCTCCAGCTCCTCCACTTGCGGCTTGTGCTTCTTGAGCTTGGCGAGGAGGGAGCTCTCCTTTTCGGCAAATGGAGGCATCTCTTCGAGGATGGTGGCCAGCACATCCGGAGTCGCCACACGGCTCATCTGCAGGTATTCAACGGCACGCTGTTGCAGCTCGGCGTCAGGGTTCCGGAGGTTGTGATCGGTGCGGAAGACCTAAAAAAATGCAATAGAGGCGAGAACCAAAAATCTACTCACCTCCTGGATGACGTGCTTGATCTCCGGGAACAAGTTGCAGAATTTGACGTAGGTGGTGAGGAGCAGACAGCGTGTGTTGATGCTGCACAGATGGTACTTTGAGTGAAGCAGGTCGAACTGGACTTGAGGGCTAAAAAAACAGGTGTAAAAGAGCCTCCCGAAATCCGAAGGACCCAAAGGATAAAAAACGAACGCGGATCGTTGATCGCCGGCGATGAGGTTGCCGAATTCGCCGAGAATATATCCGCCGACTTTGACCATATTTTCATGGCAAGCCGGTCGCTGCAGCGCCTCGAAGACCGTTTTTGCCGCGTAGCCTTGCACGTCTTCGCGGTTAACGACAATCTAAAAAAAGGTTTTTCTCTTTTTGAGGGCCCAGACTGTTTCAAGAAGTCACCAGAAAATCAATACCGACCTGAATGACACGGTACCAGACTTCTTCGCTGACGTAGTCGCCGGCGATGCGGATCAGCTTCAGGATGACGTCCACGTACCACGTGTAGTCGGTGGCGTACTTTTCGGCGAGTATGGCGACTTTCAACACCTAGAACAAAAGAATAAAAATCAGCAAAAAGCTCTCACCATCTCCTCGCGAATCGAATAGTCGGCCGTCTCCAAGTAGGCGAGCATCTCCTGGACGATGTCCCCGGCATTTGTTCGATCGCACATCGCGTACAGCAGATCGACGGCCCGCTGGCGCACGGAGACGTCCCTAAAAATCATCAGTGAAATCTTGACGCTGTCAAATTACCGCTCGGTTTTCAACGACGTGATGATCGTCTCCTGGTGTTTCTTGACCGCTTCATGAGAAAACTCGGACGTCGCAAGTAGACACATCGATTCGAGGGCGAGGTATCTAAAGCAAGGTTTTCGTATCGACATGAACCAACCTCAAGTTGGTTTCGCGGTGAGTCAGGAAGGCGCCGAGCTGGTTGCAGGCGCGGACCAACAAGTTAGGCTCGCTGTCCATGTGGATGATCAGAGCGATAGCCTGAGAAAACCCCTTTTTGAATGTTCACTAAAAACCCCACCTCAAAAAGCACCGCATTTTTCGCGTTCGAGTGCTGGACCTTCTTGGACTTTGGCGCATCCTGGGCCTTGTTGAGGATACCCTCGAGACACTCGAGCAGTCGCGCCTTATTCGAGGGGGTCTTCTGAAAGAAGCAATTCGTTGAGAATAAATGCTCCGAATTGCAAGAAAAAGCAAGGGCCAAGATTTTATACGTACCAGGTGGCGGATAGTTCTGCAGCAACCTCAGTAGCTTCACGCAAAGCCATGGTGCCGGCACAAAGTAATATGTGTAGTCCTGAAAATCATGGAAAAGCTATTGGGAGGGAAAATGGTTGGTTCTCAACACAATTTTAGCAAAAAAGCACCTGCAAATCGGTGTAGGTGGACGTGACGATGCGACTGAGCCTGGAGATGGCGAGCGATACGCAGCCGCGGTAGTCCTCTGGCCATCGCTTCGAAAGAGCCTCGATCAACGACGCAGCTGAGGTGACGACGCCCTAAATTAATGACATATAGTATAACTCGGTGAGCTCAGTATTAAAATGTCGATATCCCGCGTCGGAAATGGACCCCAACCCGAAAAATTTCCAGTCTACCATAGAAAAAGGAGCTTTTTTATGCTACTTCGCATGCGAATTTTTGGGATTTTTCAAATTTTCTGTTCGGGATGGTTTCCATAAATCATCCCGCGTACCATGTGCGAATCGTTGAGCAGGTGTACAATGCGAGAAGCATGATCCGGCGACGGCATCACGTCGGGCGAGGTTCGGAAAAGCTTGAGCAGACAGAGCGCGGCGGATTGCTTGACGAAGTCGATGGTGTCGCCGGAGACGAGCAGCTTTGGTAGGTCCTGAACGGAAAATCAAGTTGTTTGTGAAAAGACCTGCGAAAGAGCCGGTAAAAATCTCACCTGAGCAAAAGCTTCGGCCATATCCCGGGAGCCAATGTTCGATATGCACTGCAGGGCCAGGTTCACGTGCACCGGATTGCGGGAGGTCTAGATGGGGGTTTTAAGAAATTGGAAAACCCGCGAACCAAATCATTCCGGATAGCTTGAACAATGAGCTTCATCAAATCGGAGTTCTGCTCGATGAGGACCGAGATGAAGAGGTAGCCCTGAAAACTTAAGTAAACTTGGAGCTTCTTCATTATCGGGGAGGGGGGGGGGGGAGGGGCAACTTTTTTCTTAGGATCCAGTTTTACAAATATAGATAGCAGAAAAGAAGCGTTTCTCGTGTTTTTTTACTATTCCCAAACGTAAAAACGAATTTAACCCATTTTCGGATCTAAAATGGCCGTTTTTACGAAAATTTTGACTTCTTGAAAAAAATTTTCAGAGAAAATGTAGTATTATTATTTGACTAAAAACGTTATAAACATAGTTACTATTAAGTTAATAAGAGTTAATAAGGGCTATTAAGTCTTTTAGATTTACAAAAAATTGATGCGAAAGCTCCATCTTAGTTCATATAAATCATGGCCGAAGTCCCAAAATTTCTATCGAAAAACCAACAATCTGCTTCTCTGTGTACTTGTTCGACGACAACAAATTGACCGCCTCCATGTGGCCAAAGTCGATGTCATTTCCGAGCAGGAAGATGAAGAGCAGCTTGCAGACGTACTTTTTCTTCTGATACCCATCGAGCGTCTTGTCACCTGAATTCAAATAAACATGATCAAACTCGAAGCCCGTACCTTTAAATTTGCTGCGGATATTGGCGAGCTCCTTGTTGATCCGCTTCAGCTCGGCTTCTTTGCTCTTGCAGTTGCGGATGTCGGAGATGAACACGGCCAACCCCCGCATGCCATCGCCCTTGACTGCGGGCATTCTGGAATGGAAATCGGTTGTAATGAAACCTCCACCACAATGTCAGTAAAGCAAAGAAAGCGTGAAGGAACACAAAAGCGGGGCAAACTCCTTGAAGGAATCTTTCGGTCCACACTCGAGACTCGAGCTAATTTTGCGATAATATTCCGCGAATTAGAAGTTAAACATAGCTTTGTCTACAAAGATTTGGTTTCAGCGGGCGTAGAATTTGAGCGAACGTTTCATATATCTTTCTTTAGGTTAGCCGCAGTTCTGATGCCTGCCAATATCTCGTAACAAAGTATGACCAAGGTTTTCAGAAAACTTGATTTTAATACCGAAAATGGGACGCTTGCAGCAAAATCAGAGTTGTACCGTCATCTAGATGACATTACGCAGCTAGCGAAATATCGAACAGAACTACCCATTCATCCCTTGTCGAGGTGCTGAGGTAAGCTGCACGCATCGTGGCACCCAGGAGGCTTGATTCAAATAGCAGGACACACCCAGCGTGGGTTATTGATGCCACTTTAATTCAGAATCGTGCAAACGTTAAAATAAGAGTGAGGTAAACACCTGAAGCTTTCTATCAAGAGTAACTCCACGTTTCGGTCACGCAAGCGACACAATCAAAACCCGTTCCGGCCACTAGCTACTTGCGAGAAGCGGCAAAAGCCCTTCACACCACGTATATCACGCTTATACTACAATTTATGAAATCCATAAATTAAAAACGATGATGATTTTATCAACCAAATCCCGTCAATCTTTCGGTGACCCAATACGGGCCGTGTTTTCGGCTATTGGACTGGAGACACCGGGTTCGGTGCTGTGCCGCAGGGGTTTCGTGGCGGGACCCCGGCCATGTAAGGAGAAGTCCCCATCTTCTGAAAAGTGCTACGCAAATTAAAAAATGTTATATTTGAAGCGTTTAGACAAAGTTGTCATTCCGAGCAAGGTTGAAAATTCGAACACCGCTGTGTAAAGCGATTCGGAAATTCGGAACTAAAATGTATGGAGTTTCTATTGGTAAAATTGGCATGAGTAAGACGTGGAAAATGAAAAATAACCGGTTTTCGATCATAAATCATCATTGCCATTGTAATCACTGGAAATAGACAGGCTTATTGTGGAAAGATGTCCAATAAGCTCTCAAATATCAAAGATCTAGGCCACAGTTTGCCATTTATGCACCTGCAAAATCGCCCGAATCCCGAATAATTGATAAGTGAACTTAAAAAGGTATCCTACTATATATAAAAAAATAGTGTTTGTGTGTGTGTATATTTGCATGCACTTCCGTTTGGATGTTCCGCACCTACAGCCTCAGGGAAGCATTTTTTCGATAGGGAAGAAGCGTGAATAGGTAAAGAAGGGGCTGGAAGCGACTGCACACACATAAAAGTTTTGAAAAATTGCTATTTTCTATATTAAAATTAGATTTTTGTAAAATTTTCAGCCAACCTCTTTGTTAGGAAGCAATTAGCATACGGCGGAAGGGGGATAGCCTATATAAAGGGACGGAGGAGTCTTTTTCACTTTTTTTCTTGCTAGAATTCGGGAAGAAGCATGCAAATTTAAGACTTTCACAGATCCTGGACGGGGCCAGGGTTGAAAGGCCGCGAAGCGGTTTTTCAACCCTGGTATAGCGTAAAATATATAGTATATACAGGGGCGTAGCCAGACAAAAATTTCGGGGGGGCCCCCAAAAAATTTTTCCAAAAAACTCAAAACATTAACGAGAAAACAGCGCCGCAGGCAAAAATTTTTGAAAAAAAGGTTACATAGCTCTACAAATAGACGTAAAAACGTGAAAAAATAGCGCCACAGGCAGCAAAATTTTTGAGAAAATAAAAATCATAAGGGGCCCCCTTATGAAATTTTCGGGCCCCGGCCGATTTCGGGCGGGGGGGGGGGCCTGTATTACGCTACGTCCCTGAGTATATAGTAAAAACCAGATGGCAGTCGCCGCGACGTAACCATCTGGCCGGATTACCCTGATGTAATAACCTAACTATCCACCTACTTCTATAACTACCTAAATACCTTCCCGAAGGCTTTAGATACGCCCCCAGCGAAATCCCTTTCAAAAACTACCTAAATACCTTCCCGATGGCTTAGATACCCCCATGGCTGAAATCCCTTCAAAAACTACCTAAATACCTTCCCCGATGGCTTAAGATACCTCCCTAGCCGAAATCCCTTTCAAAACTACCTAAATACCTTCCCGATGGCTAAGATACCCCCATGGCTGAAATCCCCTTCAAAAACTACCTAAATACCTTCCCGATGGCTTAAGATACCTCCCCTAGCTGAAATCCCTTTCAAAAACTACCTAAATACCTTCCCGATGGCTTAAGATACCCCCATGGCTGAAATCCCCTTCAAAAAACTACCTAAATACCTTCCCCGATGGCTTAAGATACCTCCCATGGCTGAAATCCCCTTCAAAATCAACCTAAATACCTTCCCGATGGCTTAAGATACCTCCCATGGCTGAAATCCCTTCAAAAACTACCTAAATACCTTCCCGATGGCTAAGATACCTCCCATGGCTGAAATCCCCTTCAAAATCAACCTAAATACCTTCCCGATGGCTTAAGATACCTCCCATGGCTGAAATCCCTTCAAAAACTACCTAAATACCTTCCCGATGGCTAAGATACCCCCATGGCTGAAATCCCCTTCAAAAACTACCTAAATACCTTCCCGATGGCTAAGATACCTCCCATGGCTGAAATCCCCTTCAAAATCAACCTAAATACCTTCCCGATGGCTTAAGATACCTCCCATGGCTGAAATCCCCTTCAAAAACTACCTAAATACCTTCCCGATGGCTTAAGATACCCCCTAGCTGAAATCCTTTCAAAAACTACCTAAATACCTTCCCGATGGCTTAAGATACCTCCCATGGCTGAAATCCCCTTCAAAAACTACCTAAATACCTTCCCGATGGCTTAAGATACCTCCATGGCTGAAATCCCCTTCAAAAACACCTAAATACCTTCCCGATGGCTTAAGATACCTCCCATGGCTGAAATCCCCTTCAAAAACACCTAAATACCTTCCCGATGGCTTAAGATACCCCCCATGGCTGAAATCCCCTTCAAAAACTACCTAAATACCTTCCCGATGGCTAAGATACCTCCCATGGCTGAAATCCCCTTCAAAATCAACCTAAATACCTTCCCGATGGCTTAAGATACCCCCATGGCTGAAATCCCCTTCAAAAACTACCTAAATACCTTCCCCGATGGCTAAGATACCTCCCCTAGCTGAAATCCCTTCAAAAACTACCTAAATACCTTCCCGATGGCTTAGATACCTCCCATGGCTGAAATCCCTTCAAAAACTACCTAAATACCTTCCCGATGGCTAGATACCTCCCATGGCTGAAATCCTTCAAAAACTACCTAAATACCTTCCCGATGGCTTAAGATACCTCCCATGGCTGAAATCCCCTTCAAAATCAACCTAAATACCTCCCTGATGGCTACAGATACCTCCCCTAGCCGAAATCCCCTTAAAAAACAAAAATAACGACCGACCGGATGAATGAGAGAAAAAGAAATGAAATCCTCCGTGAAAATTTTCATCCACGAAACGCCGCGATCTGGCTCACTATGCGAAAACATGCAACCTCCGTCCCCCACCCCTTTTACTAAGGAAAAAACTTTCAAAGTTAATTTTAATAATTTAAACTAAAACTTCAATTTTTTATCAGTTTAGGGGTTTCTGAGGGCGCTCTATCCGAATCCGAAGAGAGCTAAGCTCTAGCTCCTTTCCCCTTCGAGTTGAATTCGGCTTCACACAGACAGACGGAGACCACAACAAAATTATTATAGTTGATAGTATATATAGTATCTCGCTTTCCCCGTAAAATGGATTTATTCGAAATGCACGAGTTATGCTACCTCCACGTTAGCCCACAAAAAATGCTATTCAGACGGTATACCACAGTACTTCGGCTGTACTATCAAAACCCTTTTGTAGATGGTCAATTTTCTTTGTCTCCGGCTGCTGCATCAACGAATATTGCGTGGAAACCCATGGGGATCCGTGGAACGGGTAGAACGTACCTGAAAATGTGTCCTTTTTGGGACACATTGTTATGTTTTTTTATTTGGGGGCAGCTAAACCCACCGACAAATCTCGCGAAGGCTTTTGGCGTCGAGAATCATGAAAATTGGCTTTTGCCGCTTGTTGGCGCTCATCACCGGCACGAGAATCACCCCTAAAAGTCTTGAAAAAATGTGTAAGTTATATAACGCTACCGTCATCTTCGGCCGTTCCGTTTGGACTCGATACGAAAACCGGCTCTCCGAAAAGTTGCTCCGGATCGTCCTTGTAGTGGATTAGCGTTTCTCCAGTATTCACATCGTTTTTGACCACCTTAAAATGTGGGCATCAAAATGGTTCATTCCGTATATACATACAATCATTTCCCAATTCGTATCAGGTTGGAATATCGATTTCCCATACATTTTTTCAAAATCCACTCCGCTAGTCCAAAAATAAAGCGGTAATTTTCGGCACCTATCCGTCAAATGTTTGGAAATGTATGGGAAATCGAGAAAAGTTCTAAGAAACGGGCCAAATTTCAAGAGGCCATATCTCGGCGATCCAGTGTCCAAATTTGATGATCTCAACATCTATCGATATCTACTCCTCAAGAGCTATCGATTGGCGTTAAAGGTATCGCATGCAAATGTCTTTATGCAGAGATAACTTGCAAAAACACTTTCTCGTGATTTTTGAAAAATCTTCTTGGGCCTGTATCTCGGCCCTCCTTGATTTTGGCGGTCCAGGACCCACCTTCCGAAACGGTTCAGGCCGAGACCTACAAAATGACATATCGCATGTGCAGAATGGAGCTATCTACGAATTTAGCCAGCCTTCCAAAATCTCGGCGACAGAACTTTCGTTCCAACCTGATAGAATCACAATAAAAAGGCAGTCAAGAGGGAATCTGACCCCGGGAACCCGTCGTTCCTGTCCGGCGTACAGTATCGTCGTTCCGTACACGAATCGATATGGCCGTCCGGTGAAGCGCTCATTGAAACGCGGCAGTTCGAAGGCTGAATGGATCAATAGTTAGAATTATCGAAGGTAGGGTTCCACAAACATTGTTGGCAGATTTTGGCAGGTATACAGAAGACAGAGCCATCGGCCTGAAGGATAGCTTGAGCGCCTCGCGATGATGTGGCCGTCTGCAAGTGTCTATGTTTTTTTAGCCGTGGATTCGGTCTCCGATACCGCTATAAGCTTTAAAATTTATACAAATTGTTTATTTTGACCAAAACCACACAAATGTATTTAAAATGTTTAGATAAGCTTTCAGCACAATCGGTATAATTTCAGTTTCAGCAAAAAGCAAGATTTTTTTTGCCTTTTTTTAAACCGGCTTTCGCCAGAATTGGATCTTGGCATGTATCGCGAAATCAAGCTCCTAACTTTCTTTTTCCTAAGAATTTTTTTGTTGAGAAAAATTCGGCTTGGAAATAGGCTTTTTAAGTAATTTTAGCAAGGTATTCACAACCCCGATGTCAAGCCGGAAATTGTTAATTGATGCAAGGTCCAAAAAGAGCCGAAGTAATGAAGCGAAAGTGTGGGAAAAACAGTATGTTTGCAATAATTCGAAAACTATTGTACCGATCGGGGTGAAAGTTTCTGTGAACATTTTAGGTTCCCATCCGCACATCTGTGTCGAATTTCAAGTCGGTCGGATTTGAATTAGCAAAATGCCAGCGTGACCTTTTTATTGGGATACCCTATAGAAATTACCACCGCCAAGTCGATGCCAGCCTCAATATCCCCGGAAACATCGGTAGGAATGACGATTCGATGGAGAAATGGGCGGAACAATGGGTTCTGAAATTTTAATGATATTAATTTTATTGGTGGATCCCTACCCTAGATGAAAATGACCCATCTCGCATGTGTTCTAGCAGCAAGTCCTCGAAATTCTCCGGATTCTCCACAAGGCAAAAATCGACGTCTACCGACATATTCAACGCGTTAACAAGTCATAAATTTGAATTTACACAAAAATCCGTCGCGCTCAAAGGCGTTGGCATGGTGAAAGGTGAAAAAAGGCGGTGCGAAGAACTGAAATTTGTGGGTGGACGGTATCGGCAGGTCAAATGAAGGTGTTTCAGATACCCCGCCGAAGCTCAGCTACCGTATCTCACTGGCTGTCAGATATTCAGAAATGCGCTCATGAGAGGTCGGGGCGCTCCGTAGCGTTCCTATGCCCGCGCGCACACTATGCTTGCCTACCGATCCATGATTTTTCGAGAGAGAGGCAAAGAAAGGGGCCAAAAAAAACTCACAAATTTTCAACTTCAAATGCCTATAACTTTCGAAAACGACGTTGTTGTGGGGAGTACACCGATACGAAACATAGAGAAGACTCTTGCGCACATTATGGGAGGGGTTTTAAGGGTGATTTAGCGTGAAAATAAGGATTTATCTAGGATTTAAGCCGGAAAAATTGCGAAAATACGAGCTTTGTGCGCCGCGTTTTTCTTTGCGTTTAGCCTCATTCTTCCGGGGTTTTTAACCGATATTCATCGGAAAAGAATCGGTACTGTCAAATTGGGTACTTCTGCGGTCCTGGGAAGTAAAAAAGGTGCTGAATGAGAGATCCTAATAATTGAACAACTGAAGCTAGTCAAAGGTTTCAGCTTTGTACGGATGAAGTGGCTTGAAATCATTGAATTGGTGCTAATTTGGGCAGTACATGTCTTTGTTATTATGATATTCCTTTATTGAGCGAATCGGCACCATCTGAGACAATTTCTTCTTTAGAGCCCGGGAAATAGCAAAACTTGTATTTTCCGCTTGGGCTTCTCTTTAGATCGGTTTTGGATCCCCATCTGTACCTTTTGCAAAAAAGTGCAAAACCCTAACGGGCTTCTGTCAGTCAGAGGAACCGAACCAGCACCCTCTGCCTGGAGTTGGGACCGGCGCCTTGGACCACTAGGCCACGCCCTCCCCCACCCCCATGCGCGCCCTGACAGGCAGTGATCTCGGCTCCCCACCGTCCGACTGGTGTGTAAAGTATACCAAAATACTCGCGAGGCCACGACGAACATTTTGGTATATACAGTCCGCGTCATAATGATAGGTTCACCCCATTTCAGGACAGCTTGTTAATCTAGAATAGGTTTCGGATAAAACGGGCGTTGTAATCAGTTAGGGCACAGCTCAAAACCTTCCAGGCCAGTATCCATTTGGTTAGAAAAGGCTTCTAGATTTCGAAGGAATTTTATCTCAAAAAAAGGCTTGCGTCATAAAGATAGGTTCACCCCGAATTTTTCCGCAAAAATCATACATGGGATCTTGCTTGTATTTTTAATGAAGTACCATTGAAGTATACATGAGTTTCCTATACTTGGTTTGACTCGAAAGGTTTCAGGGAATTTTTTGCAAAAGTCGGTTTTAACAAAGAAATTACTATTTTTGTGGCAATACGGGCTGGATTTAACCGGAAGCGCAAGTTCCTTCTATGGACTTGAAAGAGCAGCTCAAGACAAGCATTTTGGTATATAACAACGTCTTTGGCTTCGGCCATATTGGGGTGACACACACGAAGAAAGTTGGGATGGACTGCGCAAGTAAGGATTGGCGGCCATTTAGTATGGGCCCCAGTAGGTTCCATGTTTCTAGACCTGTATCTTCGTGAACACCTTAGTTCCTATAGCCGTTTATATACCAAAATGCTCGTCATTAAGTGCACTTTCCGAGATCGCCTACATACTAAAAATTGAAAACGAGTATCGCCGGATAATCCTAAAAAAGTGTGATTTCTTTGTTAAAATCGACTTTTGCAAAAAATTCCCTGAAACCTTTCGAGTCAAACCAAGTATAGGAAACTCATGTATACTTCAATGGTACTTAATTAAAAATACAAGCAAGATCCCATGTATGATTTTTGCGGAAAAATTCGGGGTGAACCTATCTTTATGACGCAAGCCTTTTTTTGAGATAAAATTCCTTCGAAATCTAGAAGCCTTTTCTAACCAAATGGATACTGGCCTGGAAGGTTTTGAGCTGTGCCCTAACTGATTACAACGCCCGTTTTATCCGAAACTTATTCTAGATTAACAAGCTGTCCTAAAATGGGGTGAACCTATCATTATGACGCGGACTGTACTTTACAGCACTGTCGACGAACTTGCGGTCAGCCGAGGACGGGTATCTGCTCTGTCTTACAGCAAGTCGAAAACCCCAGTTAATGAATTCAGTGAGTACCTTGCGCGGGTGCCGATTTCCAGCCTTTTTATCGACCAGAATGATGTTAACCAATGCCCCCCATCCTTTCCAAAATAGGGCGTCGCGAAAACAGGTTGGCTCGGAGCTGTAAAATTAATACATAGGTTTCCAAAACTTGTCGCAGCCCACCTCCCCAACTTTTCCATTGCGATCCGGAGCGGGGTCTCGAAAAGGACCAGATAATTTTCAGTCATTCCAAACGAATGGTAGTAGGCAGGATAAGGCTGGTCGGTGAACGGCACGCTGCCCAGGACACTGGTATTGCTCAGTTGTTGCCGCCGGCCACCTGGAAGGTCTAAGGTACAGTATTTCCTAATACCGGGGGTTATATTTTTTCAATCGCCCCAGAGGGGGGGGGGTTGTATTAGACGGAGGGATATATTTTTTGTGATTTTGAGCGATTAGAACCTTTTTTAGCAGTTAAAACGGCTCAGAACCACCCAGGAACACACTACGAAGCTTAAACAGAAATGTTTTTTGCATCTTTTACTTCTTAAAGGCAACTTCCACCAATTTTTTTGGTGGGACAAGATTAGCGGTAATACGGTATGCAGGGCGTCCCAAAGTCAAGTACCCCTCCGCCATTTTGCAGTTTTACGTCCGATTAGCTTACTCGGGCATTTCATAAAAATGTATTCGTGCCTGGGCCCCAATCCAATGTTGTACAGCGTCCCGTCGTGATCGCGGATCGGGTGAGCCGTACAGGCGAGGATTTGCACATACATACTAATGTCTTCCTGAAACCTCGGACTTCAGTTGGTCTTATAGCTAGAGACGAGAATCTTGAAAAGTAGCAGATCAACCGCGGAGCGACCTTACCTGTGCCAATACCTCCAACGAGTACGGGCAGATTTGCACAACTTTTGAGGTTTCCGTCATCGCGTAGATCGATTTGCCAACCTTAAAGGGGCTCAGGAGTAAAAACACCGTGTGCGGGGATTGAACCTAAGCGGCAAAAAAGGAAAGGGTTGCCATCAAAACGTACCGGAAAATTGATTACGTTGCGCAAAAATGCAAAATATTTGAGAAAACAAGGACTGTTTTCGGTAAAAAAACGGCTTTTTGGGTGCGCGGCGATTACATGTCGTAATGCCTGGAAGACATCCAATCTCCACATCTAGTCTAGATCCTCTAGTCAATTTTCATAATCAAAACGTAGAATGACCTAAATTGCGTGAGGATTCCAGAAACAATGTACAAATTTCGAAATTCAAGCGTTTTCACGTCCAAACATGGACAAAGTACAGGAGATTCGCTAGGGGCTGTGGACCAGATTTCGAAGCCTCTTTAAAGGTACACTAAAGTCTCATTGGTTTGGTTACCGGCCGGTAACCGACCGCAGGATAGAAAACAGGGTTACGGTAGGCGCTCGCCGCGAAGCAAAACCGAACCTGGGCCACTCGCTTGGGGCAAGCGCCATAGACCAATCGGACATGGGACAGACGGGAGAGCGGAGAGCGGAGGGGGATAAGAAGGGTCGGCGGCAAAGATCCCGAATTCCCGGGCGGGACCCTATTTTTTGCGCGAGATTTTATTGTACCTTTAAAGACTGTCAGAACTCTGGAAGGCACACTGTCATCCCGGGGTGGGAGAGAGAGAGAGAGAGAGAGAGAGAGAGAGAGATAGAGAGAGAGAGATATTGAAAACTCAATGTCAATTATTGCAAAGTAGAATTTTACGGTTCGACTGGTACCAAAGATAGCGAAATTCCACTTTTCACAAAGTTGCCATCAAAAACCGCCATCGTTTGATAGTTTCCGAATACAGTTCTCTTAAAATTTTGTTAGTGCTTGATGGAATTAGAAAAACACCGTGTTCCATTCTACCCAGTTGGAACCAGCTTTTTTAATGAGTCGCTATAGTTTTTAAAGTTAGGAGGCGTTTTGGCACCATACATTTTTGAGCCGATAGGAGTGCCGCGCTGCTTACGCCCTGTTGCCAGGTGTTTTTGGGCATGTCCAAGAGGATTACAGTACACAACTTACCTTCAAGAGATTAACAAGGCAATTGTAGGACCCCTTGTCATCCGTCACGTCAGCCTGCAATAACGAATTACTTAATCGCCTCGGCGAAACTACGAAAAGAATTGTGCGTATGCGTACGTACCGGGCGTGGCGTGGAAAAGGTGGACACTGCCAGCCGCTGCTCCTCCTCGCAAGCCAAATACGCATGGGACTTGAGGAATTTGGCGCTGTAGAGTAGCTTAAAAACGTCTTTGCAGTAATTTGAATATTTTACGGTTTAGCCGCCGATATAAGGCTAACAGGTTATCCGGATTTTGCTTGAATTTGCCATAACTATTTTATTTAAATTTATTCTGGGCTGCAATTGCAAAATTAGGTATATTTTTTGAGGCGCTATCGAACAGCGTTAATGAAATTTTGTAAATGTTGAAACTATGCAAATTTTGCGCTTTGTGTTCCTATAGGGAAACTAAATGAAATCTTGTTGTCGCTGTGTCCATTTGATATCACATTATTTTTGGCTGAAATGAAAACGTCTTGCAAATTTTTTGATGCGCTATCGAATGTTTGATCGAAAATGTGGAAAAAATGGCGAAAATTTCGAAAACCATGGGATCCTCAGGCTGGGGCGGGGGAGAAATTTTTCTCTAATATTTTTTTCAAAAATACCGGAGGCAGGCAAATCAAGCCAGAGGCGATAGTTCGAATGCGCAGCCACTGACCTGACCTCCACAAAAATGAAAACGTTGTGGGTAGGCCATCCCATCGAACCAGTGCCGCACTTCAGAATCACCTATACCAGAAAAAGAATTGATAATTTTAGGGGTTCCACGGACCGTAGCGAAATTTACCGGGGCCATTCCGGAGGAAGCTGCCGGCCAGCCACTCGGGTGGGGCTTCTCCTAAAGTGAAAAATCATCTACCGTATTTCTCTACCGTCAGCTCGAGTAGAGCAATTTTAGGGGGTTGTTGCATACCTATCCTCTCGCTTAAACTGGGGACCGAATGTTCCGAGAAATTCTCGAATAGGTACTGAAGGGACATTAACGAATGCTTTGGTTTCAAGTGTGATAAATTCACGTGTCGCAAAAAATGTCCAGCCGAAAATCCAACGCAAAGCAGCATGTGAACTGGTGATTTGTATTCATGAAACAGCCACCGTCTTCCAAGAACTATAGCGGGCCGCAGACGTGGCCGATTTTGATGATTTAAGTATCAATTGAAACCTCTCGGAAGGGCGAGTCCGGGCGTCCTTTCAAGATTTAGAAATTCCGGAAACGGTGTAGAGAAGCCGCCCGAATTAATGAAATATCCCATCAAAATAAGAACAAAGTTTCTATCAGATAGGCTAACCAAACCAAATCTAAAAAAATACAAACAAAAAAGCATGATCTTGAGAAAATGGTTCTCCGAAGCCTTGAAAAAATTGAAAAAAATTTTAAAAAGAAGTCTTCCGCAAAAAAATGATTCTTAAACCTCATTTTTGCTTTCCAATTCACTAGCGATTGATGTATTTTACACAGCGATTTTCCAGCTGGGTCAAAAACACTTCTCTGGTAAGCCCACAAGGAGGCGTTTTTAGTGTCGTCGGATTTCGGGACGAAACCCAGCTTGTGAAAAATTTTACGCCGATCTCGAATCTGCTTACGAAATTTGTGAAATCACGGTTTCCTTAAATTTCTGAACGTCCTAATGACAGAGAAACGCCCGAAATGAGGCACGTTCTATCGTTTTCCGAACCTAAATCGTTCATAGGTATGGATAATCGCGAATCTGCAAATTTGGCAAACATCGATCGGCTCAAAATTCTACATAGGCTTCATTCCAACCTAAAAATCAAGCCAAGCTAAGCCCGTGCACAGAAAAAGGAAGAAGAATGCTCGAAAATGAAACGAGAACGAAGACGAGACCGAAGTCCCCCCCCCCGCTCGCCCGCAACTTGAATAGTACCAAAGCAAGGTAAACAGGAAGGCCTAACCGCTTCATCCAGTTTTCTTTCTATTTTTAATGTTTTTGCAGGCCGTTTCAGGTTCCTCAATTATCGCTTCGGAAGGCGATGGCGTGGCGCAGTTACGTGGCTTCCACCTGACGAACCTCGGGTCGAGAGGTTTTTAGCGGCGGAGGTGATGACCATCGTCTGGTATGAATAACGGGTCTACGCCCCCAAATTTGTCGTCAGCGAGCTCTGAATGGTTGGACCGAAGCGCGTCATGCTCGAATGGACAATGCCGTATTTAGGTTAGGGCAAGGCACAGTATGACCTTTTCCCCAAACGGATTTTACTTATTTCTTTTTTTTTGCTGACTTTGACTTACGAACTTTCTTGTATGGGTGCCTACTTCGCTCCGCTTTTCGCTTCTGCAGAATTTTGGGCTGCTACGAAATCTGGGTCTGAAACCGTCAATTTGCTACATTATAGAGATTTAAAAATTTGTAAAGCTGCGTAGTCAGAAAAAGCAAAGAATTCCTTGAAATTCGGTCATTTTGGTGCCCTTCACATTTACAAAATTCATAAATTTTGAAAGTCTGGTGGTTTTGCAATATGGCAATACAGACAGTATCTTTGAAAGCACGTTTTTATTTGATTCGCTGCTTTACAAGCCGTTTTGTAAGATTTCCCGGTTAATCGGGATAGTTTTCCACAATTTCGCCAAAGCAAAATGCCGGAACTAGCCATTAATTAGATGCAGAGACCGTTCCTTAATAGCTTATACGCGTTATAAGATAGCGGGTCTAGCTGAGAAGATATGTTCTTTCCGATTTTCCAAATTACGGAATTTTTTTTTTGCTTGGTTTCGGCGCGTTTTATGAAAAAGTTCCAAGTTTGGTTCCAAAAGCTTAATTTAAGTGACTTAAGCGCCACGCAATCTGTGTTTTCTCAAATGGCTTTGAAGGAGATCCCGTCTGGCTGTCGCAAAATTAATGAATTGTGATTTTGTAAAAAAACCTTCATCGGAAAATTAGTAAAATAAATTCGGACCATTTCGCAAAATTATTAGTGAATGTCAGAAAAATTGCGGAATTTCGCAAATCGTAGAAAAAAATATGATCCAAAGCTCGTCGAGGGCTTTTGAAAGATATCTAGATCGTTGAAATCGGGCCCGTCTGCGGACCGCTAGGCATAGTTTTTTTGGGGACCCTGGATTGCAATTTCCCAAATTCTGCGCCCATTTTGCCTGGCCAGCAATTCCCAAGCAGGGCCAATCTGTCTCAAGTCCATCAGCTCGGGGACCGCCGTGCGACCATGTACGAGTCTAGACATCTGGTTTGTTGCGATACACCCATCTACTACCAATCCCGGCCATACCTTATGACGGATGGTGGTAATTCTTTCAGATTCCTGCTTGCGACCGAGCACATGTGGCAAATAGGGCGGAGCAATAGCGCCGTCGGCATTCCGAAGCCATTTGTGCAACACCTCGCCGCTTGCTAGACGCTAGGCAAACGCTAGCCTCCCCCACCCCACCGGTCCACAACCTTTGGATCAAATTTTCATGCTCCTGGATGTTCCTCAAAACTACAGGGTGTCCCATAAAGAAAAAAACACCTCCTCTAATTCTACGCGTAAGTATCGGGTCGGAATGATAGTTACACCATTTGAAAGATCTTGAAGCGGCGAGATTGCAAAAGTCGTAAAAACTATGCTTTTATTTAAATGCGCCATTTTACACCGCATTCAAAACATGAAGGAACGGGCCTTGCATCCAATTGACGGCTGTTTCCGGGGCATTTTGCTTGGAGAAATTGAGACAGTTTAGCTTATATATGGGTCGGGGCCTGCGGGCGCCGCCAAATGCCCCTCTCGAGGAGCCTTTTGGGGGCGTCTTGGGTGGGGCCGGCGGGCGCCGTGGGTGGGGCATGTTTCCGGTATGCAGCGATGCAAATTGCGAAAAAACGCTTTTCAGATGACTTTTTGCAATTTACATCGCTGCATACCGGAAAAATGCCCCACCCACGGCGCCCGCTGGCCCCACCCAAGACGCCCCCAAAAGGCTCCTCGAGAGGGGCATTTGGCGGCGCCCCCAGGCCCCGACCCATGTATAGTTTAGCTCATATGCAACCCCGAGAAGCAGTAAAATGCCACAAAATGGCTTTTAAAATAGGGCATTTAAATAAAAACAAAAAACATGGTTTTGAAAGTTTTTGAAAACCCGTCGTTTCAAGGGCTTTCGAATGGTTTAACTACCATTACGATCCGATACTCCCGCATTGGGTTAGAGTTTTTTTTGATTGGGACACCTTGTACTAACTGGGTTCAATTCTTTTTTTAGGAATCTGCTGACAATGTTCCCGTATGAGACCCTCGTCGCCGTCTTGCTCGTCGTGGCTGACGTGATCGGGTGCCTGACGGTGCCACTGGCCATGCTTCTGATGGGCATGGTTTGGCGCGATGGTGCCCTCAGCGCCGGCCATCGAGCGATTCTTCTAAGCCTCCGTGAGTCTTCTTCGGTCATTAATTCAAGCGTGCCATTTGTTTTTTCCCCATTTCCACGCTGCCATTCGCCGGCCAAAAGTGGCATTAAAGGGATCAGGAAGGCCCAGGAAAAATAGGATAAAACGGGATTTAGTTCTAAAATTAGCATAAATCTTCTCTGCTCCCTCCTACCTCGTCCCACCCTCCGCCCATTTTTTCTTGCATTAGCATTTCCGGTTGGCTCGCTGCCAATTATAGATGACCTGATCTACTGTACCTTTGTGATCCCTTTAAAAGTCACGCTCATGCTTTTGTAGATTCTAGAAGATTTGCGACTGTAAAGGGCCTTAATTATCACGATTCTGAGGGTAGAAGAAGTACAGTTTGACCACGCCCAGGAAGTATTTTGTTGAAGAAGAATTCAATTTTGGCCCAACCTGTTTTCGAAATATGCCAAACGAGCGAATTCAATAAATTGCTTATAATTACAATAACATTTGGCTGCACATAGTTTTTAGGGGTCCGCATCGCTGGTAAAAATCGATCGGATAGAGGACGGCCAACTGGGGGTTTTTTGAGGCCACCGTGTATGAAATTGGTTTCTATTCTGGCAAAAATCATGCAAGTACTCTGTTTACAGTGGCGCTGATTAGCGGGATGCCCCTGCTCTACACGGCCATCGCAATACGAGCAGACTGGACCGAACTGCCGCCCGTTCTCTAAAAGCAATTAATCGCTTTGGGAATCGGGCTCAACGCGGTCGTCACGATGTGGAGCAACGCGTGGTTACTCAAAAAGGTATGCCCCCTTTTTGCTCGACTTTCGTGCTTTTCGATCAAAAAACACGTTTTTTTTGCCAAAAACCAAATCTAACCGGTTTACGCGATATACTAGCTGTGTTTTCGCCAACGCTTTTTCAAAAGTAGTCGTTCGTCTGCCAGGAGAAGCCGAAATATTGCAACTGTTGTAAAAACCCCCTTGATCAAATAAACATCAAAAAATCCCCCCTCGTGTCTCAAAAAATATTAGTAAATATTAGTTAGAACAATTTAAAAAATATGCGGATTTGATAGATAGACCCCTAAATCGTAAAAATCGGACAAGTCGTCGGCCGCCTAGGGGGGAGGAGATTTTTGGGACACCCCCGTATACCGAGCTACTCTAGGCCAGTAAGCCATACGAAAAGCGTTTTTCAAGCCGCGAAGGCTAATTTCTGTCCAATTTCAGTACCGCGACATGCTCGTGGCAAGATTCCACCTGAAGCCAATCGCTGAAGCCGACCATCCCCTCGTCGAACGGCCACGCCAACAAGAATAATGGGTTTTTCGTCAAACAATTCCATTCGCTCTTTCCTTTCACTGTATCCCTTTTTTTGAAAATTTTTGTACATTTCATTCAAATAATCTTTGTTGTTTTGGCAAGCATCGTGCTCTTCATCAAGCATCTAATGCTAAAAGGCCTAATCCTCGCCATTTCCGCCCACGTCTCTCATTCATTTGTGTAATCACATCCGGGTCTACCATTTTTCTGCCATTTTGTGCCTTATCTACTCGATGCCACCTAACCAACCAATAAATTTGGTTTTTTGAGCTCGAGTCACCAGAAATTTTGTTTAAGAAGGCAGGTCCCAGAAAGGATACAAAAATTCTTATATTATCATACATTATCAAAATCGTCAATTTTCTTTGTCTCCGGCTGCTGCGTCAACGAATATTGCGTGGAAACCCATGGGGATTCGTGGAACGGGGAGAACGTACCTGAAAATGGTTCCTTTTTTACGGCAACTCGGAATTTTGAATATTTTGTCTTTTATTTAGGGCAGCTAAACCGCACCGACAAATCTCGCGAAGGCTCCTGGCGTCGAGAATCATGAAAATTGGCTTTTGCCGCTTGTTGGCGCTCATCACCGGCACGAGAATCACCCCTAAAAGTTTTGAAAAATGTTGAAGTTATATCACTCTACCGTCATCTTCGGCCGTTCCGCTCGGACTTGGCACGAAAACCGGCTCTCCGAAAAGTTGCTCCGCGTCGTCTTTGTAGTGGATCAACGTCTCACCGGTGTTGACATCGTTTTTGACCACCTTAAAATGTGGGCATCAAAATTTTTCATTCAGTATATACCAGTTGCACAGGCTGTCCCGAACATAATGGACTCTCGCTAGCGGTGCGGAGAAAGCTCGGATCGGGATGATTTTTACACCATTTGAGAGCCCTTGAAACGGCGAGAAAACAAGCGCTTTCGTTTGACAACATTTTTTAGCCTGCGCGATATTAAACCATTTTTTAAAAGGGCTTAAAATCAGCATCGTCTTAAAATGCCAATTTTAAAACGCGAAATGTGCCTGTTTTTTCGCCTTTTCCCCAGCTTTCGATAGATACCTAAACCCGATATCCGAGACTTTTGCGGTCCGCTAAAGCGGAGAAATTTCTTTTGGGACCCCCTATACTCATTCGTAGAATCACAATTAAAAGACACTATAGAGGGGATCTTACCCCGGGAACCCGACGTTCCGCAGCGGCGTACAGTATCGTTGTCCCATACACGAATCGATATGGGAGTCCGGTGAAACGTTCGTTGTAGCGTGGCAGTTCGAAGGCTGACAGGAATTTTTATTTCATATTTTATTTATTTTATTTGGAGGCATATTTAGCCAAGCCGATGGTTCAATCAAAAATGACACTTTTTGAAACTCAGAAAATACCCTTTGGAAAATGAGCGGAAGATACTCACAGTGCTGGCAAATTTTGGCTGGGATGCAAAAGACCGAGCCGTCAGCCTGTGGAATTGCCCGGGCACCTCGCGATGAAGCGGCCGTCTGGAGGTGTTTACGGGATTTACAGATTTAATTGTTAATACATTGGAAAGCGTTCTATCAAAAAGCTAGGGTCTTAAACGTTGATACTTATAGGGCGAATAAAGTTAACACAAGTTAGAACGTATATCGTATACCATTAGTGATGTTATAACATTTTCAAACAGTGTTTCTTCGTAAAAGTGACCTCCGCCAGGTCGATGCCAGCCTCAATATCGCCGGAAACATCGGTAGGAATGACGATTCGATGTAGAAAAGGGCGGAACAACGGGTTCTAACATTTTAATGATATTGATTTTTGGTGGAGATCTACCCTAGACGAAAATGACCCATCTCGCATGTGTTGTAGCAGCAAGCCCTCGAAATTCCCCGGGTTTTTCACAAGGCAAAAATCGATGTCTGAAAAATTATGACACGCTTAAAAATTTGTAAAATTTGAATTTACACAAAAATCCGTCGCGCTCAAAGGGATTGGCGTGGTGAAAGGTGAAGAAAGGCGGTGCGAAGAACTGAAACTCGAGGTTAAAGGTATCGGCAATTCAAATTAAGGTACTTCAGATACCCCGCCAAACCTCAGCTACCGTATCTCGGCTTCCCGTCGTGGAACAGACGGGTAAAGTATACCAAGATACTCGCCAGGCCAAGACGAACATTTTGGTATACTTCACAGCCTTGTACGACAGGAAGCGGCTGAGATAGGAGATGAGGGCGAGCTCAGGTGTCTACTGTCTTACAGCCAGTCAAAAATCCAAGTTAAAAGATTCAGAGGGTACCTTGCGCGGATGCCGCTTTCTGGTCCTTTTGTCCACAAGAATAATGTTAACGTATTGTCCCTCGATCCAAAATAAGGCATCGCGAAAGCAGGTGGGCTCCGCGCTAAAAAGTGGCCACTTAAAAGTGGTCATTAAAAGTTTTGCTTAATCTAAGCGATGTGTGCTGCCTGTTCAAGCCTGTTAGTTCGTTAAAACCGGCATAGGTTACCTAGTTTCAAGCTTTCTCATGTCGATCCGAAGTGGCGTCTCGACAAGTATCAAATAATTTTCGGTTATGCCGAATGAATGGCAGTAGGATGGGTATCGCGGGTCCGTGTAAGGTACGCGCGATCGTATACTCGCTTTATCGAGGGGTCGGTCTGCGGCACCTGAAATATCCAGCCGATTTTGTCCGTCGCTCTCTCTCTCTCTCTCTCTCTCTCTCTCTCTCTCCTCTCCCCCATCTCTCTCTCCATCTCTCTTTCTCTTTCTCTCTCCTCTCTCTCTCTCTCTAGCTCTCCATCTCTCTCTCTCTCTCTCTCTCTCTCTCTCCTCCTTACCGGCAAGCTGGATAAAAATATATTCATTTTTTCGGAGATAAATATATCATTAATGAATATAAAAATATATTCATTTCATTTTTTTTAATCAGAAACCCCAAGCAATTCTCAAACCTGCAAGAAATTGACCAAACAATTGTAGGCACCGCTGTCAGGCTTAGCTGTCATCTAAAGTACATGTTTTGACGAAACAGTGTACAGCATACATTTGTTTGAGCGCTTCGCGGGGTTGCAAATGTCGACACGGCGAGACGCTCGTCTTCCTCACAAGCCAGATACGCGTGGGATTTCAGGAATTTCGCGGAGTAATGCATCTGCAACGGATTTGGTATTAGAATTTCGAAATTGATAATGTTGTCCAAATTCCATGATATCGAAATCCAAAATATAATACTTTTACGTTCTAGTAAGCAGACTTCTACGTTCTCGTAAACCTACTCGGCCATTTTTGAAGTGATATCGCTGTGGATAGGCCATACCGTCGAACCAGTGATTTACCTCATCATTACCTAAAAAATAAAAGGCTGTCGAAATACCCTCTGGTCGACAAACCAAATTTAAACTTGCCCGGGCCATTTCGGAGAAAATTTCCGGATAACCAGGTCGGCGTTTTTTTTTTTGATAACCAATTATGTGAGTGCTTTTTGTATGTTTTAATCAATAGTTTGAATTTCCAGACTTTTTTAACCTTGCTTTGATTTGTTCTTCCTTTATCCTAGGTCTCGCAACAAATCAGAGATGATAAGATTCCTTGCAAAAAAGCCTACCAATTCGCACGCCCTCCGCCGGGTCGGATACGTCGGAAAAGTTCTCGAACAGGTGATTGATGCGCATTGGAACGACCTAAAAATGCCCATACTAGGTACAGTTTGCCCGGCCTGGTCATGTTGAAGAAGGGAAAATGTGGTACAACTTTATTTAATCCAAATCGACGCGTCGGTTTGCAAATGAATGCGCTTTAACTGTGCCTGTGTGAATTTGGCTTCACACATGACTTTTTCTGACATTACAACAAGGACCGCGGGACTTTTTTGGACATCGACAGGCTTCGGTGAGTTGATGAACAGATCCCAAATCTTGCTGAACGACTAGGATATAGAAGAAGTATGTATTGCTCTCAAAGGACATTTAGTTCCTCAACTTGCGCTCAAAGACTGTGATCGTTCAGCAGCTTTTTTGACGGTGAGACTTGGTAATATTTTTATGCTTTATCGAATGAAGGACTTCTCGCATCTCATGCGCATCACAAAATTCGAAAAGCTTCAAAGAAATCCGCTTGTCAGGATAGGTCTTGCGCCCTGGACTAGCTCCGAGGTAGTACGGTGTAGCAGGGCATAACGTCCAACTTGAGACTTGCGCCCAGACTTATTTTCAAAAATTTGTAAACCGAATGTTCATTTTGGTAAAATTAAATATATCAAGTTCTAGGGTAGGAGCCATCGCTTCCTAACGTGATATAACCGGCACGACGTGATACTGTGGTATTCAGCGCTTCAAGGCACACCCCGCGGCATATGGTATGGGCGTGGCCTCGCTTTGCTAGTCTCGTAGCATCGTAGTTTCGATCTTGAAGTCTTTTGAAGCAAGCATCTTTGCATGATGATGTCACCGACCATCCATCAAGATACCCTAGGAAATACCTAAAATTTTGCACTTTTTGGTGCTATACCAATCCGATCAAAGCCCGCATGGAAACGACACCGACTTTGAGCAGTTATCGAGTAGTTAACCTTGGAAGATTCTCTGTTTTAACTTTCACCATACAGCTTGTATTTCAACGGCGTTGGATCCACAAAGTATTTATTCACCCAGAGCTTTGCCCGCAATAAATTTTTCAAAGAGATATTGCAGCACTTGCGGCCTGTCCCGTCCAACATTGTGGCCAGCATTCTCAACTTTCGGTACTTATCATTAACGCGTCCTACCCTAACCGTAGCAAAACTATATCCACCATTCTGCAGCGATTTGCCCGCGACTCGATTTTCCAGGTAGTATGGTTGGTAGTCGGGGCTTGTCTACAACATAAAAAATCAGGAATGTTTACGTTGATCGGGGATCTATGTAGTTGTATCCCCTACTTACGAGGTCCGCCTTTTAGAAATAATTTAGGTTGAACTTTTTATAGCTGTTTTCATGGACGCTAAACGGCAGATACGCCTTTGCCCAGTCCGTTGTCGGCCTTCATTTCCGGACTCTCCGTAGGCCTACCGGGGTGGAAAACATACGAAAATATTCCTCAGATCAAGGCGAAGATTTTCAAATACTTTATCGCTTACAGGGCAACTCCAGTCGGCACTTGCTACCGATAAATGAAGGGCTCTGAACCGGAAAAATACCAAGAGATAAGCCCCAAAGCCTACAACATTTATCTGCTTTCTAGATTCAAAAAGTTCATATCCACGTTTGTAGAGCGGGTTACGATGATTCAAACGACGCTAAGGACCAAAAAAGGAAATTTTTAATCTAAAATTTGGTGTTAAAGTTGGCCAAAGCCTTATTTGATAAGCGTATACAGGAGCTTCACGTATTTTCGATAGCCTTCCATTTTTCCGTTGCTGCCCATACTACGGAATTGAGCGGCCCTGCCTACGGCACATTGCTAGGCAAGATACGATAGTTGGTTCTTACCATTATGAATTCTATAGTAGCGCTATACACCAAATTATTGCACCGGTTAGAGTCAGACAACCGACCCAATGCATCGCCTCAAAGACTTGTGAGGTAAACCGAAGGCCCAGAATCGGGTTACATATCGCATCCATGTCTCCGTAGTAGAGCATCACCTGATTTGCATTCCTCTCAGTGGCGTCAAATACCTTTACTCCCGCTTCTAATGCTCGCTTCACATGTGGCAGTACCGTAGGGTATTGCTTCGTATAGTTTAGTTGTTGTGCATTTCTGTAACAGAGAAATATCCTTTCCAAATGCAACCCCTTATCATCCCTCTCAAATGTCACGTTAGAGCCGCCGCAACTGCACTTTTTCAGACAGAGCACTGGCAGAAATGCTGCTTTTTGGTGTTCAGGGTCAGGCCATCATTTCTCTCACGCGCGGCGCCATTTTCCGAGATATCTCCGAAAATGTGTCAAAATGTGACCTTGACGGTAATGTGGGATCTATGATGAGAGCTGAACTGCAACACGACTCACCTGCAAACCTTCCAATCCTGCACAGAGGGTGGGATACCGAGATTTCGTCGTCGTGCCGGGTCGTTCAAGTACTTGGCGATAGCCCATGTGTTGTCACAATCTGTCGGAATGTCACCAGACCAATCTGGTTTGCATTCGTGGTGAAGCCCGTATGGGTCGATGCCCGAACCACTGGAAACTGGGTTAGAAGGAAGTATTGGGTAGGGAAAATAAGTATTACACAGTATTACAAGTATTGCACAAAGAGCAGGGCCTTAAAGGGGCCCAGAAGTCCAAATTCGTGTGCTCGGCCATCGAACCTATGACCCAAGAAACACAAAAAAAAACAAAAAAAAGGAATTTTTCGTTAAAGGGCACGTTCAGGGACGTTTTTTTGAAAAAAAGCAAAGATTTTTGCCGCGGCCGGGGGTCGAACCCGGACCCCCCGCTCGGGAGGCGCGGATGGATACCAGTCAGCCCCAGCTACAACCTGGCGAGAGGGTGAGGGGCCCCCACGCCGCAAAGGAGGGGAATTGCCTGCCACGGCACGGGCAGTCAGTGCGCGCGGTCCCTACGTCCATGGGGTGTACACGTTGGGACGAGTACACGGCCCCTCCCTGAACGTGCGCTTTAAATATCAGTAACATCGCCTTTTTATACGGGCGGGCTTTACATGTCGCAATGCCAATCGCTTATAGCGATTTCGCTGATGCCTGGGTCGATTTTTAACGCCGAAAACAGCTAGAATGATCAAAATCGCTTGATGATGCTAGAAATCACATCAGAACTTTGAAATCCAATTTGCGGCGGTATCTGGCAACCTGGAACCTGGCCGGATTTAAAAAAACACACGGAGTAGTGGTGTTTTTTTGGTAACACCTCTCCTTTCCAATATAACCTTCAACAACCGACTAAGTGCTTCCGATTTTTAAGTCGTCGGTCAGCTTCTGACATCGCAAGCTCTAGAGGAAAAAAAATAATGATGACGTAACGGATACGTGAATTTACCGTATCCCGAGTCGGGCAGCCCTCGGCTTGTCCGCCACAACATTCGTTTAGATAACGCTGGTAATCCCTGAAAGGAAACATGAAAAAATGTTGTAAACATATGACGGCTCGGAAGAAAGGTCAAAAACTGAGAATTTGAAATTGTACGGAAAAAAGGAATCGGAAAATGTGCTACTCACTGTATCGCGATTAGCCCGTGTTGGTATAGGTATGGGATTACAGTAGCCCTCTCCAGCGCCGCATCCACCATCCCGTTTCCAATGGCAACACCCTAAAAAATATAAATAACGGCATGTAATGGTAATGGTAAACATAAAAATAAATTATATAAAAACCCTACAACACCTTTAAATTCATGTGATACTCCGGCATCTTTTCGAGGATCTTGGATGCAAATAGGGCCACGAAAGTTCCACCTGAAATCTTAATACACGATTTTTCTTAAATGGCGTAAAAATTAAAAAGCATGAGGCTTCGTTATTTTCATATGGCCTAAAAAATTAAATAATCATGGATTTCCCATCCGCAAAATATAATACAGTTACCCATCACAACGTACCGTAAGAATCACCACTCAAATAGAGATCGACGTCTCGAAAAGTCGGGTGTTTGGTATAGAATTGTACCAATGCCTGCCAGTTTTCGCTTGTTGTCTGGAAATATTAATTTCGATCTTAGCAAGCAAATGCCGTTACCTTATTATCATTCGTAGAGTTATCGTCGACAATCGTAGAATAGGAAAATCCGACGAAATTCGCCGGAGCCGAAATGTAGAGGACGGAAGCGTTACGATTCAGGGAATAAGGGTTCCCCTCGAGATACACACCCCTTGAGCTGTTCTGAAATTAAACATTTTTCAGACAAACACTGTTGAAAAACTCATAGTTTTTGAAGTCGGGCTTCTCCGAAACTTTTGAGAACTGGCTCGGAATTAGCAAAAAATTCTGCGTAAGATGTGCTAATTTGAATTTGGCGGGCAAACTTGGTCTACGCAATAAAGAACTAGTGAATTTTGGCTTTTGGACTAGCCATTACCCACCATCCTGACGATATACGGCCCAGTGCCGCTAAACATCTTGTATAGACTCGAGCAGCCAGGCCCACCGCTCAGCCATACAATCAATGGGTCCTTGGTTGGGTCATTTTGTGACTGGGCTAGCCTGAAAAGTTGTATTCTGCGGTCGACACCTTTTCGGCATTTTGACCCATACGACATTTTCAAAGTTTATCAAAACGCCAAAAACGAGAAAGGGAAATTGAAAATTTATCTGTGTAGGCCCATCAGTCAAGCGGCAAATTGAGCCAGAAGTGTACAGGCCCTTAATCAAAAGATCCGTATCCGTTTTTCATGGGTTCTCTTAAGAATCGCACCGCTAGATATTAAATAGAATAACGCGATGACTCTTCTTTAGAATTTGCGTCTGACAAAGAACACCTAAAAACGCAATTTAAAATATTTAGACTGAGCTAAATCCCATGAACTCGAGCGAATGAGAGATTCCTAGCCGAATCGTCGGTGGCAATCGATGCAACGTCCCAAAAAGACAACCGGAAAAATAGCAAGTACATTTTGGAAAAACAGTATTTTCGCCATAACTCGAGAGTTACTGTCGCCACAGCGCTATGAGTAAGGGCTGATTGTTGTCTATGGTTTGGTAGAACTCCGGTCCAATTTTGGGACCGATAAAACAGACAAAAGTGATCTGTATCCTGATCGTTTAATTACAACTCCTACTACCCACCAATAGTGCAGCTGATGCTCCCCAGCCGGCCCGACGCTCAAATACCCGGAATATCGCTCAAGATCGGAAGTGACGTCTTGACCAGGCTTCAAAAACTGGTTGAACACACCGATGCAAATGAATAACAGGAATCCGCCCAATAATACGTAGCTTATGGGGTGTAGTGCCGGTTTGGTGGGTAACGCCATCATTGAAAGCTACTTTACCCTGTCCGAACAATCGCGTCGAAACTCAAAAATCGGGGAGCTTTGCAAAATTAGGCCACGCCCGCATTACAGGCACGCGAGTGTGTTTTCTGTTACCATGAACTTAGGTGCTGCCCTTTTTCGGAAAAGCACTTTTTGTTCGGGAATTTTGGCTTGTTCTTTACTGGGGTGAGGCTGCCTCGGCACTGACAGGTGCACTGCACTTTCAACACCGATAAAATTACATAGGCCGACATTTATTAAAACCCTTTCCTGTAACCGGATATATGCTTTTGCTATATCTAATTTTTTCTGCCTCTCTCTCTCTATCCCTCTATCCTCTGCCTCTCCTCTCTCTCTCGCCTTTCGCCCTGCCTCACTCTCTCTCTCTCTCTCTCTCTCTCTCTCCTCTCTCTCCTCCCCCCCTCTCTCTCGCTCGCTTCTCTGCTCTCTCTCTCTCTCTCTCTCTCTCTCTCTCTCTCTCTCCTCTCTCACTCTCTCTCTCCCCACTATCTCCCTACACACACTCCTCACTCTTCTCTCTCTCGCCTGCTCGCTTATCTCGCTCTATCTCTGACTCTCCCTAATCGCATTTATTCTAAAAATTACGTTAAAAGTACACCCACCGATAATATAAATGGTTCGTTTCTCTCGATTCTGTGGAAAATACCAATGATTACTATCAGCAAGACAAAGGCTATTAAACATAGAAAATATTTTCGGCATCTATACCGCATTGTCGGGTTGTAGTTGTGGGCAGAAATCGATCGACTGGATGGCGCAACAGTTTATACGATAAATTTCAGCAAGTCGTAAGTGAGGAGGCAGAACACCTGTTTTCGAATGCTTTGAAGCAGTCTCTCAAGCGTGAGGCATACTTTAAAAACAACCTGGAAAAAAGTATCCAACCGAAAACGCTTTTCGACTGGGGGTTAACTGCGGTTGATCATTGAGGCAGTGTTAGTTTTTTTTATTTTTCAAGCCCACAATCGCGAATAAATGCGTCAAATGTCTATGAGCTTTTCTATCATTGCGTAATCCTATTTCCCATCGACAAATGCTTTCCGTTAGTGTGTGCATTAATGATAGGCATTGAGCGTCCAGGGCTCTGATGCGGCAACGTCGATAAGTGTGTTTCGAGGCTAGGCGCCCGCCGACCTCCAAAAATTGACCATAGCTTCTGCTTCACCTCGAGGCGATACTAAAATTTATTAAATGCTTATACTTGAGTATTCCTTCGTGCCAAAAATATATATCTTTGTGTCTTTTTTGACATTATATCGATTAGCATTTTCGAGATCCAAAAAATTCCTTAATTTTGCCCCGCGTTAGCACGGTACGGCGTAGTTTCGATACCTAAGAAGCGGAAGAGGCAGACTCCAACGCTTCATTGTCCCTTTAAACTCCCCATTTCCTCACCTCAGCCACGCAGAGCACAATAATCCACGCCGTCAGCGTTGCGTACAGATTCGTGCCAACTTTGATCAGCAGCAAATAGGTTGGAGTGTATATCTCGGGCCACGGCAACCCCAACTGCACCTTCAGCGAGGTGTACAGCAACGGCAGGCTGGCGATGAGGGCCGCTGGAAAATAACTGGGTCCAGGCAGGCTAGCGGAGACAATTTGAGAATTCATATGTCCGAAGTTCAGAAAACGTACTCATATTTTGTAGCATAGCTGCCAGCACGGATCGTATAATGCGACCGGCGATGACGTTATTTGTCGACACGATCGATTTCTGCCGAGAGATGGCCAAGAAGAAAATGAAATAAAACAGTATCGATAGTAAGACCATAATCGGGATGCATATACTAGCGTACGCGTTTAGGAAGGCGTTAAAGGAGGCAGTACCGTATCTTAAAATCGATATTGTCAGGACAAAGGATAGGTTTTTATTAAAAAGTTATGGATCTAAAAACTTACGTGACGGCGTTATTAGCGGCAATTGTCGCTTTGATCGGCACAAAAATGCAAATATAAACGGTAAGGCCCACATTGACCGCCCAAATCGATATTATGCAACGCCTCATGATTTTTTGGGTCCAGATCTAAAAATAGCAGTGAAGCATTCAAGCTAAGTTG